AACAAATACATTTTATGGACGACATCCTCCGCAGAATCTAAATCTAATGCGAGCGGGCGAAAAAAACTAACCTGGGTACCATCCGGATTTTTGCTACGCAACGCTCGAAAAAAATCCGGATGGTACCCAGGCTACGAAAAAACAAGGCGAGCCAAAAAATAAACAAGATTTCTACATTTTCAAATTTTGACATCTTGTTAAACATGTAATGATGACACAAATGCCTATATTGTGTTGAGTTTACTGCCAACTACATTGTATTACAATATCCACTTGTCACTGAAAAAAATAAAAGTTTAAAATCAATCAATCATAGCCTTGTCTTGTCTCCTCTCTTCATATTTGTCTGCCGTCCACCTTCCGGCATGGAAACAAATGCCCGTTTTCTGCATGTTGACCACTTTCAGAAGGCAGCAAAATTTCTTTTTTTTTTTCAAAATCAGGTGCAAATTTATGCGCGCGTTGATGCCATCCATAAAAATGACTTGCTGTGGCCTAAGGCTGCGTGCGGGGGGTTGATACAGGCCTGATGAATGTGCATGGATCACTGTGCCATGATGTACGGTCTCCACCGTGACAAACAACCCGCCGTTGCACGGCCGGGATGGATGGAGGGATACACAGCGTCCTTCACGACTTACCGCAGACGGGCGAGAAGGATGCATGGGCAGCACGACGTCACCATTTCCGACAAACTGTTTCCCGGCGAAAATGGATGGATCGATGTTATTAATCTATCTGTAAATTCTTCAACGCGATTCATTCAGTTGTGTCTGAAGAGATTCAACACGTCTGCAAAGTTGATTTTTTAAATAAAGATTTCATTCACTTTTGAAATAGACATAGGAATTTGATCAGACGTCAACAAATCGACTTTCCTCACTTCACTCAGGTGTAATTGAGTACCTAGCTTCGGTTAGGGACGTCCCTCGGATAGGACGTTAAATGGAGGTCCCGTGTTTGGGAAAGCCACACCCCGCGCACGTTAAAGAACCCACCACACTCGAAAAGAGTAGGGGACCTTCCTGGTCCATGGTGTGAGTGGTTCAAACCTTACAGTCCGGTCTCGGGATTGACATCTTTGAAGAGGTGATAGTCACCTGTTATGTCAATCCTTCCACAAATGTGGTAAATCGTCATAAAATAAAATAAATCAAATCAAATGAAAATTCCAAAAGTTGACAGACCATCAAAATAATATTTTCTCTATCGCTCTGTTCGAAACGAAAAAAAAAAAACTTCATGGAACCGCGCAGAAACTCTCACGGCTACATGCGTTAACTTACACGATATAGACATCTTAAAATACTGTCTTAAGTAAGTAATTCCTATTTAGAGAACAATATTGACTTGCCTTGATGGAGACGTTTGCGTTCTAGTAATTCTTTTTGAAGTCAAGCCTAAAAGTGGACATATGTAACATCCCCGGTCCTAATTATCCCCATGTTCGATGTCATGCCTCACCTCAAAGTACAGCAATCGTCAACAAACAAAAGATATATTGCACATAATAGTATAGGTATAGTGCAATGATCCTATGACTAACAAATTGTAAAGTTGCGGTTTGTTTATAAATCTATTGCCATGACAAGTCACAAATTGGAAAATACGGCGATAACTAGGACCAGGGATGTTAGTACACACGTTGTGCGGTCCAGACGTGTCTACATTGAAACGTTAGCAGAGTTATCAACCAAGAATTGAGGCATTCAAAAACTCGTATTTCCCCAGAACTATCGTAGACTGGAACTCGTTGCCACCAAGCACAGTTGGAGTATCATCACCAGAAAGCTTTAAACAACTCCTGCAATTAAATGTGCAAAGATTTAGTGTAACAAGTCGTTCGGTGTGATATAGCTAGCTGCCGCCGCGCCGCGTGCCTGCGAAGCTGGTGTGTTATACCGTCTATACCGATACAGATACAGGTTAGTAGTACCATCACGCGTCGACACTGCCCCTGCACTAACCTTTATCACACAACCTGCCACCGACAATTCCAGCTACGATGTCGGAGTAGAGTTTTAATCTCCGACTGATAGCGGCGCTACTCCAACAGCGTCTGGGTGGAAGACGCGAAGGGCATGCTTGAGTGATGAAAAATTGATCGAGCAGCCTGAGATCGACTTTTATTACGGCGCGTCTCCCCTTCATGTGAGGACACCTCACGGGGAGAGCGGTGCTATAAGAGGTCATTGACTGCGATCAGTACGTGTCTACCCGTGCTCCATGCACAGCATAGGGTTTTGGTGCCCATGTCCATTTCCGTAGCCCTTGGGCGACACACAATTGTGCAGGGCACTACAGCAGGGGGTAGTCTGCTGGTAGTGCTGTGTGCTTGACCTTCCCACACTCTTTCTCATATGTGCTGAGTGCTAAGCAGAGAAAGAAGTGTGTACCATTTTTAAAGTCTTTGGTATGACCCGGCCGTGGATTGAACTCACGACCTCCCGGTTACAAAGCGAGTACGCTACACTTTACCAATTGAGCTATTGCACCGGGGCAACAGTACGTGTGAGACTTGGGTAATGCTGAGGTCACATTTCCAAACCGGGGCCCGGTCGGGCAGCTTTTGGGAACGAAAAGTACGATGTAAAAGACGACAAACCATTTTTAATAGTGATCATGGGCGCTATTTCTGTATATTCTTAATCTATGGCAATCATTCTATATCTTTATTTGCAATCAGATACAGATTCATGTACAGATACATATTCTTGCACAGATACAGATTCTTGTACAGATATACAGATACAGATTTTCCGAGTAGGATGACCGTGTCGGTCCCTACACCTGAGTGAGGATCACAGTTGACACGGTGGTCTTCGCGTGGATTTGTTTAAGGTGGATAACAGGTTGAGACCCACACACTTGGGCATCCATCCATAGGCAGCTACCCTGGCGCAGGGCTAAAACTACGATCAGTGTAGCCTGGGTGCTACCATCAAGACATCATTTTTCACGCATAGGTTTATGACATTGTTGTACGCTACGAAATCTACCCTTGTGCAAATGTTACAAGCAAAACATAGCCCCACAATAAAAGATATGAGTAGTGCTGATACCAGCACTGGTCATCTGAATGTCGGACGACTCGGACCATTACCAAGTCGGCCCAGCTAACTCGGCCCATCTCCCTGGTCGACTCGGCCCAAATTTGGAAACAGGAATTCAGACACACACCCGCGCAATGATTTTCGTACAAATTAAGCTATTAATCAGCAGTTTAAAAAAAACCTCAAAATTTGGGGGCTTCAAAAACGTCAAAGTCATCTGTAGTAGAGTTTTTTTTAACCATCGCAGTAAAAGCGCCTGTACAATGGAAGGTTGGCGCCGTGCCATGGAATCAATATATAGACCCACATTACACGGGAAAATTACCCGCACATGCTGCACAGTACCACTCAAAGACTCAAAAGTTTGACTTGTCACGCATGCTATCTACAATGTATTCAGGAAATTGCAGAGGTTTTTTTTATCTTTAACTTACTATTCCGTTTACTACAGTACTTTTCAAACGAGTCAAACTTGTTAAGTCCGTTAATTATGTTTACCGAAGGAAAATATATTGTTTTGCTACGTTTCTTCTTCTTCTTCTCCAAACAGTGACCTCAATGACCTGAACCAATATTGTGTCTGTTACCATGGTAACTAGTGTTGGATTACATCATGTTGTAATTTTATAGCAGAAGGGATTTAGACTCCCGTCTGACCATATATATGAATGTGTTTGAGAATTAACAGAGCAGACCATATGCTAAGGTAAACATTATGCATTCGCCTTGCAAATGTTACCTTTCTATTTTATCCTTTTTTGCTATACAAGTTATCACATAGAGGTCCCCTTTATCATCCTCGTGAGATTTGACTACCAACGTCTATGGTATATAAAAATTACACAGTGTAGACACCTTAATCTAAACAGACGGGTGACATTTCTCAGACCCCACATTTTACCCAGCCAGAACGGTCCAATAGTCACTTCCTCAGACCGTCAAATGAACAGCAGTGATTTTAAATCGTTAGTATTTACCGTAACACACATGTTAAGGACATAAAAGGTCAGTAGTCATCGTAACAAATTGCTGGAAAACACAGCCATTCCTTTGACATATTGTCGTAAAACGACGCCGGGGTAGAGATGCGTACCAGTATTTCGTCTGACATATTCACTTTGTTACAGAATGCAATAAATATAATGTTTTACGCAATTTTACGAATGGTTTCCTGAAAAACCATATGAAATAAAGCTATCAACGAGAGAGGGCACGTGTACATGTAGATATTGATGACTTTATACCTATTTCCAAGTGTAGACACCCGAAAGGAGACAGACGCCGAATGTCGGTTAAATATCGGTTGTACAGATACAGACGGCTGAACAGCTGAGTTACATCGTCAATAACAGGCATCGGCGAACAAGAAATTGCATTTCTAGTTCTGCTAGCAAAGAAATTTATGGAATATATATCTTGGCTATAAATTAGAATTTCAATTTGCCCTGAGCCCAGTTGGATGGAAATGTTTTATCTCCCACTGGGTGGTAATCCTTTTTCAAAGTTAACCGATCCACGAAATTAAAAGAAAGGGCGATTTCAGACTTCGGGGAAGAATTTTGGGGCTTTGTGACCGTGAAGTTTACCCCATTTCCTGTGTCTGACCCTTTGACCTTCTGTCATACTGCCTGTTAATCTACCCCAACCCACGTGCTATCAACCTAGTTTGCCTGGACAGACACACAAACCCACAATATTTTCGTACTTAGAAGTAATGAATATTATAGATTGTTAATGCACTTTGCGTTGTCCGTTATTTTTCTTTCTCGGTGGTGAATAAACAATCATTTTACGATTTTCTAAAACATATCTAAGAGTTAGTAAGTAAGTAATTTCTAACAGAAGATGATAGGCAAGTGTGTGTCTTCTAACGACCAGAGATTGACGTACGCGTATAGAAACAGATATAAAAATAACTACGACTGTTAATTAAGAAGGCAAAACTGGTAATGTGGCAACTCTCATGTTTTCAAAATACATTTTATGATCTTGGCGATAAACGTTCATTCAGAATAATGAAAACCATACTGGCCAAGGTACCTACGACTTCTAACAATTATGCTTCAATTCATCTCCTGCTGTTCTTACTACGCCCCCTAGCAATATTGAGAGGCATCGCATTAGCAATGCAAACTAAAAACATGTAAATGCAAATATGTTACGGACATGCTACTGTGTCATTGGTGGAACAGTAATTACAATGCTATCATTGGTTGAACTGCTAATTAAGAATAACAGTCAAAATCGTTCGATAAGATTGAATTATACTTTCAATCATTTGTTTACTTGAACTTATAGATAATTTTGTGATGATTCTGCGCATCAATTTATTATTTACATTATATAATAGGTTTAAGTCCATTTAGAAATCAAAGTCAAAAGTCTACTCAACATTGCATATTTACAAAATCAATACAATACCAAGTATCAAACGTAAATATAAAATGCAAACAAAATAAGTCAACATAGGGTCTGAAACCTATCAGAAATGTATCATGATCAAACACTTTGACTCAAAGCTACGCAAGCCTACGATGTTGATTATAAATAACGAAAGCAGAGCTCGAAAAACTGGGTACATTTGCACCTTAGTGCACCCAAATTTGGAGCTGTGCACCCAATTTTCTTTCTGTGGGTGCACCAGTGCACCAAAATATTTTCGTAGGTTTACATATGTAAAGATGTGTATTAGTACACAGCATATTCTTAACATCTAAGTGTCAGAAAATAATAAAATCATTGTTGTGGTACTTTTCTTCAGAAATGAAACATAATTATTTTTTGCTGCTTTTGTTTCAATTCACTTACTCAAATTTACTCTCGCATAGTTACGTTAATAGATACAATTTAGACCTCGCTGTATGTATTTTGGTCGCCACGCACCAGCGTATAGCCGAGGTAACATAGCGAGGCGACGAGCCCGACGCCTGCCACCACCCACGTGGCTGTGGTCACGGTGAAGGCGAAGTTGTACAGGACGGGTTGGCAGTAGTTAGAACTGGTGGTGTTGGACATGTCCACCACAGGAAAGGCAGGATACACCCAACTGGTTCCTTAGGGAAAAAAAACGTTGTTTTGCATCTTTGTGCAGTAGACCGATCCTGATCGAACGCATCGAACCCCCTGTTCTATTTCGAACACGTTCGATGTGTTCGCATCGAACCCCCTGTTCTATTTCGAACACGTTCTATGTGTTCGATCCGGATCGGTCCATACTGGCATTTGCATGTTTTTTTTTACATCTTGAGCTATTTCCGGAGACCGTGGATTGTTCAACTCCACGGCCGTGGAATGCATTGGTCGACCACCTATGGTGGTGAAATCCATGTAATGGCCGTGAAGGAGCTTTTAGTATGACAATTTTAAGTGGTGAAATCCTCGGCCTTGGCGGCCCTTGCGGCCATGGATTTCACCACTACAAGTGGTCAATTCCACGGCCGTGGAATTCAACAATCCATGGTCTTCTGATTGTATTTATGGTAGCGGAGCTAAATCCAAGGCATGCGTATATAAAGTACGCGGAAGGGACTTCTCAGTTAACATTTCCCAATGGAAAATTGGGCATCTTTACAGCAAAATTTTGTAGCGAGCATTGCATTATAAGGATTTAGAAGCAAGATACGTTGTTTTTGGACTTTAACATAAACATTTTATAAGTCCGCAACTAGTTCCAGCAAACAGGTAAACAGCACTACTAACAGACTACAACACAGTACAAACCTCCGATAAACCAGACGATGAGGAAACAGCCGACGACGCCCTGGAAGCAGCACTGTGCGGGGGACTGCAGCACGTCGGGCGGCTCCTCCCCGGCTCCCGTCTTGTGCCGTGCCGTGAAGGTGGGCAGCAGCAGGAAGATCCCGTACACGATCAGGTACACCGGGATCATGTACTGGACTGGACAGTCGTGGACGTACAGGGAACCTGACATAGAAGAACTTTATGATTGCGCGACAATTGTAACGGGTACAACGTATGGTTAAGTTACGTTACATAGTACCATAGTACCATGCATGTTGTATGTAGAATGTAGTTACTGTATAATGTTAGACGTAGTTTCACATACCATAGTACTAGTATTTTCTTTTTAAATTCATGTTGTTTGTACCTGCAATTAGCCCTCGGGCATGTATTTACAATAAACTTTTATTGTGCATTTATGGTAGCATTTGGCATCACATTTTCTAGACCCTTTGCCCTATTCCAAGAATGTCCTCACATTGCGATCGTACAACGATCCTACGACGATCGCAAGACCCTCGCACGACGTAATACTCACCTACGACAACCATGGCCACATTGATAGCGAGGGAGACCAGTCGCCAGAAGGTCTCACAGACGAACACTGTCAACAAACACGACAGGTGAACAGGAGATACGATACGGGTCATATCAGATCCATTCATGTGTACACATACAGTACTACAGTACTGTGTAGTAACAAACTGTACCGCTTCTATGATTATTATGTCACAGTACTAAGTTGAATTATTAAAACCTCATGGCTAAAATATAGGTGTACAACCACTGTCAACAAACACGACAGGTGAATAGGAGATACGATACGGGTCAGATCAGATCTATTCCTGTGTACACCGTACTGTACAGTATCAAACTGAAACGCTTTCTACTGTACCACAGTACATTAAGTAGAATTATTAACCCTATCATCGCTGAAATATGAAGGTACAACGAGACGTCTAATTTATTATAAATAAATGTTTCAAAAGGGTGGTGAAGTGACCAACTTAGTGTACGTGCAAATACAAACGTAGCTAGTATATATCGACGGTGAATGACAATACTAATTCGATATCTTCATGATCTTGGCAACAATAGTAACGTTACGTGTATCAATACACAACATACGTATACATATAGCCAAAATTTGTATATACACAACTTCTGACTGTCAGATCGAAACTTACAAGCTGGTAAACAACGTTTCGCCTCCCCCCTTCCCACAGAGACTACTGTATACAACAACCCTTACTTCGTGTGCAGAGTACATAACACACGCTGCTCACCTGTTCTGGTTGACTCATACACCCATACTAGTACAAACGGTAGGCAAATATTTATCAGATCGAAACTCACAACCTGGTAAACAACATGCCCCTCCCCCCCGCATTCTCTTTTTAGCGAACGCCCACGAAAGCCCAAAAATTGTCGCACGAATCTTAAAATTTTTTGTGTGGTCATGTCCAGAGTGTGCTCCCGGGTGTCCATGCCAAGTTTGAAGCGAATCCATCGAGCCGAACTTAAATGAATCGAAATTTACTGGTTTTTTTCTCTTCTTGGCGAACGCCCACTTTACTTCCGGGTTCGCTGCGAACGCCCACTACTCTTTGCAAAATTTCGGCCCTCGCGCAACGCCGGCAAAATCCACCACCACAAATATGTTCCTATATGCCTCCCCTGAATTTCTGACAAGTTTCCGTGCTTTACGAGCTTTTAAAGTACCCATTTTTTGACAAAATATGCGCTGCGACGAGCTCGCCGCCTCGGCGTATACGTTTCACCTGGTCACATGACTTGCGGTCGGGGACTGTTCGATAATTTCATGATCAGCGGGAGGGAGGACAGGAAGGGCAGAAAAACGCAATCTACCGCACAAAAGGGGCAGAATTTCGTGTTTGTAACATCAAACATAAATGATTTCCTTTCTTACATAATTTTCACCTCGGTTCTAGTAGTGACACCGCCGGCGCAATTACCATGTTGTAAAATTGTTCTGCTGAACTATAGACAGACGCAACGTTACAGTACGGAGGGGGCCCTTAATTTTTGTCGGCGCCGCTCGCCACGTTCGTTGTAAACCACGTCCGCGCTGATTGACCGCCCAATCAGTGAGCAACAAATGATCGAGGCGGAGAAGTTCGACCGGGCGGGGAATTTTAATGTGCTACCGTATTTAAAATTTGACACCGAACCCAAAACAACAGCGAGACTGCTGAGACGCGAGCGAAAGAGTTTTTGAAAAATATCTCGTTTAGTAAACTACTGCTCATGTCACAAAATCAAAGGAATAAAAACTTTCCAGCATTGAATGCTTCTGGCCGCTTGCTTCCCACGTTGTGTTGTCAAGACGACGGCACGTCCTGATCAGACACAGCGGCGTCACGCCCACAGCAGCACGCGCACGGGCCCCACCCACCGGCGGGCAGCAAAAGATTTCAAAGACTTCGCCCAAAAACCCCTATCATTGTAAGGCCATGCCTTGTACATCTACCCATCATTTTAACGTAATACTGGCTGGTATAGTCCCGCTACAAAATAATTTTCTGCGGCATTTGTTTATATTTAAATAGATTTGTGATACGAAGTAAAAAGATTTGTGTCATTTGAACCTTTGTAACGGCATGGCTATAACATTTGTTGAAGATTTCTGTGTTTAACTATAGCCGAAAGTGCATTAGAACTGACCATCAGTTGAAGCGCAACTGTCATGTTATACTAGTAACGTTATTCACTACGTTACGACGACTTGCGGACCATTTTAAATCTTACCATCTTACCACTCATAAATCTATTTAATAGAATTGCGTTCATACTTACGGGGGTATTTATTTTCGGCGGGTTCCACTGAGATATCGGCGGCTGGCTGGCGACCATCCCGTCAGCATGACCGAGCACCGCGACGTGAGTGACCTAGATTATCTTACCTTGCGTCTTCTCGTTTTACCGCAACTTCGTGTCAATATCGACGATACACACATGAAATACGTTCATTTATTAAAGTTTAACTTTATTTTCACGCGTCAACATTATCATCCGACATTTATGTACGAATCGATGTAGTGCAATTCTCCTTGCCGGTTTTCGCTATATTCGTCGGTAGTCGTTGGATTTGTCGGGGAAAACCTCAAATAAGGTACTTTTTGTATTTTGAAAAGTTTTCAAAAGTGCGTACTTTATTCGGCGGTGTCACTACTAGAACCGAGGTGAAAATTATGTAAGAAAGGAAATCATTTATGTTTGATGTTACAAACACGAAATTCTGCCCCTTTTGTGCGGTAGATTGCGTTTTTCTGCCCTTCCTGTCCTCCCTCCCGGCTGATCATGAAATTATCGAACAGTCCCCGACCGCAAGTCATGTGACCAGGTGAAACGTATACGCTGAGGCGGCGAGCTCGTCGCAGCGCATATTTTGTCAAAAAATGGGTACTTTAAAAGCTCGTAAAGCACGGAAACTTGTCAGAAATTCAGGGGAGGCATATAGGAACATATTTGTGGTGGTGGATTTTGCCGGCGTTGCGCGAGGGCCGAAATTTTGCAAAGAGTAGTGGGCGTTCGCAGCGAACCCGGAAGTAAAGTGGGCGTTCGCCAAGAAGAGAAAAAAACCAGTAAATTTCGATTTATTTAAGTTCGGCTCGATGGATTCGCTTCAAACTTGGCATGGACACCCGGGAGCACACTCTGGACATGACCACACAAAAAATTTTAAGATTCGTGCGACAATTTTTGGGCTTTCGTGGGCGTTCGCTAAAAAGAGAAACCCCCTCCCCCCTCCCTACAGAGATTACTGTATACAACTTTTTTCGTGTGTAGGAGAAGACAAGACACGTTACTCACCTGTTCTGCTCGACTCCTGCTCGCCCATGGTGGCATAGATGTGCCAGGGTGAGTCGCCCCGTCCGTGTGTGTTGAACTGGACTAATTCTGTCAGTAAAAACAGCGAGGGAAATCCGCCCTACGCTAGCCTGGCTGGGGGAAACTTCAGCCTTACCTTTGACCCCGCCGCTGGTATTCATGACACAAGGGGGCAATGAACCCTCTCGTGACAGTCGTGTGGTACTGGACTACAAGTGGCTCTTGGTGTAGATGTACAAGAGTAGTACTGGTCGTGATTCTTTTACAGTGTGTAGCATTCCTTTTCGTGGTACGTCCCAAAACATGTTTTCCGCGATGGAAAGAGATGTTAATGCTACGTAAAATAATTTCTCAAAGTTTTGCAAAGCGAAGTAATGTTTTGGAGTTGTTATGCTATACTGCGTCACTTGTTGTTCCCTCCGGTTTCCCTTTTTTTATCTGACTACTGACATTGATAAAATTAAAGATCGTATCAAACACGTCATACATGAGCATCTGGAATCAGAATTAGACTTCTCAAGCTAATTTTATGTTTTTAGTCGGACCACTTCAAAATCAGGGATAATTAGAAATAGTATAGACTACAAGTTATCTCAGACTCAATCATTTTGTTCGCATTCACTGCACTAGTGACGTCTATCATAAATGCAAGACGATTTTTTTTCAAATTGGCGTTTATTTAAAGATACAGATGAAACACGTGTGCACAAGCTTGACCGCCCGTTCAGAAGTGCAGTGATCAAGATAAAATCCAGCGGCACGCACCTAGTACCCAACGTGTAGGGTAGAATAGCACCAGGACATTTTGAGCCATCTAAAGTGCAATAATAACGTTACATTACGCACATTTTACAACCGAGACCTCCCGTATCTATATATATTCTGCAAATTCTACACGTGTACCTTACATTCAGTTCTAAGTCAAACACATTATGTATGCACATATACACGTATACTATCATGTATTCTAGCCACTTCTTTTGCAAATACAACTACAGAACAATGGCAAGGCTTTTAAGTGGTTTACAGCTCTCAAAAATGGTGGACCACGCTGTGTAATAACCTATTTCAAACGGTATCTTGTAGACGATGTCGGCCCCCGTCGCGGTTGAGTGAAGGGTCAGTCTACCGAGGAAGGCTAGAGTGACTGGTCGAAAGCTCTAGGTGAGAGAACTTCTTTGCGTTGGATTTTAAGTTTTAAACATGTAACTACCAACGCAGATGAACTTTCATGATACTTCGTTGTGTTGGATCTAAAGTTTTAACTTTAAACATGTAACTACCAACGCAGATGAACTTTTATGATAATGTTTTTTTTTAATCCTAACTACTGCATATCCTCCCTGTCCTTCCCGACCGAACAGACGACGGTGATGACGCCGGCACACAAAAATGGGAAATACCACCCACCTCCCCAACTTAAGAGCTCTTTTAAGCATAGGCCAGTTTCTAACAATGTGATCTCCTACATTTATATTTTCTTAAGCCTATTAAACTATGACATATCCTCCCCGTCCTTCCCGACCGAACAGACGACGGTGATGACGCCGGCACACAGGCCCAGCGCGCAGGCGATCCACACCAGCGTGGTGACGGTGAACGCGAAGTCGTACAGCACGAAGTGACAGTACGCCGTACTGGTGGTGTTATCCCTGTTTACTACCGGGTACGCCGAGTACACCCACACGTTACCTGTGGGGTGAAGATAATCCATATAATAAATGATAAACAGAAATACAACAGAAATACACGCAAATTTTGCTGGATATTCAGTTTTTAGTTGCCTGTATTGGCATATTGTTTAAATATAGCAGGCAGGTATAATGTCCCACAATCATACCCTACGTCAGAGTACACCACCGCTTAGCCTCTGTCAGGCCTCAAGCTGAGACGTTTGCAATCCCCGTTAGCAACTCTAAGCCTCCGTGCAGAGCTATCAAACTGGCCAGGACAGTAAAGATGAACGGGGCGAAAGCCTGGGCATGGGCCCGGAAGGCTACCATAACTGTACCTATCTAACTCAGTAGTGTTAGGGTTCAGATCAAGCATGGTTCTGGATACGCGTGCAATATAGAAGTCGTACTCGTGAGCATGGTTCTGGATCAAGGACGGTTCTGGATACAACACATGGTACTCTGGATTCCTAGGCCTAAAAAAATACACGATATGTGCTTACCCGCAATGAACCAGGCGAACAAGAAGCATCCCACGACTCCCTGGACGCAGGAGAACACCGGCGACTTCATCAGTTCGTCCGGACCGAGCCCCCCGGACCCTCCGCCCTCTGTCTCCCCACCCGTCTCGTCCTGGTCCTTCCTGCCATGCACGAGGGAACCGATAGTCGGCACTAGCAGGAACACCCCGTACACGATCAGGTAGACGGGGATCAGGTAGTTGATGGGACAGTCATCTCTGTACACGCCACCTGCAAGATGTACGGCAATTTGTTCACTTCTTATATTTTCGTGTATAACTTTTAAAAACCCTTGATCTACGGAGCCCATATGCAGTATATGGATTGCACGTACAGTACCATTTATATAATAGCGCCCTGTATATGTGAGATTTGGGGGTATTTTTCGTGCAACGCATCACACCACAGCGAAACGCAATGATTGCGAAAGTCACTACGCCGACACAGGGCAAAAAAAGTCAAAGGTCTATGACCTGATAAGACTTCAAATTATTTGAAAATGGAAAAAAAAATGCCAGCAGGCCAAGGACAAGAGTTAAACACAAAAGAATCTATTGACTGTACCCACCTATGATGATCATACACAGGATGATGACGAAGGATAGCAGGCGGCTGAAGTTCTGACATGTGAAGACTGTGGACATAAAATAAAACACATTAGTTAATAGACCAGCTTTTACATTAATGAACTATAACATTGCAACATGGCGGGAGGAGCACGAAACTTACCCTTCAAAATGAAAGTGAAACCCACACTGTGTGAGTGTTCCAGCCCACAAACAACGCCCACCCCCCCCCCCTTCCCCCTCCCCTCTCCCCAACACATAGTCACACACACACACACACACACACACACGCACGCACGCATTTGTATTTCACCGGCTTACATTTACGCTGCATTTTCAGTGCAATGAGACTGCAGAACTGTCTGATCAGGGGTACGGCATTTACAATCTTGGTGCAGATGAAAGGCAAATATAACGTTGGCAGCGAAAGCGGAAGTGAGATAACTATGGCTTAAACACAGATTAAACGGTAGCAAATTTGTTGGCATACTACATGTCCATGTACTGTAGTATCACTTAAGGTCTCCCCAGTACTAGTGTACTTTATGACAGGCTAATATCAGGCGGTTAGGGGGTTAATGTACACTACAGTATCGACCGCCCCGCCCACCTCTGTCCATCGTAGGTCTTGCCACACACCTGTAACATACGGTACACACTTACATATCTTTCTATATACAGCCCTAGTATTTCTATGTGTGAAACCTAACTTACCCGATGTGCTCACAGCCCCATCTTATCTTTAAAGTACACCTCAGAGTTGTCAATAGTGCCCCCCCCCCCACAAACTCCTCTCGCTTCTTATAACAACAACATATTTTAACTTCTAAGTTAGTCTTTCCCGTAATAATGAGCACTCACCTTCCATATTGTATCACCAGCCCGAGCACGAAGAATGGCAAGCTTCCCTATCCTTTATCAAAGAAATCTTCACGACAAAAGAAGAACTGAAACTTGTAATCTGGACGTCCCGATGATGTTAGTGAATGTTTGACCCGACCGAGGCGGGAAAATAAGTGACTCACCAGCCGCCCCCCTCCCTTGTGACATTGATCCTTTGTGTTTGTCTCCTGAGTGACGTACTGGAGTTACATTCACCCCAAACAAATATCCTTAGTCAAAACAAAAGTCCTCTTTGTTGAGTCCGGTACACTATGGGGATATACTGTTTCTCACGATTCTGTATAGAGTTACCAGTACAGAGCCCCCAGTACTAGTGCATGCCCGTAGCACTTTTTATCTAAAGGAGCAAGATTTTTCTTTAAAAGGTTCTAAAGGTCCAAGATTTTTCTTTAAAAGGTGGACTGATTTGTATCACCAGCGGGGCTGGAATCCTAGAAAAACTGCTCACTTTGTCATTGAATAAAAGTTATCTCTGATCTTTTTTCCTTTGAAATACTCTCAAAAGCGCAGGAAATGCCATTTCAGAAGGTTCTATTTTCAAAATTTTCCATGGGAGCATGCCACCGGACCCCCCCCCTACGGCGCCAGCATTTATTCAATTATAGACGGTGGGAAGACCCCCTCCCCCATTCAATATCCTGGCTACGGGCATGTAGTGCTGTTAGCTTGTAGCTCCTAAGAAAACAAGCTAGTAATAAACAAAATAACACAACTACTGCATGTTTTGTGCGAACCGTTAGGTATACAGAAGCTTGAACCGTACTTTGAACTAAATATTTGTCCTTGACAAATAGCCCTTTGAACTTCCATGACGATGTCCTTGTGTGTCCGTTGCTATGTGTTTACCTCTCATAAAGTGATTACAACAGGGTTTGCACAAGTTGCAACAAGTTAAGTGTATTCATGTACTAGTATGAAAGGGATCATCTTCTCTATATGTGTATTGAATGCAGTATATTGGTTAAAATGATGTTGTCGTGAGGAAAGGACCATTACCGTCTTAACTATGCTGACTAGAATTGTACTGTGGTAAATCTTAGGCACTTCGGAAGTTAAGTAATGTTGAAAACGATAGTGTGTGTAAATACATTAACTAAACAATATTGTACAAAAAAGACCACAGCGTTCTGTTTCGACTGATGTATTCTCTCATAAAAAATACACTTGTGGGTATTCCAAAACCTTCTCAGTTTGAGCTATGTACAAAAGTATAAAAAGTATAAATTTTTCTTAAAACGTATAAAGAGCTACAGACTAGTACATGACATACAACATCACCAAATAAGTCGGCAATACAACATTAGAACCGATGTAGACGTAATGATTTCCGTACACCTATAAACTCACTATCGTGATCTGGTGCATTTTAACCACTATTTATATGCTTAAATTCAATCTTCTTTAACAATGTAGGAAATTTATGACACAATATAGGTTGCCCAAGATACCGATCTAGTAAGTTATTCAAAATCAAAAATAATAAAGTTCTTTAAGAGTGTCATAATATAGTAAAATACAGTGCAATGCAAATCTGGATAACAAAAGTAAGATTCTTTATAAATCTTAGAAGTCAAGCCTTTTTACATTCTCCATAAATCCATAAACCTGGTCTGGATGTTGCCTTTCTTCCTGAGACCCTAACACATGTCTTAAATCCCTACATACACTTGATGTTCAACATCTTTACTTTTCTCCTTCTTTTCCCAGACTGTACGAAGGGACAAACTTTGATTGTGATTATCACATACATGTACAATTAACTTTAACCCAAACTAAAGGAAAAGTGCTTTCACAGCAAAAAATGATCCCTGTACGCCAGTTGAAATATATGTTGTCTGGCCTGTGCACAAGAAGTTTAACAAAGATAAGGTGACGGAGGACGTCTCTGTATTCAAAATAACTTGTATAATCCACGCATAATTTGTATAATCCACGTAAAAGCTACATCGGTTAACGTATTCGAATGAACGTTGTAAAAAAAACATTTTAATGAGCATTGTAAATTTTGTTATTGCCTTTTAGCCGTTTAGAACACGTGTAGAAAAGCCTCCTGCTAGTTGGGAAGTCCTGGCTGTATCATTTTATGCCTCTAATACATTAAATCAAATCAAGGATTGGTACAAAATTACCCTTGGTTGGACTTGAATAAACTCTTTTCCGCAAAGCATCACGAAAGAAGCACAAAGAGTGTTTATCCATTTCTTTTTGGAAAGGTCTCTGCGCTGTGCAACTCCCACTTTATCTGACCAAGGCTATAAGGCCTATAAAGAAGCAGTCTCCCAGATGATTGTCAGCTGTCAGATGAGAAAGGCCCCGAAGTAGCTGCCCGTCTCCTCGAAGCTGACCAGGTCGACGTTGTTGTTACTGACGGCCACGTACAGCCTGTCTCCCCGCCTGAGCCGGAACACGCCGCCCTGGTACGTGGACAGGAGCCCGTAGTCAGCGTGCTTAGACCAACACCTGCACATAGGAAGGGGGTGGTGAAAATTCAGTTTATTTTCTAGCCTGGAACTGCAAATATGAATATATTACTTTCTATAACCAAAGCTGTTGGCAAGCGTGATATGGGTGAGAGGAAATTCAGTTTAATATTTTCTTGGAACTGTGCAAATCTGTTAGCCTGCGTGAAACAAGAGTGCACCGGCATCTCCTTTCCACAATCAGGACTTCTTAGACCAACACCTGAACACAGGGGGAGGGGGGTGGTGAACATTCAGTTTATTTTCTAGCCTGGAACTGCAAATATGAATATATTACTTTCTATCACCAAAGATGTTGGCAAGTGTGATTTTTTCTATAATGTGCTAACGTCAACAATAGCCTGGGTTGTAACAGTCCAATAACACTCCTGGGTAATTATTGGTTTACAGCAACTGCAAAGTTCTAGCTACATGTAGAAGTCCTGATGGTGGAAAGAAGATGCTGGTGTACTCTTGTTTTAATGACAGCAGGTTGTTGCCAGTGATCAGGCCGACCACGTTGTCTGGGAGACTGTTTCAGATGCATGTGTACTGCAGTATGTTTGAAAGTTCTTCCGGTAAAGTGTGTAGCAATATGTGAATCCTATTCTTGGCGTTTTTGAGCTGTAATTAGCTATACGTTGATGTTGGGGCATGCTTATCACTAGCCTGGTTACCAAAGCTATTATAGCTCCCGAGTCCTACATCCTCTCCGCTATTTGAGCTATTATAGATTTGGTAACTAGGCGACATGCTTACTTGGTGCGGGCACTTTTCATGAGTTCCTGTGGCACTCGGTAGGTGTCGCTTCTCTTGAAAGTGTAGTGAAGCATCTGCATGTGCTTCCTGGTGTCATCGTCGCCTTTCATGTACCTGAAGTACAGTTGGCTAGAAGAGCAAACAGAGAACAGGTTTATTGTTACCATCACTAAAATTGCACATTTTCTTTCAAAGAGTTCCTGCCTTCCACGATGTTTTTAATGCATATGCAATAAGATATTTTGGTATGATGATTTGATATGAATCTAAATACATCAAGTACCAAATCATATTTTGTTTGTTTCGCATAACCGGTAAATCAACTTTAGGCGTAACACACCAGTTTGTACATGTAAGTACAAGTTGCGTAATACCGGACTGTAAGGTTTGAACTCTTTTCGATCGATAAGTGTGCTGGGTTCTTTAACGTGCATAGGGAGATAAACTCTCGCGGTAGTTTACGATAGTGTGTTCACATGTAGACGCAGTACAGTCCATCCATAGGCATAAAGAGAACAAGTTTTTTGTTATCACCACCACAACTACCTTCTTTCTCTGTACACACTGTACATAGTGCCTGTCTCCTCTGTCACGACCAGTGGAAGAGTAGCTTTTCGGTGAGCTAAAACTGTAAAAACAGATCCTGATCCCCAATAGTTAATGTCCCCCACGATGTTTTTCATTGCCTATGCAAATATCTGTTCAAGGTTATTTTGGCATAATGTGTTGATATTAATCTAAATACGCCAGGTACCAAATCCTCTTTTTTTTGTTTCTCATAACCGGTAAATAACATTTAGGCGTAACACATTAGATGTGTACACATAAGTACAACCTGTTTTTCATTGCCTATGCAAACATTTGTTCAAAGATATTTTGGCATGATGAGAAACTCTCACGTGCTCACCTGTAGACGTAGTAGAGGCCGTCCATAGGCACATGGATGTGTCCGCCGCCGTACTTCATGCCGTTAGCGAGCGTCGCCAGGCCCTGGTCACACTCCCAACCACGCAACTTCACCAGGGCGGTCTTAGGGCGGAGTACTGGTCAGGTAGGGACATTAAGATCATTAGCACCTTAATTACTACAGTCAGAAACTACTACATTGATAACTGAATAGAAGATCAGGTTATGAATTATAGAGGTTCTAGGTACAGCTACAGCGAGGGTCCATAGTACCTTATCTACAAGGACTAATATGCTACTTTGTACAACTTCTTGTCGCTTTTAAGGCAGATGTAAATGTAAGAACAGATGGAGATTGTCATACATGGTTGAATATCGAAAACATTTCTCTCTCTCTCTCTCTGCCTATCTCTCTCTCTCTGTCTCTCTCTCTCAATCTCTCTCTCTCCCTCTGCCTGTCTTTCTGCCTATCTCTCGCTGTCTCTCTCAATATCTCTTTTTCTCAATCTCTCTCTTTCTCAATCTCTCTCTCCCTCTGCCTCTCTCTCCCTGACTCTCCCTCTCCTCTCCCTCTCCCTCTACCCCCCTCTCTCGCTATCTGATACATGTTCTATACACACCCACACAGTTATACGTTACTGAAATTCCACGCATACCCCATGCCGACTTGTTTGACCCCGTGAGGTGCGCCATGGGCTTGGCGAGGTAACCCCGCTCCTTCCCGCCTCCCTTGCCGGCATGCTCTTGCAGGTACACCAGGGGACCGTACGGGGTAAAACGGCCGGTCTGCTCTCTGTCTCGCTCTTAAAAAAGACATAAAAAAACTCATGAAATGACATACATTTCAAGTCATCCATATTAATGTTGTGAAATTTATTGGTGTCAATATTGTCAAAGGTATATTAAGTATAGAATTACAAGGCCAAACATTAACAAAATAACATGTGTTGTTAGTGTCAAAAGTCTTTTTTTGTAAGTTGAGAATGACTGTCGAGATCATTGTCTCTTGATCATTATCTCTTGATTTAAAAAAGGAAGAGAGCGTTGATGTAAATAATACTACCTTAGTCTTTTTTACAAACGACACTACTCTTTTCACTCTCAGAATGCACCAGACTCACTAGCTAATTTCTAATCATATATGCATACATTAAAAGAGCTAAAACATTGATATGAAATTGTCTTAAGCCTTGAGGCTAACCGCCTAGACTACACACCTTTGTCATTTGTGATATTCGCCAACTCTTGCGCAACGGCCTGCAAACAAACGAGGTGTCATTAGTGTTGACAGGTGAAAACTTACAATGACTTAGCAAACAAACGCCGTGGAAACCTGGTGAGCGAGCATTACCTGAGCAACAGTACTTGTAGAAAGACTGTAAATCTGTAGTTTTTATACGTATAACCGTTTGTAAATTACAAGTCTTCAAGCTCATCTATAGTATGGTCACGTACGTAAGCCTCTAAAGGTGTTGACCACAAAACTTGTTTTTCCACCTGCACAATTACTTTCACGCTATTGACTAACAACAAAGGTACATGTCTTGCATTACAGACATGCGATTGTGAAAGTAAAAAAAAACATATCGGACTTTCCCACAACAACTGGAACATATGGAAAGTTCCAGTCACCACGTTACGTAATTTGAACGCAACATGACATCATGTGTTTTTCCCATGTCTTGTTTGGCTCCAAACAAGACTGTGTTTAAGTGTTGAAGTCAGAGATTATCAACCTTTACGGATGATTTAAGAAAGAAACAGGGATGACTGAGGATTTGTATATGTACAGCTTACACAATATGTTGTTCTCAGGCTAATTTTAAGTGCTTAAACTCTTACTGCTTGTGAGAACTTGCAGGTGTGGTGCCTTTCTATTGTGTACATAATCGTTAGACCGGAACCCGTGGTTAGAACTGAACTGAACATGCACATATTTACAGTAGGAAATGTGGGTAACGAACTTCCTGTGGTTTAGTGGTTGACCACAGAGCTACCACTACTAGCGGTCAACTTCTTTAACGTGCATGGTATTTTGCACAAATGATATGAAAGGGAGAATACTTATCGCTTCGACCTATTTATAAAAAAAAAACGAACGTGTTCAATGCTTAAACCATGCGCTTTGCCTTTGAAAATATGGCTCACATTTTTGACGATAGCAGTCAGCCCAGGGTGCAAGTTCTCCCAGCTCTCGTCCCCAGAATGCTTAGCCGCCCTCAGTCCGTCAATCTCGGCGCTCAAGTTGACAGTAACAGTTACAAAACTCACGCACAGGGCAAATAGCAGGAAGAGCTGGAAGAACACTATGAACTCAAGAACATGGCCGAATCTCTGCTCCTTGTAGCCTTTACAAACCATGGTAAACGTCGTTCTTATGCCAGTATTTCAAACGAAGCCAAATGCACATCATCAGGTGGTTCTCGAAACCTTTTTTCCAGACGTTCGCCATGTGATGCAACGGAAAAATTTGTCTTAAAAAGATTTGTTAAATATAGATATGACTAAGATAAGACTGGAGAGTAGAGAAACCCGCGCCCCCACCCTTGACAAATCCCCGGGACCCAGTGACGGTTTAGGTACCTGGCAGTGTGCAACCTGGTAAACAAGTTCCGTTAGCCAATCGCTGCACCGCTCCTGTGACTTATGACCCATACGGGGAATCCCCCCCTCACCTCCCGGCGCGAAAAATCGTTGACAAACAAGTCCAGGTGTACCGGTGGTCAATGTAAATTCAATATCTTCGAATTCAATATTCAAAAGTCACAGATTTAGACCTATTATTAACGATGTTGCCTTCAAGAAGTGCAATTTAACTACTTGCACGAGCGGTGCAACTATTAATAAACTACAGCAGTCGAGAAGCGGAATAAGTGTTTTTTACCGTTTGTCATGCTTTTAATTTGGAGATGAGTCATCGACACGTCTTTTGTACTTTTGCAGAAGTTGATGAGCCTAAACAAAAGACCATACCGTGTGACAGGCCTGACATTTAGAATACTGGACAGGTGTGATATCGGTCTTGTCATGACATGTATGCCCTATATCTCCCTTATACGAGTCATGGGTGTTTATAGCTAGTACAGTACTGCGTGCTCAACCCAACCCAACCCCCCACCCCCATCCCCACCACACACAGAAACGTTAGTGACTTATGAAATATTGAAGAGTTGTAGGTGACATCAGTCTCCGACTGTCCGACTGCATATCTTTTTCATCCTTGTAGATGATGTAGATGATGTTAAAAGCTCCACGTGTCCTATATCGATGACGATGTTGCTGTATCTACGTACACGTCAGCCTTGCAGGGTCTTTACCTCCACCAACGTTACAGCAGACGATCATAAGAAAACGAGCAACATTAGCCATGATTCTACAAACACCATGTAATCAATCTATCCAAAGTCTAATAAACGTGGTAAAAGTTTAGTTATCCTTTTACTCAGCTGCAGTATGACTAGACACAGTTGCAACAGGTGAGGGAGTAACGATGTATAGGTTTTTATTTTCTTGCTGCAGAAATGAGGACAGTTACAATCATCATTTCATTTGTCACTCTATAAATATATATTCAGGTATTATTTCTGGAACACGCTTCAAAAGTATTAAAAGTACAAAAATATAGTTTCAAGCAGATAGCGTTAACGTTTCGTGATGGCTGGCTGACATGGCAGGTTTCGTGGATTCTATATTACCATGGTTACCACAGAACTACAACGGTTGTCATGGTTACCACATAGAAGCACAGCGGTTGTCATGGTAACAGTAGAGATACAATGGTTGTCATGGCTACGGTAGAACTACAACGGTTGTTATGTTGACCAATGAACTGCGACATCTGTAGTGTCGTCATAATACAACAAAGCTTCACATGCTACCTCAGTTTACCGTAGTAAATTGTATATTAAGTTGACATTTTAGGGTATTGATATGCGTACAATTCTATATAACACGCATAAAAATCGCGTTCTGTCTTCTTTCAATTGCACTAATGATAAAACCAAGGCGGTTTAAACCTCATTGATACGACACACAGCATTAGACAACTGTCCTGTCATGATTGTGAACTCCGGAAGAGGACGCCGTTCGGGCTCATGAGCTTCTTCATGACGACTTTCTTGTACTGACCCCACGTGTCCTGCTGGGTCAGTGACTCCGTGGCCGTGTCAGGGGAGACCACGTCACTGTGCTGGGGTGGAGAGAACAGATATTATCATGAAAGCTCATCTGTGTTGGTAGTTACATGTCAAAGGTACCATTAGGGCCCATCGCCCTTCACTTAACCGGGACGGGGGCCGACATTGTCTACCAGATACCTTTGACTCAGTGTGACGTCACACTTCAAAGAAGCCATGTGACAAGCTTCACTGGGTCAGTCTACTGAGGAAGATCAGAGTGACTGGTCGAAAGCTCTAGGTGAGAGAACTTTTTTGTGTTGGATGTAAAGTTTTAACTTTAAACGAGATAACAGATAGATAACCTTTATTGTTCAATCGTGCCCCAGGCTAAGTACATGTGAACACCTACATCGGCTACATAGGCGAGAAGCAGAACTCCAATCAGAAGCTCCGATAGACACCTAAACGTAAGTAAGGTAAGAGACAATATTGGTTGTGTAAAAAATACCTATATTCAATATAGTAAAGTAATAAATGATAGAATTATAGTATATTTTATATTGTGCCCTTACCGCAGCCTGAATCTTCATGAGTGCCTGGTTACTGGCGTACTTCAGGAAGAACCGTTTGTTGATGAGAACTAACTCCGCTCCGTCACTCACCTACGCAGGGTGGAGACCATAATAAAGTATTGTTACATAATTGCAAATGTACATGTACTATACAATTTGGTAATTATAGTAACGCAGTGGAGTGAAACTTGTTGCCACCAACCACAGTTAGAGCATCATCACTAGAAAGCTTTGAACAACTCCTGCAATTAAATATGCAAAGATTGAGTTTAACAGGTCGTTGAGTGTAATATAGCTAGCTGCCACCGCGCCGCGTACCTGTGAAGCTGGTGTGTTTTGCCGAAGGGCGGTTATACCGACTCTACCAATACAGATAATATGTATGTGTGCAATTGTTTGCTACCTCAGTGAAAATTAGTTACATGGGGGATATTGTTTCTGGTGTGTTTCTGCAATTTTCGAATAATTGGGATACTACAGTAACTAGTATTGTGGCATGTGTGTAAACCTTGTGACTTACCAGGCTGACTGATTGCACCTCGTCCTTATACTCGTCATCCGGGTCCTTATAGTTCTTCAGTAGATCGGCTGTGCCCTGCAGAAATCATCCAAAAGTCATTTCTTGGTTTGGTTTTTATTTCTTCTTTTTCACCATAGCTATATAGTGTAGCATGAAATCGGGACTAAAGCGACATATACGTAACCTCGATGTCAGCCTTTTAGCAGTAGCACACTCTATCTATCCGGGAGCGGCAAACTGTTCTCTCCAGCGGACCAACTCCCCTGGCATGTAATCTCTCTAGTTGGCCAATTTCTACTCTTTCCAGCCGCCTCCGGAAGCGTGATAGAGGCTACTTTCTGTCTATCACTCCCTGTCAACTAAAATTAGGCAGACATCCAGTGTACTTGCTATATGTAAGGCTGTACTTACGAATATTTCCCCCGGTCCGACGAAGCCGAGTTGTAAGTACGCGTGTCTGACGGAGGATGGAGAGTCGGTGACGTTGCCGACCGTGTCCTGTAGGAACACCTGGATGTCCCCGTCTGTGTGGGACAGTCTCCCGACCCGGGACCGGCCCACCTCAGACCGGCGGCTCCTTGCGGACGTCCCGTCACTGCCCGGCGGCGTCAGCGGGTGTCTCAAGGGAGGCAGGTGGATCCGCCCACGCTGAGGAGATTGAAATGTGTCGTATAAGTATACAGTTCCACGATCTCATACCTTCGCCACCACAGCCATTTACCATTCTACAATGGCCAAACCGAAGACATACCCTTCTGGCGAAGGCAACAATTATGCACTGTGTTGTACCGTACCACACACACACGAGCGCGCACGCACGCACACAAACACACACACACACACGCATACACACACACACACACACTGGCCCTAATACACTGTTGAAGTACAACTTCTCATAACTTTCTGCTTCTAACATATACATGTATATCGCAAGAATCTATGCTACATTACAATAGTGTTACATTACGTTGTACCTGTACATCTGTTTTCACTACACACGCCCCCCTTACCGGTTTTCTGACACGATCGCGATGTCTAGAGTTGATGTTGGTGGTAAAGGACGTCAGGAACGGGTCTTTCATGGCTTCTAACAGTTCGTCTTCAAAGCTATAGGTCTGAAAACAACAAAAAGTATTTTGAGCAAACCTAGAGCGATGTTCACTATAGTATATGTGATTAAATGACAGAAGACGCCGGGAGGACTAAGAATTTCTTGCTTACTGGGGTGTAGAGCGGCCACATTGTTTTCCTCTTCGCTTGAAGTTGATGTGACATCATTGCTGGAATATGTAGGAAGAATCATAATAACATGTCAGCATATCATGAAGCAAACATTTGTTAGTTTAATCATAAAAAAGCAATCTAGAAACTGAGATCAGTCCCATTTATTTTTGTTCGTCCGTTTGTCTGTTTGTCTGTTTGTTTGTTCTAACTTCCGGTTTCTCTTTCTGCCAAGCAAGTTTTTGTACAGTTTTGAAGACAGAAGATTCGGCCGATCGGCGTTACCGTCCGCATGGCTGAATGGCCTGCCACACGCCACATCTTCCGGCCGCTTGCCCCGGAACAGGTGAGAGTTGTTGGCGCTTTCCACACTCTGCCGCCGGACCAGTTTGCACTTCCCCTGGACGTACAAGTACGTACAAAGTCCTTTTCATGGATTTTCACAATCAAGAAATGACCAACTAAACTTTCTGCCAAAACTACGATCTGGGACCAGTTTGTACTTTCCCTGTGCGTACAACATGGTTTACATATTTGATGAATATCCAATAAAAAACAAAACTTCCCTTCATGTCCTTCCCTTTTATATGTTCTAACACCTTAGTACTTCACCCTTCACTCAACCGCGACGGGGGCCGACATCGTCTACCAGATACCTTCGACCCAGTGTTGACGCCACACTTCGAATAAGCCACGCGTGACAAGCCTCACTGGGTCAGTCTACTGAGGAAGACCACAGTGACTGGTAGAAAGCTCTAGGTGAGAGAACTTCTTTGTGTTGGATCTTAAGTTTTAACTTTAAACACCTTTCCTATTATCTATCCAAACTGTGAGTAGCTTACCGACTTGACGATGTACATCCACTGTGTCTCCGCGTTCTCCTTCAGAATCAACTTGTCCTTCCTGCAACAGAAAGTAATATTTTACATACCCCATCGTATTTATACTCTGAGAAGATAGGAAAATGATTTTCAGTATAGATTAGATATATCTTCTGGATACAAGATAGGAAGTTTTAGAAATGTCTCACCCGTAATATCTCTGTATGACTGATTCCTTGTTATCTAGGAACAGTTCACAGGGAAAGTCTCGGAAAAGGTTCAGGGACCTGGGGTGAAAAAAAAAAGATGAACCAGTGTTGTATAATACAGTCCTGTTGGAACAAGGGTTTTAAAGTCGTCTCAAAGCCAATGCATGTTCTACATCACCGCTTCAGTAACAACTCACTCATACTGGAAATCATGAAAACTTCCTTGCCCTTACCTGAGAAAGTCTATGGGCGGTTCGGACTGGACGTTTTGTAGATAAAAGTAATACTGTAAAGGGAGGAAGATCATGTAAACGTTAGCAAACAGAGTATCTGTCTATTGTAAAAGAAATCAAATAAATTTTGAGTAATTGTTGACATTCTGTCGAAGTGAGACTACGTAAGACTAAGTGTTAACTTATTATGAAAGTTCATCTGTGTTGGTAGGTACATGTTTAAAGTTAAAACTTTTGATCCAACACACTTCAAAGACGCCACATGACAAGCCCCACAGGGTCAGTCTGCTGAGGAAGACCAGAGTGACTGGTTAAAAGCTCTAGGTGAGAGAAACTTTTTGTGTTGGATCTAAAGGTTTAACTCCAAACATGAGACAAAGTGCTATGATCTTACCTCCCTCTCAATAAGCAGCACCTCCACCTGTCCCTTACACACCATGGTGTACTCTCCTGGGCACTGAGTCTCCATCTCTTCTGTCTACACAACAAGCATAACAATCATAATGATAAGAATTATGAAGGCACTTGCTCTAAAGGTAAAACAGATACACCACACAAGTATATTTTCTATCTAGAACAGTTGATCTAGCCTGTGAAACCCAAGCTCCGGGGGGCTCCCTACATAGTCCGCCACCTAAGGTTGGTTGGCGGACTACTAGGGAGCCGGCGAAAACCAAGGTTCAGTCAGGCTACCGTTGAACAATCTTTGAGGAAAGGGCTTATATAATTTTGTTCCAGTACGTTAATATCCCATGGGAAGTTTACGGTGATAATGTGATACCAAAACGTAAATTCATTACTTCTAAGTAAATACTACTAGTATACAGCATGCAGTTATTCTTGAATGAAAAAAAAAACAACTTACATTTGAGTTTTTCCCCTTGGCCAGGAAACCCATGGACTTGGCGACATCACTTGATGATGAGAACTGGTAGAGGCGCACTAGGTTGACTGGAGGTAAGGAAAAGCACAAAATAGTTAGATTTTTAACTGCACTGTGAGCGTAACGTGTAGCTAAACTATGTTAAAACAGAAGGCAAGATAGTCTTACGGTATGAGGGCTGCTGACTTTTAATGCTAACTGCCATACTATCACTGTTAATTGATCTATATAAAAGAGAAGGTAGGTTGCTTACTTCTGCCCGTTAAGATGTAGTAAAAGCGGTCCGGTTTTCTCTGTTGGAAGGCGATCACTCGGCCGTTGTCGTACCTAAAGTGGATTACAAAACGCGTTGAAGTATATAAGACAGAATTTGTTCGTATCATCAGAAGTAGTTACGAATTCATGGTCATCGTGACAATGACGCCCAATCATAGCTCATCTTTAGTTATCTATTCCTGAGTCTAATGACTTCTGTAATCACCATTGGGGCACCAAAGACGATCTGACAACCCTTCTCCACCCTACTCGGCTTTCTATTCCTCTTAACATTTTATACTCATCAGTGCCTTGTTGTTCTCTTACATTATCCTTCCATCTTTAATTTTCACTTGCATGCCCTCTTTCTTTCTTCCTGCCTTGACTTTCCTTATATGATAGTTTTGGGTAGTCCCGATGACTTTTAGCCTGGTTACCAAACCTATTTTAGCTCCCGAGTCCTACATCCTCTCCGCAACTCAAGTCCTACATCCTCTCCGCCGTAGCACAACGTTTACGTTTCGTTCAATTCTCGATGGACATATGATTTGTTTGACTCTGTTCCCCACTCCATCTTTTGACCATGGGCCACGAGTTGGCAAATGAAATTATCATCATCGTACCTTTCATACGCGACACATCTGGCCACCTCGTTCTCCATGTCGGTTGGAAAGACAGAAAACGGCTTGGTGGATTTCAGGTATCTGACGATCTGTGGACAAAGAAGCGATTAAAGGGCAATTACCGCGTGTAGTCTCATGCTGATGGACGACAATGCACACAGCAATTAAAAACTAACCTGGCGACATCACGAAAATTGGGCTATTTCCATAAAAATGGAGCTAAAGTCAGTATATAGTTTATTATCTGTGTGTGTTGAATGTGGGTACCGACAGGTTCGGTATGCAATAGAGACGTTTCCAATCAAATTCACTTTTCGTGTGCAGGATAGTCCATGTGGGAGCAAAGACGCTACTCATTTGAACTCAGTACACACTGAGACCTAGGTCTAGACGTATCTGTGTCTGTGTCTGTAAAGCCGATATAACCGCCCTTCGTCGTATTAAACACACCAGCTTCGCAGGCACGCGGCGCGGCAGCAGCCAGATATATTACACCAAACGACCTGTATGTGTAAAGGTATAGCCGCCCTTCGATGAACATGTACGTATTCACGTAGGCCAGTGAACCTCCACCCATTTTTTAAATTTTTGCCACATGGGACTTTAGTTCATCAAACACCCACCTTTTTGATCTGGTCCTGACTGCGTATCTCCGGCGGCGTGGTGAGGTGCATCTCCAACTCCCAGCCGATCTGAGCAGGACAAACATGACATCGGAGATGATTTCAGACTCTCGGGAAATAGTTTGGGTTTTCGTGACCTTCAAGTTCACCCCATTTTCTGTGCCTGATCTTTTGATCTGATTTATAAAATCTCTGGATGCCCAAAAATAAAACAACTATACCTACTACATTGACGAAAGATAGTGGATGCTACCTGAAACGTCTGTCCGTTTCCAAAATCATATCCAGTTGCTTGAGTAACTGTTTTTCTGGCGTATCTTTTTGCCTGGACGCCTAACCTTCACAGACGAAAGAACTATGCCTAACATAGTCAGATATGTGCTACGTAAGTAAATATTATAACTATTATTAAACTAAAACTTTGCAACGAATGTCTACGTACGCTGCTTTTGTTGGAGTAGTTCTTGGAGCTGAATGACGTGTCTTCAGAGGCGGCCTGGGGCATTCCGGAGTCGGCAACTTTGTCCGTGTGATATCTGTAGGAGAACGTATATTCACGTAAGACCAGGCGTTTTCAACATCATTTACTTTGGCCCTGTACTGCGAAACTTTGGTGCGCAGGAAACATATCTGGGATTGATGTAAAAGATTATTTCTAAGCGCTTGGGCTCTTCTGTAATGCCTCAGTCCTATTTTTGCGCTGGAATCCCGTGGGAGTCACATCGGCTGTTGGGCTATTTTGGAGGATGGAGGAATGAATAACAATTCAGGTAGTCTTCAGTACAAATGAGCAAGAACTCTCCCAAACTCTGTCCAGCTGATCAGATCTCTTCCGCCCCTCCCACCGAAATCCCCCACGGCCCAGGGATCACCTAATGGACCTAATGATGAGTCAGGTCTAGCAGGATCAGTCCCGCCAATTTACACACTTGTTTTAAGAGTGTGACAAAACTAATCTATACTCGTATCTGTGTAGGACTACCATCTGTTCCAAAATGACAGCATTCATAGACATCCAAAAAAGACAGTAGAATGTTAGTCTATAATCAGTTCATCAGGTAAACCAAGAGCCTGTCACTCATTTTGCCCCAGGCTAGATACAGCTGATAAAGTAGGGGATTATAAGGAAGAGCCCGTCCGGTTTAGCTTCCTAGTTTTTCTTTGTATTCAGACGTGGAAAAAATGTTCAAGATTTAAATGTCTTAATGTTTAAGCGTCTTAATCTGGCACACAGTATACCTGTATGCTTTAATCTATGATGAGTGTAAATTCGTTTGCAATTCGTTTTTTTTTATGGTATTACTATTTAGCGGTGGTATTACCAGAAATTTGTAAATAATACCACCGCTAAATTTAACTGCGAAGAACCAATAAAACCATCTTGAATCTTGAATAATGAAGAGTTGACTGACCTTCTCCTGAAGCGGCTACAGCTGACCAGGATCATCAGGATCTCCACAGCGTGTCGGAACCGAGCCAGACCCTGAACACAAGCAGACCATGGAATATATATGAGTTACGAGCGTACATAATGCACAAGAAAACTCCAGTAGTTTTTAAGGATAAGTAGAGTTGTATGGAGTACCAGTGTTGGCACAGCGCCTAGCTAGCTCGTGAGTTATAGAAAACGTACTCTTGCATTGTACCCCGAAATCTAGCACAATCTAGCACACTATGCAAAACGATTCCTTGATTACATATACTTCTAATATTTTGATATCGAGTGTACTGAACTGATTGAGTAACATTCGTAGCATACAAAGTTGTATTTTATCATCAGCTGCATGTGTGTGTATGTACTAGGTGCTCCATAAAAACCTGTCTTGAGTAAAGTACGACGTACTGAGACTATATAAAGCACAGTTTCGTCATACTACAGCTAATATGGACTGCTCTGTTCAGCCCTTGGTCTAATGGACAATATTAGGACTTCAGTAGACTGTTTCACCCCGCGGATTGATTCAAAACTACCGAGAGAGATGTGTTGTGATAAGACGGTGACTAGCATAAATATGTAATCCATCCGCCAGGATCATCACATGAGAATGTAGGTCGTGTTTGGACATAAAACAAAACACTACAACAACAAAAGCGTTGCTGTGGCAACAAGACCATTCTCTATACATCGAGAAGAGATTAGTGTTGTTGTCCTTGTACTTGACTAAACTCTAGCCAGAGGCAGAATTTCGTTCAGGAGGGTCAAGGAAAAACAACTGAAGATTGGGTAACAAAAATAACATCTTGACATCATTTTAGTTTTTACAGACTTGACGCCACGACTTTACTCTGGACAGTACGACCGTGTTTCAGTAAACAGATAGTCGCACTGTACGGCTTGTAACAGCACTTAATAGTTCTGTACCAGGAGGAGAGGTAATGTCTGTGTAACGTTATACTTCGTAGTTCTTCACTCAGTGCGCCAACGTGCGGCTCAAAGCAAACAACAGACTTTTGTACCGACTGTTGGTAAAGATAGTCTTACATAGAGGTGTCAGAAGGGGAGATATTTGTTACGTTTGTAAGTTCAAACAGGTCAACAGTTGTAAATCTCTGTGTATGTTTTTACTATAATGTTATTTTTTAACGGAGTGGTTCAATGCAAGGCCTATACGACCACTTCTCGGCGTTGAACTAGAAATATGAGAGAAACATGGCTATGTCAAGAGATGGCGGTGAACGTTTGATTTGAAAGCCTGTAGATTGTAGGTTGGTGGGAAATACTGAAAGCCTGTACATTGTAGGTTGGTGGGAAACACAAATTTGTTGTTTTGTTGTGTGTATGTTTTTTTTTGTATGAACCCTGGAAGATTAGCCTTTTGGCTAAAGGGTATCGGAATGAAAAGAATGAAGAGTTTGACTATAAGTGATGACTTGTAACATCACTACGTGACTGATGTAATAATGAGGATTCGTAAGTATATATGTGCGTACCTTTAGATGACTTGTGTACATTTTCTTGAAGTCTCTTGGGTGTAGGTCTTCCAATTGCTGAGAAAAAAAATCAACCATCATCAGTTCATGCAGGAACATGTAAAGAAGCAAATGCAATTGCAAGCTTCCTGGAGAAGGACATGATATATAAATCTAAAAAAATTATTTGATATGTCCTCGCCTTGTTGACTACAAACTTTCCGGTTGGTTTTGAAACATTTTATAAAAAAAGTACAAAACTTAACAGACCACTTGATTGTGTTAAAAGGGTTATTGTAGTCCAAAATTGCTGTCAGGTACACGCTCTAAATCCCCTCTCCCAATCAACACAAATTACTGGTAACGGTGATACTGCTGTGGTGTGAATCCGGCACCAACTGACTTCAAAGACGGTTTAATCCAAATCAACAAGTGTGTGTTTTGGAGTATTATGAGCTTTGGGATTTGTGTCCACATTCATTATAATTATAACCTTATCTTGCTTGAGTTTAGACCTTTGAAATTCAGACGAATACAAGTACTTTTGTGGATTCTTTCAAGTTCAGACGTTGACTTATGTGGAGGAGTATATCTTGAAAAGCCTGACTTACAGTATCTATTTACTTTGCAGCACGGTATCTTGAAAATGATACCGGGCTACCGGGCTAGGGATTAGTCAGTTAACAGACAAAAGACGGTTGAGAGATTTACCGCGCGACTTTCAAGAACGAGAAAACCTTGGCATTGAATCCAGAAGTCCTGGTTGGCTTGAAAAATATTTTTGTTGTTTAACGTACACAAAAAGGGTCTGTTATTTCAGTCCCCAGTAACCGACGTTTGGTTCATTCCTACCCTGCTCGGGCGGTTAGAGTTTCTAGATCTATCGCCTTCACGTGAACCGTTAAACCATGCCGGAATGGATACATAACTGTGGCTGCTATGTTTGCTCAAAGGTAACAGTATATATCTACACACAGGGAGATGAAAAACCTGAAAAAAATACCGGCCTGCAGGAAAGATTCGAAGCACCGTGAACCATCTGTTTAACTGCTTGTAATCGTTATAATGCACAAGAAATTATATTTTGTCAAAATATCATTGTGGGAAATCATACTAAACCACGTTTTAACGCTATGCCGTAATATAATGTTACCAGTGCCATCTTCAGTACTTATCAGGCAACACCGCAATTCGTTCTATACGCTTCAAATTGTATCCTTTTGGCCGATATTAGAGCAGATATAGTTTTGGGCAAGTTGAGCAATTTGAATTTTCCAGCTGTTATGGTGTAAACATATGATTCAATAAGTCTGTCAAGTCTTGAGAGGAAGAACACAATCACAACTGAAGACGCCGTCAATGGCCAGCGATGAGTGATAAGATATAAAAAGAGGCGTGGATCTTATCAAACGGACAAAGCAAGAAACGCCCTACATAAAGGAGTTAAAATTGCCTAAATGGGTGGGGTGGGGGGAGAATAAAGCTGATGAATGACGGCATGAATTACAATTAAATTTGCAAAAAAAGAAGGAAAGGGGCTGATAAGAAATGCCCCATTACTAGTAAAATGCAGACTTCTTCTTCAATCTTTCCATATCCACTTGCACTGTCAATGTTTTAAACTGTTTTTTTATTGATCATACGTAACCCTAACTAGTATCTTTAAGATGTCCCCAATGTCCTCAGGCACACTTCCATACTACCTTAAGCACACAAATAAAGGGGGACAGTTCTTAAAAGTACTTACGTGTACTAGGGCTCTCTTGGAGTCTCCCATCTTGTCCAGTGTGTGTAAGACAAACCCCCGTGAGCTGACCATGTCGTTCACCTCCACAAGTCTCTTCCTGATGGAGTCCATGGTGTCCTCCTCCTGGGACGTGCGGATCGACATCAGCTTCTTCCGCGCCTCCACCCTCTTCTTGGTGTCCCATCCGGCCACGTTCCTGCCGTTCCCGTCCCTCTCGGCCTGTTCCTCGGGGTCAGGCACCCACAGGTGGCTCAGGTCCACCCGGGACTCGGCGCGGGACGACTCCGAGGACGAGCCGGTGGACGAGACCGATCCTGCCGACGACACCTTTCGAGACAAGCCCTCGCTGACTTCGGGGAACGGAAACTCGCCTCCATTCCCGAGCCGCAACTCATGATCCTCACCTACACCTGCGTCAGTATAAAAACCGTTTGAATTCGCGTCTTCTTCTGTCACAGTGAACGTAGGAGGGCTAACTCCTCTGTCAGAAGAAGTGATCTCAGGAACCGGTGGTGGTGTTGTTATGGCTTCAGCTCCTCCATTCAATTCTTCTTCTCCCACGGGAAGGTCGTCAACAGTTTGCCGGTCACCTGCGTTTGTTTCCCCGCCTGGATCCGTGTCTTCACCCGGGTCTGGCCCGGGCGTGGCTTCAGGCGGGTTATCCTTGTCCTCCGCCATACAGAAAACTTCAGTTCACCGTCATGTCGTTACCGAGAAGCCTCAAGGATTGTTTACTCCTGTTATAAGTCTTGGCTACAACCTGTCCTGACCCAAACACCGGTCGGAATCTGTCAACCACCGGTCTGCTTACGCCCGTCTGATGACGTCCCTGCGGCGGAATTCTCAGCGGGGAAGACACTGCGGACAAAAGGCGGGATCCCCTCCGGCAAAACCAGGCTACCTGTCCCACACGTTACACTTATCTGGTCCGGCGAAGCAATATATCAGCTCCGGGGTCGCTATGAGGCGTGTTAGCGGCAGTATAATAACACACCGGTAACACTGGATATAGTTACCCGTCTCGCTTGACCACCTGTAAATCGGATACTGTATACCCGTGGCTTAAAAGGTGACTGTAAGTGTAAACCGCCTTATTCATTACCGGCCCTTCGCACATCGAAGGGTGAACAAAGCTGCTTCGGTCTTGTGGCGCGGACTGGAAAATTATACCATAAATTATTGTATAAACGTTCTCTGTGGGACTCTGCTATTGACCGTTGATTAATAGCCTCCACCAGGCGTTTCTACGGGAATACGGATCGTAGAATTCGGCAAAAAAGAGAGTAAAATTGGCCAAGACAGTCCGGCCGCAGGGAGGTAGTTTCTTTCTGGCCTCCACGGTCCAGTCAAACCTACAAGGCGGCTAAACTCCGGATCCCCCGGCAAATATTCTCCTATATATACTAGTAGCCAGCGTAGTTAGTCTGGTATAGAGACTAGGTGGTTAATGTGGCCCGGTCCGGATAGGATTTACCCCGCACCGGGTGTGGCATATGAACGCTTACACGGATCGCCTGGTTTGTATGAGTGGGTCTTAGGTTGTTTACAATAACTTGGTGTTTAAGGATGTTCAAAGCCTAGAGGGGCGAACCCAGCTATTTGTCATCGCATTCTTTGTGGCCAGTGTAAAAACAAAGTTACCTTACAGTCCGGTCTTACGCAGCTTGTACTTACTGTACAAAAATGGTTAACTTTAGACTTTGAGACATACATTGTGGTCGCTTCTCATCACTATTGTAAATTCCATTGATAGAAGTTGTTTTTCAGCATATATAACCCACTTCTAAGTCCTGCTCTGTGCTGGTTATTGTCATTGTTAACTCAACAGGTGCCTCAGGTAGGGCAGAAAGCCACTTTTTGTCTAGTGTTTCATTAAAAAGGTCTAGACAGGCTGTTGACGTATCAGAATAAGGCAAACGTTCCGGTTACTACGGAGTAAAAACAGGTGGCCTTTTCACCAGCGTGGGCGATTGCACTTTTCAAAACAGACTGTTTTTAACGGAAGTCTGTTTTCAAAACGCAGCTGCAGGTACAATGAACCGCATTGAAGGGTCTTGATCTTTTAAGTAATCTTATAACCTTCGTTAAAAGTGTTTTCGGCCTTGAATGTTAATGCGATTCCCGTGCTAATCCAATACCTGTACCCGAGAGAGGATTAGCTATCACGCAAATTGCTGCAGTGTGAATCATAATCGCTAGGTGGCGTGATTTACGCTGTTGGGTAATATGTTCCTGTACTGGGAAGTGCCAGTGGCTACTTACTTCTTTAGTTTAATACAACACTTGTGTATTAAGGTGTTTAGATTAATGCTAATGGTAATGACCAAACTGGGATTACAATTCCAACATCAAGGTCCAGAAACCACTGCATGCTACAGAACACTGTAGGCATAAGTAGATTGAAGTACTAATTCTATGCAACGATGCATTTAAAATCACTTTTATATCTTCTACCGCACTGAAAACTTTCATTATAGATAACTTATAGTCTATATTGTCAGTTGGTAGTAATTTATTCAAAAGGAATGTATACAGGTACACATGGGTGTAAACACACCAACTTATATCACAAACTTTCTATTGCCAACTTACTAGAAGATGCACAAATATTGATGGTCTTTTGATATTACAAGTTACAAGTTATATTACAAGAAGTTGTGTGAACATCAGAGGCAATGAGACATTTAATCTTAACTGAACATTGAAAAGCAAAGCATTTACCTGTTAGTCATGGAGTTACTGACAACAAGTTTGAACTGTCTTTAATTTTACAAGTTGATTTCATTGCGTAAAAGTTGAACACACAAAACTTAGCAATGCTGCTTCCACTATGTTGTACTTTGTTGCTGTGTTACATTCGTGGCAAGTCCCTGTGGTTCAGCAATTCCAGGTATTCCTATCGATGCACCTGAAGTAGGAGCACCTGATACAGGTGACGCAGCTGCGGGCTGTTCCGCCATTGCACCTAGCACCTGTGTTGCTGTTACACCTGAGTTTGATCCAGGTGTTGTTGGCAACTGTGAATCAACACCTGGCATTACAGGTGGGGCACCTGGAACAGCTGCGGGTGTAGGAATGTCCATTGCTGCACCTGCTGCACCTGCTTGTGCAGCTGCTTCAGCTGCAGCCTGTGCAGCCGCCCTCTCCTGTTCCTGCTGCAGTTTGGCATAAGGCCCGATCTCTGCGAACTTCTGTATGATTCTGTGGTTGGCGTTGATCAACTTTCCCGAGCAGCCCTCCAGGCAAACTTCCTGTTTGGGAAAGAGAATAACAAGTCTTGAGTTTGACTCCACCTGTATTAACCACTTGTATCCCTTACACAATTCACATATCATTTGCTGGTGACTCTGAAGTCTGAACCCTTCATGTACAAGGAGTTTTTTGGCTGGATATGGAAGTATTGTTTAGGGACTTTTGGGTTTGTCTCTAATTGCTTTGGTTACATGATTAGTGGTAGGAATTTTTTTACATATGATTGATAGGAAGGTCAAGCCTGAAGGTGACCCAGCATGAAGCAGGTAGAATTCATGAAGTGTTTTTTTAAAACCACTTCATGAATTCTACGATATAATATAATATAATATAATATAATATAATATAATATAATATAATATAATATAATATAATATAATATAATATAATATAATATAATATAATATAATATAATATAATATAATATAATATAATCGGGTATTAAAATACCCGATTATATTATATCATACAATCCCCTTCACAGTTCTGATACATTCACCATGACCCAAAACACTTCTTGGGGGTCTGCGATCTTAAATGTCACAAAAACTTCCACATTTTGCAGCCATCTCACTCACCTCTTCCCTTGTGAGGTACCTGTAGTTCATGTTGGACACACATCTGCTGAAGCAGTGTTCTGTCAGTCTGTTATACACTGCCAGGAAGTCACGTAACTACAGAGGAGACAAACAGGGAAACAGCAGTTAGGGGGTTTAAGTTAACTGATCACTAACTCACTCGTACTCAGTCAGTCACTCACTCACTCTCACATACTCTCTCTCTCTCTCTCTCTCTCACTCACTCACTCACTCACATACACTCTCACACTCACTCACATCATGGAGGTAAAAGAGTTTTTCTACCTCCATGCTCACATACTCTCTCACTCACTCACTCTCTTACACTCACTCACTCACTCACTCTCTCACTCACTCATACTCACTCACTCACTCCCATAACTGAGAAACCGTTGAAAAATCGGGAACTACATTCGGTTCAATTAAAGCACTATAACGTCGTTGGTTAAAGGTTTCTCTTCTTCTCACATCAAAGAACTTCACTGTATGTTGTCAAAGGACACCCTTTTTCAGTTTCACGTGTGCCACCCACCATGCCCTCCCACGCACCACATTTCGGCCCGTCATGCGAAAACTGAGAACGCAGCACAATTCTTACTCGGACAAACATCACCTGGAGTACATATCTATAGCATGGTATAGAATTATGATATTTATAACGCTTACATTTCGTAAATTTGCCTGAAATTGTGCTGGATCCATCTCACATGCCCTTCAGCTGCTACAGGTCAAAGGTGAAAGGTTACGCACACATCCCGTCATGCACCGCGGATCGGTAGCACACATGCGTACTGACGGCCTGTCTGACCCAGAAGTCCCGGATGTGGTGACGTCAGGTGGTGAGGAACCGTACCGGGTTTTCAGCAAAGAACAGGTAATTTTCACTCATTTCTGAACAAATCAGGCCCGACAAGGCGGTCCATCGGCGCCAGATGGGTAGTTAAGGACAGGAGGAACGCTAAGAAAGTGATACGTGACGGGTTGTTGACGCGGTTACGTCCTGAAGTGTACTGAAACGCTGGGCACCACCTGGCGCCATGGTCGGTGTACCTTATTTTGGGGAGAGTGGGATGTTATGTGGCAGACGAGATTTTTGCACGTTTGCCAGAAAGGTATCACCGACTGATGACGTGGCTCTTTTAAAAAAAGAGATTAATATTTTAGCTTCAAGTCCATCAAATGGCCGCTTATAAAACTGCAGATTTTGTGCACTGGAAGTTAGAAATACTTAGATTTGTTCCACTATAGTGTTCCATGGCGTATGTGAAGTGGTTTCAAAACGACACTTTATAACTCATATATCATAAATCCAATCTATAATTTCACGCAGTCATAGTGATGATGAATTTTATGACATGGCCACTGGATTTTATTCAAACTTCAACAAACATAGAGTATTCCTGTGCTCTCCACATGATTAGGTCCTTTCATTATTGTATTTTATAGTGCTGTATATCATATAAATTATTATAATACAATTTGGTTACACAGCTGGCGTAATAGCATTACCTTGATGACTACTGAGCCGCAAAGTTGTAAAATTAAATCATGCCCTTTTGGTCCTTTTATCCTCCTTTGTGTGCCGTAAGGAGAAAAAGTAGATTACCAACAAACTAAAGAATTAAACACATAATTCTTCACTGTGAGTCTGAGTGCAGACAACTGCAACAGTGCACCTAGATGCTTGTATTTGCGTAGGGTTTAATATAGTAAAAGTACTGTTGTACACTAATATATAGCACATTCTTGACGTTGAAATGTCATAAAAACATCATAAAACCGTGTTCACGTAGTAGCTTTTTGGATCCAAATTTGAACAGAGGCAGTAAGATTTGTAATTAGGTGTTGCTGACATTCTACTTTATTCTATGTGATGCACCACAATTTTTTTTAGCTTAGATAGAGTGACAGCCAAAATTCGAAAACTTGCACTGTTGTCAGTGTTGATATTATGATACTATCATAGTGTTGTCTACAGTCCGGCTTGCTCGTTCTCAAGTATTGTTATTGTGTAAAGGCATTGCTGCAGTGCATGTTGTCGTGTTACTCTTGTCTACTGAGGCATGGTATAACCTTTAGCGCAGTGTTTACATCTACCTATAGCTAGATCCTGCATTTGTTACAGGACATTGATTCACTGGTCAGCAGTGTTAACACAACACAAACATACAAATGGTAACAGCGTAAATTACATATGTGTATGTGTTGTATTTTTCATGTACCTCTGCTTTACCCGTGTATGCTATGACTTATATTTAATTGTGTGGAAATCTAAATCTGCCTCTGATATCTGAATATTGCTAACTAGTACTAGTAGTAGTTGTAGTAGTGTAATACATTACTAGTTACTACAATGTACCTGTACTTGCAATCTCTCAGAGCCTCATGAGGGTTGGACTTGACGAGCCTTTTCATCATGTTACACGTAAATTATTGTAAATACACAGTTTCATACAATTGTATAGAACATTTTAGCCACTACTGTCCTTGAAGATGATGTTTTATACAGGTTTTATACACTAAGTCTACATTATGAATCGCGACAAGTTGCTGTTTCCAGGGTGTGCCTTTCTTCGTGTTCATACTAGTAAGCTTTACTACAATTTACAGTCACGAACACCACTGTGCCTGGAATATTTATGGTATGGTTGCCACCTGTGTGATGCACATTTCCTGTAGTAGTTAGATTGGCACTTTGGGGCTATCTCCTGTCTTCAGGGAAAGGTTCAGTGTCACACACGTATGTCTGCGCATCCTTCACATCTGGCAGCATCAGCACGCACTAGCGTGGCATGGGGAGGGGGATATCTGCTGTAATCTATGCCTCGCATACATCACATGTACCTCGTTTGTAATGGGCCTCTGGTGGCCTTTTATCTGTAGGCCTAAATGTCTGGAACATACTTGATGGATGCATGGATCTGCAGGCAGAGATGGAGAGAAATACTGTAGATGGATCCTGTCTGTAATGAAGAAAAATGTATTTATGTAGGCTTGGGAAATTAAAGCGCCTCCAATGTGGCCATAGAGGCAGCAAATCACGAATAGGGCCCCAGGTCATATATGTACCGTTAATGTCTTGATTAATCTAGCTTTAAAACCTACAGTCGTACAGAGTTTGCTTCACAGAAGTGACAGTACCTACATGTTAACTACACTACAGGTGCATGCCTTTTTGTGAGATAAGAAAATGGTACACTCTACGCTCTAGCTTTACATACAAATTTACGTACAGAATTTGCCATGTCCCAAAAGGAGTACATGTGGATCTGTTTGCCAAAATGAAAAGTAGGCCAAGGACACCACATAGCACTATACACTATGTGCCAAGGACAATGGTACTGTGATGTTGACTTAGCCAGCTAAATACACAACTGGTTTGAATTCGTCTGAGGAGAGTACAACATAGAGGGGAGAGTACTGAGTTCAGTCAGGTAGGAAATACATAGAATTTCAGTTAGGGTTTCTCTTTATTTGATGGATATGATGGCCTGTATAGGTACTAGCCTGGTTCCTATTGGCATCCTTCTGTCTGGTTACCAGTACATTGCACTATCACAGTGTGTTACATAATCTCTTACTGCTGGGCAGATTGGGCCTGACCAGTGGGAGGGCTGCTACTAGTAGTAGTAGTAGCATGATGTACTGTAGTGAGGCACTTCAGCTGAGCACTAGAGTGCTTCTGAATTCCAACATACCTGCATACAACCTGAAGCACAGAGAGTGAAGTCACGCTGAAGAAGAATGACCCGTAAGTGTGCATGCAAGTCTGTATGGCCCTTGTACAAAACACCCCACCCCTTGATATCATTGCACCCCATTTCCCTTTTCCTGCTCTTAGGCTCTTCTAGTCTATATACAGTGGAGTGCTGAGAGCATTTTGCACTCAGATCCAGTTTGAAAATTGATAAAAGGACACCTATTGTATCTTATACATCATACTTCATAGCATACTCTTACTACAGGTGTTGATCAGGCCAAAATCAATGAACACACAATGTGACATGCACACAAGGAAACAGAGATTATGAATAATACGAAGAATGTCAGTGGAAGATGAGATTTGTGTACAGTCAGCATTGAATTTTAATGAAGCCAAACGACCTGAGTATAATTTTTATGATCCTATACTGTACTACAGTTAACAGCCCCCCTGTCCAGGCCCCTTAGCCCCCATTGATACTGCATGTGGCGTCTGTCCAGCACTTTTTAGCGTCGTCCATTAAATATTGATCATGGCCCACGTTACTTTGCTATTATCAGTGAAAAGATCAATACATTCGCTAGGTGTGGCTGTTGACTCCAGGTGGTACCAGGAAATGGACTATCCCAATATATAAATGAGACTCAGAGATTAGAATTATAGGGTAGAAAACGCCCAGCCCACAGAATATCATGTGCTTGTCATTCAAAATGAAATGGTCCAATTTGCTCATGTTAGACAAGTTAGGCCATACATAGGCGATTATTCCAGCATCTGACATCAAAACTAGTGCGATCATGCGAATAAAAAAAAGATCAGGTAGGTTAAACAAATGATTAAACACACAGGGCACAGTATACCAAACAATGAATTATTTATATTTTGTTACTATTAGTACATGTATTAGTACTGATGATTCTCTTTGTTCCCCTTTGCTTTAGACAAGTTTTAGCCTTATATAGCAGGTCTTGTGGCAGATACATTGAATGTAATAATGTAGCCAATCCTATAGCAAAATAGTTTCTTACATATTGATTGTCAATACCAGGTACGTCATTTCTATGTACTGTACAGATGATGTTATGCTTACTGACGTCTGATGTTTTGATTGATAAGCATGTAGTAGTGTACCATCGTAAATTGTTTAATCAATATCTTGCGTCAAAAAAGACTTGCACATGATGATAAAAAAAAATGACGAATTGGATTTTAAAAAAATTGTCTCTCACATATATATATGGTTGTATAATATCACAAAAGCAAGATCATGAAGTAAAAGGCCCACAGGAGAAACTGTTTCCCTTATTGTCCTATGCTTGCTTGCTTGTGTTTCCGCAGATGTATGACCAGTAGACTGTCACCATGACAGACGCCACCGCCCCTCTCACCTCAGAGATTCCCATCACCAGTTAGAAACTGTTCAGACACAGGAGAAACTGTTGTCCTTATTGTTGTATGCTTGCTTGTGTTTCCTCAGATCTTATGACCAGTAGACTGTCACCATGACAGATGCCACCGCCCCTCTCACCTCAGAGATCCCCATCACCAGTTAGAAACTGTTCAGACACAGGAGAAACTGTTGTCCTTATTGTTGTATGTTTGCTTGTGTTTCCTCAGATCTATGACCAGTAGACTGTCACCATGACAGATGCCACCGCCCCCCTCACATCAGAGATTCCCATCACCAGTTAGAAACTGTTCAGACACAGGAGAAACTGTTGTTCTTATTGTTGTATGTTTGCTTGTGTTTCCCCAGATCTATGACCAGTAGACTGTCGCCATGACAGACGCCACCGCCCCCCTCACCTCAGAGATCCCCATCACCAGTTAGAAACTATTCAGACACAGGAGAAACTGTTGTCCTTATTGTTGTATGTTTGCTTGTGTTTCTGCAGATCTATGACCAGTAGACTGTCACCATGACAGACGCAAACTCAGAAATCCCCATCACCAGTTAGAAACTGTTCAGACACAGGAGAAACTGTTGTCCTTATTGTTGTATGTTTGCTTGTGTTTCCGCAGATCTATGACCAGTAGACTGTCACCATGACAGACGCCACCGCCCCCCTCACCTCAGAGATCCCCATCACCAGTTAGAAACTGTTCAGACACAGGAGAAACTGTTGTTCTTATTGTTGTATGCTTGCTTGTGTTTCCTCAGATCTATGACCAGTAGACTGTCACCATGACAGACGCCACCGCCCCCCTCACCTCAGAGATCCCCATCACCAGTTAGAAACTGTTCAGACACAGGAGAAACTGTTGTCCTTATTGTTGATGCTTGCTTGTGTTTCCACAGATCTATGACCAGTAGACTGTCACCATGACAAACGCCAACTCAGAGATCCCCATCACCAGTTAGAAACTGTTCAGACACAGGAGAAACTGTTGTTCTTATTGTTGCTGTCTGCTTGTGTTTCTGCAGATCTATGACCAGTAGACTGTCACCATGACAGACGCCACCGCCCCCCTCACCTCAGAGATCCCCATCACCAGTTAGAAACTGTTCAGACACAGGAGAAACTGTTCAGACACAGGAGAAACTGTTGTTCTTATTGTTGTATGTTTGCTTGTGTTTCCGCAGATCTATGACCAGTAGACTGTCACCATGACAGATGCCACCGCCCCTCTCACATCAGAGATTCCCATCACCAGTAACGGCACTCCCAACGATGCCGCGGAGGACGACACCTTCGAGAGGGACCTGAAGAAAATGCTCCAGGATGGCCCCAACCTAAACAACAGCAGCGCCGTCCAGGGCGGGTCCGGAACCACGCCGACGACCGTAGCGCCGACGCCGTTCAGCGGCGTGCGTTTGAACTCGCCCACGGCCCCGTCCCAACAGCAGCAACGTTCCCCCACGGGGCCTGTGCCTCCCCCGAACCCCTATGTGGGAAGTAGGTTGGCGTCCACACTAAAACCGCCACAGTATCAAGCACCAGGTTCGACCCAAGAACTAGAGGATTATGAAGCTGATGAATTTGGTAAAAGAGGTGTTGGAAGGATGGGTCAGTGTCACCTGGGTTCAATTTGGCAATCAAACTTTCAAGTTTTGTTTCGGTTGAACAAAAATTGAATGCCAGACACATAAAATGTGCACTGCAGCAATTTGCTGTTTTTGGAAGAATTGGTAATCTTTTTTTGTTGAAATATGTTCATTTCATTTGTTATAGAATCAGTCAATGATACATGTGTATACAACATGTATGACAATTGTTTTTATATAGAAAGACATGTACAGTGTCCCGTAAGTGTTAACTGGCCCATCCTGAATTTGAGTGCCGTGGTTCTAACTTCTAACTCGCGGGCTGAGTATGCACCTCATTTGTTTGATTTTTAGTTGGTTGATTTCGGTGTCTAATTTTAACATTTGTAACCAGGAAGCATGGCTGAATACTAACACATCCTCCCTGTCACCCATCCAGCCTCATCCTTTAGCATGTGGACCTGTAGTCAGTGTGTGGAAGTTGTGTGTCTGAAAATGAACTTTGCAGGATTTGGTCCTCATTAACAGTTGTGTACCTAAACAAATTTTAGGCACAGGTACACGGATTTAGGTACAGGTGCGTACCTAAAAATGTACCTGAACGATTCAACAAATTACAGGTTCTTCTGAACTCCTTCAAAATCCTAGTCTTACATGCTAAAGAGTCATCTTCAATGCATATCACAAGACAATGTCATGTTCCATGAAGTCAGTCAGTTACACTCAAAATTGTGTGTACATCAGTTTTCGATGTAAAGTACATGTAGATGCAGTTTACGATGGACCCTAAACCTTGCAGAGTCCATTTTTATAACCCATCTGTACAACACAAGCAGATATTCACACGTTTCACACACTGCTGTGCATGATACTCTGGCATGGGGAATATGTGGTTACATTTAACATTGCATATACAACATTTGCTGTTTTCACATAGCTTCTAACATTTCACCTATACTCAGTACATTATACATATTGTTCAGTTCAACTTTCTTTATCATATTCCATCAGTATGCTTGCTACATTTGTCTCAGGTTTAGTTACTAGTGAGTGTGTGCATGTTTAAATTTTCTTACAAGGCATGTGTAACATTATTACAACACTGCAAGTATACAAAAAGTTCTTGCCTTCATATCAATCATCTTCTAACAACTGTTTCGACCTTGGTATTGCCAGTATAGTACTACCTACATAATGTATTTAGTAGTTTTTAAGACTTTAACAACAAGTTTACTTCTTCTCACCCCCCATCCTCCCCAAAGCAGCCAGACCGCCCCCCACAGCAATAGAACACCATGCGGAGGGTGGACCCCCGCCACAGTCCATGGCCAACGCTGTGTCCAAAATCGAGTCCATCAAGAACTGGAGCTTAAAACAGATCAAGTGCACGCGGCAGATCCTGTCGGAGCGGTTCGGACGCGGCTCCCGGACGGTGGACCTCCAGCTGGAGGCCCAGATCGAGGTTCTACGGGACACGCAGCGCAAGTACCAGCAGATCCTGCGCCTGGCGCGCGGCATGGCCTCGCACTTCTACAATGTGGTGCAGACACAGAGGGCTCTGGGGGACACCTTCTCAGGTTAGCTTGATGCATGTATATCCACTGCGGGTTCTAGTTTTAACTAGGTTTAATGGCAGTGTTGGTTTAAATCTTTGATACCAGGATAGCTGAAAAACTCACCAATCGTTTTTTGTTATTTTAGAGGGCTTGTGAAAATATTAATCGAGATCTTTTGATGGCAGCAATACAGCATCAAATTGGCCAGGCAGTATCGATCCATTTTCCAGCCAAAAGTTTGAGTCTGGATCTGTATTGATTGTTGAAATTTTACCAGCAAGTTTCTATGATCAGTTTACTGCTGCACAGTCAGTAATATTTACCAAAATCATTCATATTATCCTTGATTCGTAAAGAAAATCCATATATGTGCATCTGCTTGACTCTCTGCAAAATGGTCTCTCTATTTCTGGCTTGATTATCATACTTTGTATGTCTTGCTCTACTATTGCCGGTATTGGCTCTGCAGTTCAAAACTTCCTGCAATCTTACTGCTGCTGGCACACTCCAACTTAGTTATAGTGTGCATATCATGAAAACTGTTAATAGGCCAAATTGTCCATATTCTACAGCATGTGCAGAGACCTTACAAATGCAGATGCAGAACTCAAACTATTACAATGGTAAGAGAGACCACGGACTTTGCCTCGGTGTTCAGGTGAAGGCAGAAAAAAAATTTCAAAATGATTTACAAAACTGATCGTACAATTAGCATTGGCAGTTTTCTTGTTTAAAAAGCAAGGTCTAAGTATTAAGTTGCTTGTGATATAATCAATATAGAAAATCAAAGTGAAGTTTATTCATGATATCGCTGTCAATTGTATACATATGAAAGTGATGTTGTGGAGTATTTTAATAAAATTTGAGTGAATCAATCACAATGCAAGGTACTTAAATGTTAAAGCTAAAAACTGATTTCTGCAAATGTTGATAATTTAGCAACAGATACCAAGAGATGGTATCCATCCCATATCAAAATTTGTAATAAATGTGACAGCCTCCAGGCCTTAAAAGAACTATGTTTGTTTTCAAGACTAGGCAGTGCTTAAAAGGATGTTACGCTGCTCATGCAACTTCCAAGCTTAATAAGTCTGTGAAGACAAATGTGCTTGCATAGATCATTCTAATGCTACACATGGTTGACAACTCAAGGTGGCTTTGTGCTAGATATTTATCTCAAATAAAGAATAACCAGTTGTGGGCCCCTGGTCTTACATGTATAGATCAGATTTAAGCCATCTTAGGTATTATGTATAATTAGCCTGGGTACCATCCGGATTTTGGCTACGCAAAAACAAAATCTTTTTCAAGCGTTGCGGAGCCAAAATCTGGATGGTACTCAGGCTATTATAATATATGCAATGCCCATGAATGGCTGTTATAGCATTCTACAGTATATGCTGTACATGTTATAGCATTCTGCAGTATACAGTGTGACAAACATCAAGCAGTTTTTTTACATCAGCCATATTTTTTCTGTGTTGACAGATCTAGCCCAGAAGTCTCCAGAGTTGCAGGAAGAGTTTACGTACAACGCAGAGACCCAGAAGGCCCTGTGTAAGAATGGGGAAACCCTCCTGGGTGCAATCAACTTCTTCACATCCAACGTCAACACGCTAGTCAACAAGACCATGGAGGACACCCTGCTCACAATAAGGCAATATGAGCAGGCCAGGTAGGGACAGCAAAGCAAATTTGTATTAGAGTAAACATGGCAGAAATATGAAGTAAGTTAGGTTTTAGTTCAGTTGTGAGACTTGTCTGCAAAGTTATTGTGCAGTCTGGAAGGCTCTGAAGTATCTAGTTATTATAAATATAAGACATCGTCTATCAACAGCAGTTGTCCACCAGGTCATACCACTTTACTTTCAGGAGAGGGGAGATAAGTCTGTATTGTGTATTATAATTGAGTTATCACCCATCTTTCAAGTTGTGTAGCATTACTGGTAACTTTTGAAAATGAGATGCCTGAAATTGTCAGCAGTTGTTGTAGATATAATGCAGTGTCTACTTCCCAGAGGTTAGGAATCAAAGATTTGTTGTTCTTACACCTTGTTCCAGGGTGGAGTATGATGCGTACAGGACAGACCTTGAGCAGCTGCAGCTGGGACCAAAAGACGCGGCTGTGCAGGCCAGAATGAAGGATGCAGACAGTGCCTTCCAGGCTCACAAGGACAAGTTTGACAGGCTCAGGGGCGATGTCGCCGTTAAGCTTAAATTTCTGGAGGAAAACAAGGTGAGAACTTGTTTAGACTATTTTAGTTAAAACTTAAGGTCCAACACAAAAAGTTCTCTCACCTAGAGCTTTCGACCAGACACTCTAGATCTGGTCTTCCTCAGTAGACTGACCCAGTGAGGCTTGTAACATGCATATGGCTTCTTTGAAGTGTGACATCAACACTGCAAGGATTTTGGACACTGAACAAGACTATTTCCCGAGAGGGGTGAAGGAGGCTATTTACATCAGGGCCCATCACCCTTCACATAACGGTGACAGGGGCCAACATTGTATACCAGATACCTTAGACCCTGTGTTGACGTTACACTTCAAAGAAGCCACGTGACAAGCTTCATTGGGTCAGTATACTGAGGAAGACCAGAGTGACTGGTCAAAAGCTCTAGGTGAGAAAACTTCCTTGTGTTGGATCTCTAAAGGTGAGGACTTACTATCATAACCCACACTGAAGAAAATACACACAACAAGGTTCATCTCTATTCCCTTCCCACTTAAATAAAAATAAATATTGATTGATAATAATTATGTAATGTTGTAATAATCTTTCTACCTACTGTCTTAATTTCACAAGTTCTTTAGTTGTCTGTGTAAAGGTTATCACTGTATAACTTGATAATTTAACATCATCCTCATAATTATAACATACTACCTTCTACTGCTACACCTGTACATGTACATACACTTACATTGATGTACGTTCCATTGTCAGTGTGTGAAATATCTGGTTCTTCAGACAGTTAGCTTAGCCAAAGCTCTGCTCCTAGGTAACAAATGGAGACCAGGTTTTTCATTGGGCAGCTTTGTCACAGCAATGTTAGGCCATATCGACTTGATTTTATGGATGACATCCTTTCAAGGCCCCCAAACATGCTGGCCTTTGGGGGAATTTCTGAATCTGCACTGTACGTATGTGGAGCTTCGGAAGCCTGGGTGCCATCTTCCAGAGTTACCACCGACTCTGTTTTGTTGCTAACTACCATGGACCACCTAGGCCTAGAGCCAGGCCAGAGCCTTGGTGGACGTGATCTTTTTTTTCTTTTGTTTTTTGAGAACAGGCGAAATGTCATCCATAAAATTAAGTCGGTGTGGCCTTAGGTACAAAACACAAACGTTGTATTTCACACACTGATGTACAACGTCTGGTTTTGCCGCACACATAGCCTCACCAGGACAAGTTTACTAGGCTTAGCGGTGACGTGGCTGTCAAGCTTTCGCTATTGGAAGATAATAAGGTAACCTGGCTGTCTGTGAGGCTGGCCACAGGTGACGTTACGCCAAAAAGCAGTTACTCAAACAACTGGATATGATTTTGGAAACGGTCAGACGTTTCAGCTAGTATGTTTTCTTGTAACTTCCCTCAGTTCATGCTGAACTTCGTATTATTCATTTATTTATGTATAACTTCCAGTTATACTGATTTCATTTACATTTTTTGTCATGTACTTTGTATATAACTATTATTCTTTTACTTATTGTACCCCCCTGGGCCTCCTTGGAAATCAGCTATTGGCTGAAGGAGCTACCCAGGTGTCTTTGAAGATTAAATAAATAAATAAATAAAGACTGAGAGACCAGAGGAGAAATGCAGGTTTATAAGCACTAACTATTGATTGATATGCAAATAAGGTAATTTCTTGGAAGTCGAAAACGGAACAAAAGTCAGACAAGTCAAGACAAGTTAGTTCTTATGAACGTGCATTTCTCCTCTGGTCCTCTCAGTCACTGACGAAAGCTAGTGGATACTACCTGAAACGTCTGACCGTTTCCCAAATCATATCCAGTTGCTTGAGTAACTGCTTTTTGGCGTATCGTACTACCTGGATGTCTAACCTTCATCGACGTACACAGGTGACGTTTTTTGTCTTGTGGCCTCTCCGAGAGGATGTTGTTCGGCTGTTACCATGTAGACCTGTAAGAAACCATCCCGGCCTGTTTGTAGTGGCAAAAATCGATGTTTGTGGAAGTGGAGTTTTGTTTTTTTGTTTTGTTTTTCTACAGTTCCTCCAGTCACAAACATGTTTCCTTGACAGCCACGTAACTTTAAGCCTGTCACCATTGATATTTTTCTTTCCTAGCGTCAGCATGGCCTTGTGATTCTGTTCGTCATTTTCTGTGCTGCATCTTGTGTATGTTCTTGGGCAATGCTCGCGTTATTTTGTTTGCTGCTGCTGTTTATTGATGAATAATACTGTGATGTGATGCATTTACTTTCGAGGTGGGTTTAGTTTGCAGTACAAGAAACAATTCTGCAGTACATCATCAACATCAATAGTAACACAAAACTACCTTCGCAGAAGGAAAACATATTGTTTTTTGCTCTGTTTCTTCTTCCTCTCCTTCTTCTCCAAACAAATAAGGTCAATGACCTGAACCAGGCATCTGTCACCATGGTAACTGGTGTTGGGTTACATCATGTTGCAATTTCATAGCAGGAGGGATTTAGACTCCTGTCACCATATATGTGAATGTGTTTGAGTAAGAATTAACAGAGCAGACCACATGCGAAGGTAAACGTTATGCATTTGCTTTGCAAATGTTAACCTTTCTAGTTCTAACTGTCTTCCCTTCATTTGCATACGACCCCAGGTGAAGGTCATGCACAAGCAGCTGCTCCTCTTCCACAACGCGATCTCCGCGTACTTCGCCGGGAACCAGACGGCACTCGAGGCGACGCTGAAACAGTTCAACATCAAACTCAAGTCCCCCGGGGAGGAGAACCCCTCCTGGTTGGAAGAGTAGCCCGGGAACAAGAGCGGGTCGCCCCCCTGTAATATGATAGTTCTGTATAAATAGCATGTCAAGTGATGCACCTTCTTCTCATGGGCTTGAATGTGGCTGTTGGAAGAGTGCCCTTTGAACAAGAACCAATAGTCCTTAAAAATACCTAGAATGTCACTAAAGCCATCTTCTTTCCATGCTACCATGTAGTACCATGTTTTGTGTTTATAGGAACCACAGTAACTACATGTACATGTAGGTGGTGCCTACTTTCAAAAGAAGTGGCTTTGTCGCATATATTGTTGTTTACATGAACATCACATATGTTGGCTGCCAACAATACATACATTGTACATGTATACTGTGTTTTAATGATAATAGAATACATTTCAAAGAATTGATATTCTTTGGGACACATCATCCTAGTCTTAGTTCATCAATATCTTGAGCTAAATGTACACTCGAAGCACACAAAATACCAGGGAGACATGTAGTAACTTTTATATGCTGACTACTGTTAGGTTCGGTACTCTAAAAAATGCTCCCTAAAGCTTTTGTGACAAGAGCTAGAATTTAACATAAGATAGTACGTACATGTACATTCATTTCTTATGTTAAAGTAGATCCAGTGAAAAAGTACTGGATAGAAAACGTACACGAAAATATTGGTAACATGAGGAGAAGATGGCATCACAAATTTCTGATGCAAATAACATGTCCCACATGCTTGGGACGTACAATACCTGTACAGGTGTTAAGTTATAAATGTAGAGCACACTTGTCACCATGTGTAAGTATGTAGTTAGTTGTTTCTATGTGGAAAAAGGTATTAGTGAGTTCATGTGTGTATGTAACACCTCCAATGGGGGTTACCATTGGCATAGGGGTAGATAAGATATTGGGGTATTTTTTTTTCTTTCAAAAAGGGAAACAAAAACAGAATACCAAAATGCTGAGAGTAAGATAAAAAGGTGTACATGTAAAGAAAGTGCTGTGTTCTAGGTATGGTAGATACTGTTTTTGTAGGGAGGGGTGTCAGCGGGGAAAGTACACAACATTGTGCAAGTCTAGAAGCTAGAAGGCACCGTAGTTTGTAAAAAAAAAACTGTTGGTAAGGCACTAGGAAAGAAATAAGGATTTTCCAGCATTGTTTGCAAGTGAGCTTTTGTGCTTTTTTTGTAATGTTAGTTCTGTGAACTTGTTTTGCAAGCTTTAATATAGGCAGAACCTTGGTAGAAAGCACTGTGCCTGGGCAAAGCCCTTATTGTGCATAGCACTTCAGCAGAACGTCAGATTTGAGGCCATATTCCCATCTATAGGTTACAAATGTTGTGTGTACCTTTTTACGTGTACCGTCTGCAATGGGCAAAATTCATGCACCTTAGTGAAAAAATACACAGATATTATAACAATTACAAACAAGCTTCATTGTCAGTTACTATGATCCTTTTGCCTACCCATGTAACTAACAGGGAATTTGGTAGCCAAACAGCTACTTCAGTTTTCTAAAAACTGCACAAGTCACAGAAAAGCTGTACTGTTGCTATTGTACATGTATATACTCATGTTATAACACGATCTTTGCTTTATACTGTTCCCCAACAGAGCACAAACCTATTTGACTTGTGTGTGTGCACTCTAGGGCCTGGTCACTCTTGCTATGCCATCATCCTACATTGCAAGCTAGGGGTATAGTCGTGTATGTGTGCTTCAAAATACAGCTGTCTTGTTAGGGAAAAGGTTATAATATCTTACTCGTACTCTTAGATCCTTGTCCGTGGCTGGTCCTGTCATATCCTGCCTGCAAATTCTACAGCATCAGAATAACACAACAACCTACGGTGATTGTGATGTTACTGAACAACATGAAAGGGGACTGTTCCAAAGCCCATTTTGTCAGTGCTTAGTAAAACGAACACAAAGAAAACTTAAGAGGACTTTGACATGAAGCTACATGTTTGGGCCATGCCATGGTGGATCAAAATGCTTGTCCCTAACTCTAGCCAGTGCTTACCACTATGTGAAAGGAGGCTTGTACTTGTTTAATGCCATCCTTAGTGCCTGGAATTATTATTAAACATGTTACTATTACCATCCTTCTAATAATCTGCTAGCTTGTTATCTTATTCTATTTTTTGCTGCCTTGTACAGGTTTTTGTTAAGGACTAAGACATAGTCACAGCAAAGGCTGTTAGCTTCTCTGTGTATAACTGGATGTATGGGATAGTGCATGTTTTGGGGTGTATTGGAATAAGAGTGGTGAATATATATATATAAATATAAATGTATATGTAGAAATGCTTTAATACAATCGCATATCAGTCCCAATGTTCGCTTAGATTTCTGCTGTACATGTAAATAATTCTCATTGACCATCTAATGAACTAAAACAACAAAAGGTTTTCAAATGCGATTTATTTATTGTGTTGCTGCATTTCAACTGTTTGTACTATAGATAACTTAGCCTTACTATAAATTATAGTAAGGTCAAGTTGAAAAACTTGTTCTTTTGCATTTGCAGGGGGGAAGGGAGGTTCATTGCCTGAATGCTATTTCTGAGATTTCTGTTCTGTAGATAATTATTCCAGGAGGTTATAAAATAAGTTGCTACGATCTGTGTTAGGTGCTACGTTAAAGTTTCTTATTCAGACGATAGAATACCTTGACTCTTTGATTTTGCGATTAAAGTCAATGGAGCAATGCCGAATGTAGTTTTGTCGTGTGGTACTCGTGTCGTGTGGTACTCAACACTCGTAGAGTATAGTGGTGTGTATACACATTTGTTTGCTCTGGCAAAGCATAGTCGCTATAAACTTTTGTCACATTTACAACATGAAGCACTAACCTGGCCACTCAACGGAAATTTTTATTTATCTTATTTTATTAAATCATTATACATTTATTTTATTACAATAATTCTGTTAGTGACCGCAAATACAACATCAAACGAAAGGTAATCAAAACAGGATTTGCTACTACAAACTTGTAATGACAACTACGCGTACTTAACAGGTGGTAAGTGCAGTAAACATCGCTGGCGCATGGTGGCGCGATGGTAACATTCTTGCACTTTGCTTGACCCTGACGTGTATAAATGATTAAGTCGGGCTGCGTTGCAGTTCGAACTTTGTACCGACCGGCGCTAAAGGCAGCGAGCATAAAAACAGACGACAGAGTGCCAAAGAAGCAGCGTACTAGTATATTGCCCTAAGAGGACTGTCACTTCGTGGTTACGTCACCGTACCAATGAAGGGTCAAGGTCGAGGTGAACCTATGGGGCAAAATGGGCCCAGTGTTAGGAAAGGGACGTCATCAGAAGGAGAGGTGAAACAAAGTCCACAGCTGTACGTGTCATCTACCAAGCGGATATGGAAGAACCTAATAGTGATAGCTGTCGTCTTCCTGGTGAACTTCACGGCGTTTCGCGCCATACAGAACCTGCAGAGCACGCTGAACAGCGCGGCCGGACTCGGCGTGGTGTCTTTAAGCTGTGTGTACGCGTGCATGGTGCTGTCGTGCCTGTTCGTGCCCATTCTCATCCACAAAGTCGGCTCGTGCAAGTGGACCGTCGTGGTCTGTTTACTGGGGCACATTTTATACACAGGATCCAACTTCTACCCATCCTGGTACACTCTGATACCGTCTTCAGTGTTGCTGGGGGCTATTTCGGGTCCGCTTTGGACGGCACAGCTCACCTATTTGACCCGCTCTGCTCAGGAATATGCCAAACTGTTAAAACGTGACAGCCCGGAGGGTGACCTTGCCAAGTTCAACGGCGTGTTCTACTTTACGTTCGACTTGGCCGGGCTTAGCGGCAACCTTATTTCGTCCTTGGTGCTCTCTACAGGTATGAATGAATGATCTCTACAGGTATGAATGAATGATCTCTACAGGTATGAATGAATGAACGAACGAACGAACGAATGAATGAATGAATGAAAGGTTTATTGATCAACATGATCCTTAAAAAGTACATCGCAGCCAGGTAAAGTGGCTGAATTGCATACTTTTCACATCAATAGACAAGGCTATCTACAAATTGACATTTGGTATAAATATCAATATTTATATATACTAATAATGTTCCAAATAGGTAGACAGGACATCGGGAAGGGAGAGCTGGAGTTCTGCGGCGCGAGGGATTGTGGGATTCGTCCCGAAACCAACTGGACTCTTCATTACGTCACTAGAAACTCTAGCACGTCTTACAATCATTCCACCGCCGGACTTTCAGACGACAATTTCAACCAACAGGCGATTATCTACACACTTTTCGGGGTCTTTCTCGCGTGCAACGTCTTGGCGGTGTTAATTGCAGTACTTTGTCTCGACAAGGATGTCAGAAGCCCGGAGCTGGCGTCCGCTGAGCCTGTCCCTACGGTGTCCCAACTCCTACTCCGTACAGTCCGCGTGTTGAAGGATGTTGACTATGTACTCCTGATGCCGCTACTGGTCACCATGGGGATGTCCGAGGCCATCGTAGCAGGAGAGATCACAAAGGTACGGATTCTTAAGTACTAGTACCTAATACCAGCTCAGAAAAGAACTTGCAAGAAATAGTCATGCCTTCAAGTACCAGAGTTATCAACCAAGGATTGAGGTGTTAAAAAACTCATTTTTTCCTAGAGCTATCGCAGAGTGGAACTCGCTGTCACCAAGTACAGTACGGGCATTATCATTACATGGCTTTAAACAATGTTCAGCGTTACATGTTCAAGGGTTAGGCGTAACAAGTCGTTCGGTGTAATGTAGCCGGCTGCCTCCGCACCGCGTGCCTGCGAAGCTGGTGTGTGACGCCGAAGGGCGGTTATACCGGCTACTAGTACAGATACAGAAGCTGGTGTGTTACGCCTAAGGGCTGTTATACCGGCTATACAGATACAGAAGCTGGTGTGTTACGCCGAAGGGAAGGGCAGTTATACCGGCTATACAGATACAGAAGGTGGTGTGTTATGCCCAAGGGCGGTTTTACCGGCTATACAGATACACTACAGATACAGATACTAATATTGACGCCATTGTTTCAGTCGTACGTCAGCTGCGTCCTGGGTGTACAGATGGTGGGTTACGTCATGGTGTGCTTCAGCGTCACCAGTAGTGTGTTCTCTCCCCTGTTGGGTCACCTGAGTAAGCCATTCTTTCTACTACAATTGTAACGGGTACAATGCATGGCAAACTCTTCAGTACTACATATCTAGCTAACATCTACTCTCACGTCTACGTACAGTAATGCTTACAAGTTCTATGTATCGAAAATAACACACTACAAATGTATTTCAAAAAGGAAGAAGAACTTTATTGCACGACAATTGCACATGGTACAATGTATGGCAAACTACATAAAGAGAGTAGCAACAATAAAATAAGTGTGTTGAATAAGACCGACGGTCGAATAAAAAACCTAATATATCTATGTCATAATTATTCAAATAATAAGGGATAGCACAAGTCCTTGATAAAGTGTTACAATCGAGTGGGCTAATCACAAGTTTCGGTATTTTCAAAAAGGTAAGTACGCGGGCACCAGGATCATCATCCTCGCCGCTGTGGGCGTCAACGCCGTCCTGCTCATTTACATGTTGCTATGGCAACCGGATGAGGGCTCCCTTGCCAGAATCCTGTCCGTGTCGGGAGGATGGGGCGTGGTGAGGGCTGTCTGGCACACTCAGCTGTACGGTACGTATGTATCAATCTCCAAGCAGATCATACGGGGCCAGGCAGTGTCCATTAGCCACCGAAGTTGGGTGGCCAGTGGATACTGTCTGACTAATGGATACTGCCTGGCAAATCTCTTTTGCGGCCACCGAAACACATGCTTTGAGATCACGGTATGTATGACTAATGGACACCTCCTCTGGCCACCGTATGATCTGCTTGGAGACTTGTTTGCCATAATCGTTCTTGGCCAGTTTCTTATCTACAATGACCCTATTACATTCCCGTACTTTGAGCTCAAAGCAGACCAATAAACCACGTATTATTTATTTTCTACGTCTTTGTAGCTCGTATAGGGTCCGGCTTGTTTTGCCCGTTTTGTTCTTATTACCGGGTCAGCGTTTTTATCTCGAAGCCTCCTCTCGTACACATCTACCGTCAAACGCACCATGTGGAGGCGACGAGCTACAAAGACTTACAAAATAAATAATACATAGTTTATTGGTCAAACAGTACCCGTGCAATCGCTTATAGCGCTGATCAGATGATACACGCGATACACATATTTACTCCACACACACTTTTGTTGTGGAACTGCCTCAAGGGTCTGTGCGGCTGTCGTTCGGCGCCACAAGGTGACCTCAATACGACTTTCCCTAACCGAAGTTATGTATGTACCCATTCACACCTGACATGGGTGGAGTGAGCCTTTCCCAAGGCGGCAAAATACTATAAAAACACGCACAAAACTCCCGGTATCTACCTGTATCTGCTTTAGATAGATTTGAAATATACGCCAAAAAGCAGTTACTCGAGCAACTGAATATGATCATGATTTTGGAAATGGTCAGACGTTTCAGCTAGTATCCGCTAGCTTTCGTCAGTGATTGAGAGACCAGAGGAGAAATATAGGTTTATAAGCACTAGCTGAAACGTCTGACCGTTTCTAAAATCATATTTAGTTTCTTGAGTAACTGCTTTTTTGGCGTATCTTATTACCTGGATGTCTAACCTTCAGCGAAGATTTGAAATATCTTTCTTTCCCTTCAGCTGTACTCGGAACCACATTCCCGCGTAACCAGGAAGCCGTCTTCGCCAACGCCAAAATGACGCAGAGTGTCGGCAACATGCTGGTGTTCGCCTACAGCGCAGGTCTTGTTTTTGTTTTGTTTGTTTATTTATCCAGGAAATACATATCGCCTGGTGGCGTTTTTCAATTACTCCTGAGGGGGAAACCCCCAAAACAAAAAAGCAATTAACAACAAAAATGATGAGTGGCGTCGGTGGCGCAACGGTTAGAGCGTTGGACTCGGAACCGAGAGGTCCCGGGTTCGATACTCACCGTAGCCCGACGTTGTGCCCTTGGGAAAGGCACTTTACACGACTTCCCCACCTATACGGTGGAGTGACGCCCACCTGTCTGTCAAGGTGCCAAAAACACCTTACGGATTTGGTGCGCCGATGTGACAACATCTCATATCTGCCACTGAGAGCCGTAATTTTTTTTTAACAACAAAATCAACGCAAAATTAACAATGGCATCAAATAAAGTTACTCAGATTACAAATTGATACAAAATCAAAGTAACTTAAAAACATACATAAAAATCATACTACTAAGATAAGATTTTTATACTTGTTGTTATTGACTATGTAAATTTTGATGTTGTGTATGTGTTTTTGTATGGGGGAGGGCAACTTGTAAAGTTTCGTATGCCTTCTTTTGCCCACCTTGACCTTGTTTGCCTCCCCCCCCCCCCCTTTCCACTTTGTGAAACATCAAAATAAACAAAAAAGAGAAACAATATTGTAATCTTAACACCAGGTCTGTGCATGGACGTGAAACTGTACATCTACGCGGCTCTGCTGGCGATGGGAGTGGCGGGGTACGGAGCGGTGGAGTGCCGGAAAACGCGCAACAAGAACAAGAACAACCCAGGAGACAACACACCGGGAAGTACGGAAGGTCCGGAGAAGGGTTGTGAATGTGACGCCGCTCCGGAAAGATGGGATCTTTTGGAAAGGGAAACGTCGTTATAACCATTCTTGAAACCAGCGAATAAAAGCCTCTGTGGTACCAGTGCAGATATTCAATTGTGACTTATATCAATCTGTCACATATGATAAAACTGAATATAACGTCCGGTTCTCAACAGTAATGACGAAAGACTGAAAAAAGCGTATCTGCTGTAAATGGACCAATACTGTACTTCTAATAAAGTATTACACACAACACGTTTCTTTGCTTGCTTCTTTGTATCAAGATCTAAAGATGTGTTGACAGCCACTCTCCGGGTATGGCAAGTCTACATTGTCATCATAGTGAGATACAAGTATCTATTGCCAGGGCATGACGGCGAACGTTGGGTTTGAAAAGTAAGTTACATGGCATCACGATTCGGGAGGGAAACACTTTTCAGGGAGAGAGCTCCAGAATCGAAGAGCTACTTGTGTCGCTCCAGGCTCTAGTGTCGCTCATGTCTTCCTGATAATCCATCTCGTCATGTTCACTCAGTGTCTCCCCTTCGTCTAGTTCCGACCCGTCGCTGTGGAAGCCCCTCGCGGTGGGGACCCACTCCCTCTCCCGCCTAGCCCGGTCGTCCCTCTCCCTCAGTCGTCTCTCCATGTTCGTGTGGCCGTCGTGCAACACCTCCTCCAGACCCATACCTATCCAGAAAAATTGAGTACGTTTAAGTTAAGAAATAAAAAAACAGTAAAATTTAGCCAAGAGGAAGAATGATTGGTGGGCATATAAGACAGGATGTGTCGTCCAAAATCTAGCTGTCTTTTGCGTTTGACGAAAAATGTTGTCGTATACGTAAATGTTTCGCCTCACATTGGACAAGAAATTGCACGAATGTGACCGACCCTTTAATAATATGTAGTTCTCTATATAACGTGATGCTTAAAGTAAAAGTGATTTCACCTGTGTAACTGAGTACCCCTATCAGCCTACTTCCACTGCTCTTATAAACGCTTGAATACATAGAACAAGTATAGTCTCAGACGATGACTTCTAAGACTGTGCGACCCGGCTCGTGTGCTCTTCATTATGAAAACAACCCAACAGTTTGAAGGCTAACTTGTAACCTTTCTGCTCCGTAAGAATAGTGATAAATGGCATGGGAATGCATAAAAAGTGTCCGCACAGAAAATCAAAAGCCAACAGTTCCTCTTTCTACTAACGTCTGCGACCGCGCGTAGCGACCAGAATTTTGGCAGACGCTCAACTAATTTTATAGAGTAAGTTCTATGTCTTGATGTCTTTTGAATTGTACATGTACTTTAACATCTTGCATCATATTTCTATAAAGCAAGAGGCACACAAATACAATTTTGTCGCTTGGCAATCGCCATCCCTGCGTATATACGTACATGTAGTAGTGGAAATGGGGCCTAATTAACTAAAACGTTACCTATGGTCCTTCTCATCCTGTACATCCTGAGGTAGCGGCAGTCTTGTATGGCTGTGTCCACCACGGGTACGGCGTCCTTACGACTCGCCTCGTAACCCCTTCTCTCCAGGTTTAGCGGCTTGTTCTTGTACGCGGGCCGCAGCCAGCCCTGCGGTCGGAAGACTTTCTGTGCCGAGCGGCTTCGGCTGCTCTGTGTGGTCCCCGCCCGCCGTTTGGCGGCAAGGATCCGGGCACGTATCTCTTCGTCCAGCATGGACGTCTTTACGCCTTTGTTTATACCAGACTGTTTGGTCGCAGCATCGCCTTTTTGGACGGATAATCCGTTGGTTATCAACCCCGAATTCGGTACTACACTCTCCATTAAGACAAAACTAAACCTAGCTATACATTAGAGTAATGGAATTTGTGGAAGCAGAAACGTGCATGCCACACCATGTGCACTACAGTTAACACAGGACTGCTAGCGCGGAATTAGACTACTGTATAGTATGTCGTACTGTAATAAGAAAAGGTCTGTCACGGTTAGTTGACGATGACACTTTCTTGAAGCACTCTTAGAACAGCGTGTTGTTCAGATGATTCATTCCGGTGGGCAAAAGAAAATCTGTGTATCTTGAAGACCACTTCAAGAAGACCATACGGCTAGGGCGTGATACTGGGGAGTCCTTCACTGATGGTGCGTGGAGAAAAATATACTCGAGCACTTCCCTTGTATGTTTTGGCCTATCTTTACGTTACGCTTGGGTGATGGTGAAAAAGGCGATGCATTCAACATCTAACCACTGCCGTGCCATTCATGTCACAGATGGACGCATATGGAGGGAATTTTTGACCATGCAAAAATAAAATATTTCATACCAAGAATGCCAAGATCATAGCAGAAGCAACGTATTCATATAACGATGTATTCATCTTCATCAATTTCTACATGATGAGTATCGTACAGTGCAGGTATACACTACAACCTAGGGACGGAGCGAGCATGATTACTCTCCAAGCAGAGGTTTGCATTTTGGGTTATTTCGGGCATGCTTAGGCTTTTTTTATCGGGGTTTCTTTTTTTACTGGAATTATTTTTTTCACCCAACCCAAAAAAAAAAAAAACCCTAAAAACACTTGAGCTCCAAAAATAACCCAAACCTCTGCTTGGAGAGTAAGCATGCTCACTTGCACGTCTTTTTGGACGGTTCTCCACATACTGCATAATGGCTAACCTAATAAGGGCTTGCTGCACACAGAGTAGGATAAATACATATCCACATACTAGTAACCCACTCTACAGGCCCCTTGGAAATATGAATGAGGCATAAGTCTGATAGCGACTTCTATAGATTTTTATTTTCCAATGATGACAATGTTCGACCATACAATTTTTTCAACATGACTGTAGAATTTCTTGTTATCGTCCTGTTCAACCACACTAGTACTGGCAGGTACAACATGATAATTACATTAAATGATGTTTAGCAAGTGAGACGCTATTTATTTCTTCAAAATGCATCCTTTAACTTCAATCCATCTTGCCCAAGTGTTAAAACATTTTAGGTTGTCCTAAAATCTACTCTGCTTCTTTTGCTGCATTTTGGCTGCGGCTTTTTTCTTCATCATCTGCAGTCTCTTGTTAGCGTCTTGCGACTGCGATGTTGGTAGCTGCAGCATTCTGCCTCCATTCCCTCCCGGCTTCGCAGCGCCGCTTCCTGACGGTTTCACGCTCGAACTTGACACCGACGGCGGCTTCCCCGAGCCTCCTCCTAGCTTAGCCATGCCGCTCCCTGTGCTACCACTACTGCCGCTAGACAGGAATTTACTGGAACTCCCTGATGAGGAAGATTTTGATGTGACGGCAGCCTTCATGGCAGCCAGGCCCTGTTTCCCGGCGGCGGCAGCTGCAGGTTTGGCACTGCTGAAGGGACCGGCCGGTGCCTTGGTGGTGGTGGGGGTTTTGGGGAGGGAGGACTTCCCGCTGATGTTAGCCGCCCAGCTGGCCAGTCCGGTGAGCTGTGAGCCTGACCCCGCACTGGACAGGGTCGAGGAGGACGTCATGGACGACTGGAAAACAAAATTATTACATTTTTAATGTATATCTGTAAGGCTCAGTTTTAGCTCATTTTACCTTACAATGCATTGTGACTTCTCAGTTTTCCAACAAGTACTTCTTGGTTTTTTAATGGTGCAAGAAGTGCTTAGAAAGTTACTGGTACATGTACATGTAATGATATATTACACAAAAAATATTTGTGGTTCAGTAAGGCTACCTATATATATTAGCCTTTGTTACTAGTACATACATGTATGAGATAATGAAAGATATAACATTGAGAGTGTGTGTGAAATTTATAGATAATATTCAGTCACTGATAAAAGTGAGTGAATGTCTGACTCTTTATTTATGCAGCTGTATATGTATAATGCTAGATATTTTTGAACTCTCAAAGAGACAGAGGGCAGAGCTAGGTTTTCTTACTGTTTCCGATCTCTTAAACAGCTGCATGGTGGAGAGGTCTGGAGTCTTGGGTTTGACAGAAGCCTGGTCCTTCTCTCTGCTACTGGATATGGTGGAGGTGGGCTTGGACTTCTGGGCCTTGGATGCCTACAAACAGTGTAGTACAACATCAAACTTGTAGACAAACATTCCAACAACAGCACACAACACTCGGGCAATAGTAAAAGCCACAAATGCACAATCACCAAGACAAAATAAATTCAATGGCAACGGCATACAGAGGAGCACATCGGCAGAACGTACTGCGCCTGTGCAGAACCCTACATTTTGACGCTTTTCGGTGGATTTTTGGTAAACGTTGCATCAGAATTCTGCCTGCTGCAGACGATATATTTTCCGCCATAACATTTCTAAACTACAGACAAGATATTAACCTTATGTGCGCAAATACGACATTATATAAGACGTTTTTCCTGATATGCCATGTATATTAGGCCATGTTGATTTGATTATATGGATGACATCCGCGCGCGCATGAATTTTCGGTCGTTTCCAAAAAAAAAAGAAGTTTTCAACCATACTGTAAATCGTGCAAAACAGTTGCTAAATGAGCAAAAATATACCATAAGTTGCAAGGAAAACATTTAGAAACGATACAATGTCGTAGAATGCCAAAATCAAAGGAAAAAAGACAAAAATGTAAAGAAATGAATTCGAAGAGTAGATTATTTGCCATAACATATTCTGTGCCATTTGTTCAACCTTCATGACCACGTAGATTTCATAGTGAAAGCAACTTTTTTTTTTTGCAAAACTTTTTTTTTATTCGCACGCGCGCATCAGTTTTGGGGTTCCCAGAGGATGTCATCCATATAATCAAATCAACATGGCCTTATACATAACTGGTTTCGCGCAGGTGCAGTACGTTCTGCCAACATGCTATGGTACACAGAGGAGGGACACACACACACTGGGGAGTTATGAAAGGGTTAATTGGACAGACCTTGAGCGGTGGTAGGGCCTGGATCTTGTTCTAGGACAAGTGACAAACAACAGTCATGTACATGGGTTCAACAGCAAGAGGAGACAAGTACTGCCTCAGTCACATTTCCAATACAGCCTGAACTTTTGCGGATCTCTTGGCCCAGACTGGGCTCTGAAAAAAAATTGGACTACTTCCTTTTACAGTCACAGTGTAAATTTCATAATCATCTTGTTGTGAGGATTTCAAAAAGAGTAAAAAAATCATTTACACTAATTAGTGTAAATTTTAAAAAAGAGTAAAAAAATCATTTACACTCATTAGTGTAAATTTTCCTTCACACTAATCCATTTAGACTTAGGTCAAGTGGCTTTCTTTTTACCGGAAGTAGCCAAAGCCCAAAAATTGCCTTGCAAGTGCAAAAAAAAAAGAGTACTACTTAGTACATGAACCTGACAGGCCATCGGTTTGGAAATGTGACCGCAGCTTGTATCCACAACTTGTCTCCTCTGATTCTGAAGTGCAGTAGTCTTGATTCAAACAACGCCGCGAGTTTCACACAATAAACAGTCATGTTGTTGTTGAGATGTAAGTGCCAAGTAAACAGTAACAAAGTGACTGAATGTCTGTCGGATCGTACCATTTTCCTGATGGTGCGGGTACAGCGCTGACAGTACCAAACCTTCCGAGGGTCGTTCACATCACTGTCTGTCACGGGCGGACGGTGACAGTCCTGAAGGGGAAAGAGATAGAACTTTATTGCACAACTGTGAACAGTTGTACAAGGTACAATGCATGGCAACAACTATTGAACACAGTACCAAAAGAGGCACTGAATAAAACTTAACATTCTCATTACTAAAACAATAATGGCTATAGCATTTGTCTTTAATATTAAGAGTTAAAATTGAGTGGGGCAAATCTTTCATGTACATTGTAAGTACCTACTAGTATTTTTGCACTGTGGGAGTTGATGCATCTTATTGATATTCTCAAATCCGTCTGTAGCATTGTCTCTTGAAATCTGTGTTCTTAATTTGAGAAATGTGAATAGTACTAGATAATGATTTTGGCAAATAATAGATTTGAGCTAATGATTTTTAATTTCTAAATGCTCTTTGGTAAAATTTGACTCTTTCAATAAAAATTTAAGCATGTTTTCCCAGCAATGACTTTGGTATGACTTGCTTGGGGATCGAACCCACGTCCTACCACATGTGAGCTGCCAGTAAACTGTATTGCTATGGCGTTGACTGAGACTGAAGACTCCTGTTACTGACCTGATGGTACAGGTTGTGGCACTCCGCACACTCCACCAGCTGGTTACCTGGAGTCACGTTCATCTGTCTGGAGATGACAAAAACAAAAAAAAAAATCAAGTTTGTTGCAGAGATCACTGGGAAAAGTTATCTACATTTCTGTATCTGTATCTGTATCGGTATAGCCGGTATAGCCGCCCTTCGGCGTACACACCAAAATACTTTTATATAGCAGTTAAGTAGAAACTGCCAACAAGGGACAGAAAAGTCTTTGTATTACTGTACTCAGAAAGAAGCACACTTTATACTGATTTGTGGTGTTTTTATTTTGTGGTAGGAGAGCTGATTAATGTTGAGTAGTTGTGTCAGTTCATTTTGGTGATGCTGAAGAAGAGTGATGGATGTCACTTGAAATGTCCAGAAGTATTATCTCTGTAATTTATCCAGTAATAGAGTTGGAATAGCTTTGACTTTGAATAGATAGAGAAACAGAAGCTTTACATTTTTTATGATCTCATGGTAAGAGGTCACTGTGAAATCTGTATTATGAGTTCTTTATTGCAAGTTCATACCCCAGGGCTAATTGCAAACAGACATTGACAATAACAATGAGTACAGAATGTATTGAGGAGTGATATAAAACTATATGCTGACATGGAGCTCTACGATCTACTTATCTAACTTTCTACCTCTACCTAAAACTAATAGCGTACATGTACATACATAAGATAAAGAGTGGCAATGTAATTAAGTACCACTGACCTGCAGATGACACACACCAGCCCCATCTCCTCAGCAAACTCATCAGCGCTGGTCTCCATCCCCTCCTCTCCCTCCTCCTCATCTGACGACTGCTCTTTCTTCAGGACCGGCGGGGAGCCCTCACGCACCGTGGGGGGGTCTGGCTTCTCCAGCTTAGGCTTCTTATGCTCTTTGTTCAGGTCAGTCAGGTCCTGTTTCAGCTGATAGAGATAGGACAGAGTCATGTTTAATGAAGATAGAGAGAGTTGTCACTCATTTTCATAACAGAGAAGCAGGTACTGAATGCCATGCACCTATTTGCATTCTAATGGCTTTAGCTCAAACGTGCATATTTTTGGTGTGTTTCATTGGCAAGTCTTTGTTCAGGTCTGTCAGGTCCTGTTTAAGCTGATAGTGATAGTGATAGGACAGAGTCATCCAAAAATAGTTTCATCAGGTTGGTAAAGCATAGGATGTAGGGATTTTCTTTCACACAACAAGTCTCGTCTCACCTTGCTTACACTTCGGTGTCAGAAGCTCTGAGGAAGGTGTCTGATAGACACCAAAACATAAGCAAGGTGAGACAAAACTGGTTGTGTAAAGGACAGAGTCATGTTTAATATAGATAGAGAGAGTTGTCACTCAATTTTCATCACAGTGAAGCAGGTGGGTTATGAATGCCATGTTGGTGGACCTACATGTATTTGCATTCCAATGGATCTATGCTCAAATGTACATTTTTTGTGTATTTCCGTGGCAAGTTTTCTGATTAGACATCTAACAATGGTCATTAGAGAAGGTATAGGTAGACTGTAGTATTTGAGAAGGATATTTGAATGTCCAAAAATGTTATATAAAGTACAAATGTATAAGTATAATACACTGAAATGCAAACAGGGACACCAACATATTTATCTATTTACAAGTATTTCATCTCAGGGTAGCTGGGTGGCCCCATTCATTCAACATAGCTGATGACATGTGAAAACGCTCTGTCACCTTCTCCAGGCTGCGTTTGTCCGGCTGTTTTTTCGGCGGATCAGGTGTGGATCGTCCCGCACCGCTGCCGCTCAGGGAGGGGGACCGGCGCTCCTTCTGTCCCGGGACCATCAGGCGGTTCATCTGGCCGTGGGGCGACCCTTTCCTACCCTCCACATCCTGGAATATTTAAGTATTTTAACACTTTGTTAAGGGTGCTATTGAATGTATATTATGTACTATGATATCCAGTCAAAACTGTTCTAGTGATTACCTAGAGCTGCTTAACCATAAGGACCACCTGGCCATCATGACAACTTTTTTGGTGGACCTTTTTCTCTCATTGACTCAAGGAGCAAATAATTTTGTCACCTGTGTATTGTGAACAATTTCTTCAACTCCCTTGAGTGTTCAATACTGACAGGTCTTACTAGTCCTGGGAATAGAACACTTCAAACATTGTAGTTGTGTAACAAACAAAGTCATTTATTCAGTAAAAAGGTTTACAACATTCTACAAGTAATATGATATTTCTTGAAATTGGGTCTTGTAGAATCATCAAGATTGCAAATGTCTAGTTCTAGTATCTACAGATGCATCCAACACACTGCACTCTCTACACTACAAGAAGGGGGATGTTTTAAGTCTACTAGTACACTAAGTTGTTAGCAGAGAACAGGAAGGAGTAGGAGATTGTAGGAGCAAAACCAAGGCACACAAGAGAGAAAAGTCACACTTGTGGGTTGACCTGTGCCTTCTCCTCAACTTGTGTTTTCCCCTGACCCACAGTGTCTGCTGATGGAGAATCCTCCACCTCGGGGACACAAGAAGCAACAGTGTTACACTCCACTAACATGCATGGTTCTTCTTTACACAGAATGAAATGATGTGATTGGTTGATGTTGATGATAACATGATGCAGCCTGCGCCACGGCTTTCTAATAATATGATTTGTGATTACTAGTGCTTGGTGCAGATATGCTATAATGGGTCAGTCCTGGGCACCCTTCTACACTGGTACTATCCCCATATTGTACTTGGTATATTCCAAGATGGCTAACTGATGACATCACAAGCCAACATGGCAACACCCACCAAAGTTGGTTAAAACAGATTGAGAACATTTTGGGGGGGAGGGCGTCAAACATGTAATTGTAACCGAATTCTAGGCTCAGAAAACATATTTTGGCAAACTAAATTTCTGATAAAATTGGCAAATCGATTTTGGGCCTTACCTTGTCAAGCTTTCCTGTTATCACTGAAGATGTGGCAAGGGAAGGGGACGATTTGTTGAGCGCAGCATCGACCAGAGCCTTCAGTTTTTCTGTAGAATCCTTACTCTTGGAGCGAAGGTAACCCAGAGCCTTTACAAACACCGGATCCAGCTCAAACGTAGCCATGGTTTGAAGGTTTACAGCTTTGTTCCGCCAACTCGTCTCCCTCTCCTTCCTCTGGTGATCTGGAATGGTGCATGTTGTTTACAGGGGTGTTTATGACGCAAAATATATTTTAGTTATTGACGAAGACTACTTCTTTGTCAACATTATTATCGAGAACAAATTTTTTTTACGAAAACCTAAGAAGTATACAATTATGTTGCGTGACTATTATAAGCCTTTGACAAATTATTTAGTTGTATCACATATCTTGAATGTAGTATTCCAGAGGTCAAAGGGTTGTGGGAATTCAAGATGGCTGCCTTTCGGAAGAATTTTTGACACTCTCTGGAAATTCTTCATATTTCCGGCTTCGTTTGGTTGTAAGGGACAGAATTTGTCAAGTAAACTACTTGTATTTTGTACACAGATGTGACTAGGCAGTGATGACCACAATGCGAACTAGAATGCCTGTTCTAGCTGTATCCAAAGCCTTCGTTTTAGCGTTGGGGAGGGGGGCGAAGACTCTTCGACCTTTCTCAACTTCCACCAAACTTGCCTCCGAAGAAAGTACGAGAGTCGTTGTGACGGGACTGGGACTTGTAACTCCGCTTGGAACGGGAACAAAACACGTGTGGTCAAGATTACTGAACGGGGAGTGCGGAATTACGGCTGTGCAGGGCCCTGGGTACGAGAAGATCCCGTGCCAAGTTGCCGCCCACGTTCCCAGGGGATCAGAGGAAGGGCAGTTTAACGCGGACAACTTTGTTTCAGCGGCCGACAAGCGCGCCATGTCAGACAGCATGGTCTTCGCTCTGGCAGCTGCTGACGAGGCTCTACAGGACGCAAAATGGAAGCCAGAATCTGAAGAAGACTGCAACATGACTGGAGTTGCCATAGGGACTGGCATGGTCAGTCTACAAGACATTGTCGACACCGGCGTTGCCCTACGAGAAAGGGGCTACAACAGAGTAAGCCCGTACTTTGTCCCGAAGATCCTGGTCAATTTAGCAGCAGGGCATGTCAGCATGAGGTACAATCTGAGAGGGCCGAACCACGCCGTGTCCACTGCCTGCACCACGGGACTTCACGCAATAGGCGATGCCTACAGGTTCATCAAGTTTGGCGACGCAAACGTCATGGTGGCCGGCGGCACAGAGGCAAGCATTAACCCACTGGCCTTTGCTGGATTCAGCAGGGCAAGGGCTTTGACGACTAAGTTCAATGATGACCCACAGACAGCTTCCAGACCGTTCCATCCCGAGAGAGACGGATTTGTGATGGGTGAGGGAGCTGGTGTGGTCGTTCTGGAGGAATACGGTCATGCCAAGAGGAGGGGGGCCACTGTGTATGCTGAAGTTCTAGGCTACGGGCTGTCGGGGGATGCGAGTCACATGACGGCACCTTCCGAGACCGGAGACGGAGCTATGCGGTGCATGAAGAGAGCTATGCAATGCGCCAGCGTCACCCCCTCTGAAGTGACATACATCAACGCACACGCTACATCCACACCTCTCGGAGACGCTGTGGAAAACGCTGCAATCAAAACTATGTTCAACGGCTCCACATCATCCTTAGCTGTTTCGTCGACAAAGGGGGCAGTTGGCCACCTGTTAGGAGCTGCAGGTGCAGTGGAAGCCATTTTTACAATCCTAGCCTGTGCAGATGGCATGCTTCCACCGACACTGAACCTGACAAGGGTGGACAAGGACTTTGACCTGAACTATGTCCCCTGTAGGGCCCAGGAGTGGAAGGTGGGGGATGTGGGGAAAAGGATTGCGTTGACGAACTCATTTGGATTTGGTGGCACAAATGCATCTCTATGTATCAGTAGCATCAATTGATATAACAAGTTAGGCATGGCTGGCTAGGGATCTGTAAATTTGTCATATAACAATGTTTGGCCAGCCGAAAGTAGCAATTATCAGCCATGTTTGGATTAGTGTAGAAGAGACGAAGTGATTCAACAAAGCTTGTTGTTATATTACAATGTATGGAAATAAATACATGTACATGTGCGTACTTCAACCCCTTCCAGAGATAGTTTCAAACTTTCAATGTGCAAATTCTATTCAAATACAGGAGCTGACCACTGTGGTGAAATGAACATTGATATTCACTCAATGGGGTATAGTGCTGTGGTAATAAAATATGGGTATGAAAGACATACATACTATTTGCGCTGTCCTATTTATTTTTTAAAATCTAGAGTAACCCATTGAGATGGCCAACATATTGCTATGAATAAAGCATTATACATTATATGAGGGAATTGTATGCATGAGTTACTATGTACATAATACTCTAGTGCCTTTACATTTTCTTCAATAGGTAGGTTTTACCACATCAAACTTCATACAAAATTCAACATCCATATATAGAGCTCTATCTTCTTTACATGACAGTGAAAAGCAGCAAAAAGTTGACTGGATTGTCCTCATTTAACACACAGAATACAGAGTGCTTGCATGGTTGTTGTAGTACACATAGACTTGAATAGTTCACACATGAGCTTAAAGGCACAATAAGCGGATAATGCAATTTACAAATGGTAGTACATGAAGTCCTTTTTATCGGTCACTATCTTTTCAATTTGGAGCAATAAAAAAGTCAATTATAATATCTGGTTTCTCATAAAGTTTACCTATATATATGAGAAGCAAACATCACACAGTAAGACCATTTTTATCTATTTCACCCACTTTTTCTTCCTCACATTATACTAGTACTACATGTACTATGTACTACTAGTATATATTGATGTAAGCTCAAATGATAATGTGCATATTTGTTGCAGGCACTGACTTCAAGTTAAAGTCACTGAGTCCCTCACCAACCATACATTATTTGTTGAACACGTAGTTCTTCAAAACAGCCACACATTGCACATTAAAGCATGTTCCCCATGGCCCCCGGCCGCCCACCCCTGCTCCTTCCGACCCCCCTTTCCCCATACCCTCCCCGCCCCCTGCACCCTTATCCCTCCTATAGTCCTCTATTGCAGCCTTCCCTGCATCTTTTGCCGTCCTCTTGAGAATAGCCTTGATGCCGATGTCGTCCATGTAGTGCCAGGCTAGACCGGCATTCCCCACGGTGTTGACTGCGTCGTCTGCTACCCGCCCAGCCTGGGTGCCGTATCTGGGGAGTCAAGTGTCATACAACTGATAAGGCAAAAGGAGTCGGTACATGTGAAAATTAATACACAGCGAGATGTACCCTGAGAGCCAGACTAGTGTTGGGCTGGCTAAACTACTACCGTGGGTAGTACCCTCGGGCTCAATGCCCCTGTAGCGGTAATTTAGATAGGTAGGCAAAGGGCTCTTGGGTGCCGAAGGAAAATGGCTAACGGCCCGATACTAGTCTGGCTTCCAGGGTAAGAGAGATGTGACAATTGTTAGAATGTAGTTTACCCTGTACCAATTTTTACTGATCATTGCAAAGGACATGGTGTCGATTTTGTTGCAATGACTTTTAAACCATTTTGAATATATGATAAAATCAAGTATTGTGGAACACCTTAATAGGAAAGGAAGCAATATCATACTAAGAGGTCTACACTACTACAAGTACTATGATGTAAAATGCCTTACTTGTGTTCAACAGTCTCCACTGTGGCATTACCAATGTTCTTGGCAATAGAGACAGCTGCAGCCTCTAGGGCCAGGTACACCGTGCTGAAGGCTGGGAGGAATTAAGTCAAAATTAGAAGTCAAAACACATATCATTTGCATTCAATTCTGCATAGTTTTGTTTTAAAGTGAAGATTCAAACAAAAGTTTTACTGTATAATATGAAAAGAGTTCACAAAATATTCATCTAATCTGTTTGCACATAATATTTGATCTGTATAATGAATTTTTTATCTGAAAAATACTGAATCAAAATATTTTCACATCTGCTCCAGAGGCATTGCCTAAAATGACCCATACCTTGCAATCCACCTGCCGCGACCTCTACGACCCCGTCCATGGTCTGCTTCTTCTTCCCATCAGTGTCGTCCTTCACGCTGTCTGGCAGCAGCTGGGTGCCCACCCTCTTCACGTGGGGGGCCAACTCACGCCCTACTCTCAAGGTCAGATCTCTCACAGCCAGCACCACAGCCTTCGTCACTTTCAAGGTCACGTGGGTCGTAGCCCTGGCAACCTATCATTGAGAAAGTAAAAAAGTAAAAATCTTTTTCACAACTTGTGGTGTTTAATGGTGTTTAAGGCTGTGCTCATCTCTGTTTCTATAGCCCTTGGGCCACACAGTTGTGCAAGCACTAAAGCAAAGGCTAGCTATAGTCCAGTGGTAGAGGTACTTCCATATATATATATATATAAATGTACTAGTACTAGAGTACTCTTTGCCTTAAGTATTGAGTGCAGAGAGAGCTGTATGTACGATTTTGACCCATGGCCTCCTGACTGCACCCTTCCATACTACAAGCTGGAAAGTGGTCTGGCATCTGAATGAGGATCTGACTTAGTCTCCACTCCAGTTGGCTGGACTCTCTATGGCTGGCAAACTCCTCTGGCCAATTATATCACCTTTTTAGGCCGATTTCTATGATCTATTCAGCCTGCAAAAGAAGTCTGGTGGAGAATAGGTCTGACTAACCTGTGCCCCCTTGACGTATTTGGGATCCACCTCGGCAGGTTTCTCGTCAGGCTTGATACGTTCCTTCAGCTTGGCCGTCCCCTTGGTCACCAGCTTTCCCGTCAGTTCAGCTCCCTTTGTTGCTCCCCCAGGACACCCACTCAGCTCCTGCAAAGGTTGGGAACAAATACATGTATGCTTCAGTTGAAGATCCGTCTCTAACAAAAATTGCATTCAAATTCAAGAATTGGTTGATGAACTTGTATTTTCTATCGTAGAGTGGAGCTCGTTGGCATCAAGCACAGTTCTGTAATATAGCCAGCTGCCGCCACGCTGCATGCCTGTGACGGTGGTGTGTTACGCCAATGGGGGGTTATACTGGCTATACTGATACAGAAAACTGCCAACAAGAACTTTCAACTTACAAGCAATACTTTATAGCTAATATATAACTATATATTATACTACATAACAGTTATACTCTTAAGTTACTGTGTTTTTAATGTCAAGGAAGGAACTTCCGAAGGAACTTCCATTTTCTTACCTACAACTAGTCCCTTTGACACCTTCTGGCTCCACTGAGGCACTTCCTTATTGGTTGTGGGTTCCGCAGGCCTTTCTGGAGCAACTGCTGGTCTCTGTGGACCAACTGCAGGTCTCTCTGGTGCAACTTCTGGCCTTCGAGGAGCAACGTCAGGTCTGCGTGGAGCAACTTCAGGTCTTTGTGGTGCAACCTCTGGTCTCCTTGGGGCTTCTGCTGGTGGTGCTGTAGGAGCTGCACCCCTCATTCCCACCACCTGAGTCAGGTCCCCAACACCGGCCTCTCCAACCCCTGCCTGAGCCTCGGGAGGCTGTGTATGGAGTTGTGTGTACTCCTGCAGCAGGCTCTGGAACTGTGCCTGCTGCACGGCGTCCACCTCTGAGGAGATGACAACCCCCACACAAGAGCCGTAGTGTCCCGACAGGACGTCGGGGAACATGTAGGCTCCGTTGTTGCTGTGCAGGGCTGGCGATTGGCCAGGGACGAGAGGGTACAGCCAGTCAGAGACTTGAAGGAAGGTGGTGTTCTGCTCTGGGATTTTGACGATTCTGAGCGGGCCCGGGTAAGACGGGGCGCTGACACTTCCGTCGGGACTGACATAGAAGATCTGTACCCCGTCTGGGATGCACAGGAGTTCATCTGCATCCGTAAAGACACTACTCCTTCTTGACGCCTCCTCCTCGGACAGGATACTGTCTCCCAGAGAAATAAAATCTCGCTCATCGGCGGTAGACCCTGCCGAAATGTGACCCCGCGGAACCACTTCTGAGTACGCAGGGGGTAAATCATTATCTGCTTGTGTGGGGGCGGCAGGTGCCCCCTGGGGTACTGATGAGGGTGGGGGAGGGCGTGCAGGGGGGGCTACTGGTCTAGTAGTAGAAGGAGGAGCCGGAGGCTCTATTTCCCTTGGTGGTGCAGTTGGCTGAACAGGAACTGCTTGACCGTTCTGTTGTGACGCCATCATTGGTTCTAGGTACTCAAGCCTGGCCTGAACTTGAGCCAATGACCTTGTCATCTTACTTCGAAGTTTCGTGGCCTCTTCTCTGCTACACTGGATCCCGAACCCCTTTTCCAAGTGATGACGCGCCCGCCGGTAAAGTTCCACGGCTTTCGCCATGTCCCCGCTCTCGTCGGAAGTGAGGGCCTGGTCTACGTAGATGAAGGCGTCGTGACATTCCCTCTTCAACGCTTGGTACCGCTCCTCTTCGGTACTAGAACTTTCTGCCCTCCCCCTTTCCATGACTTGAGCGTCCATTTTGGATCCGCTTTACAAAACCCGGAAGTTATCGTCAATGCTGACAGTTCCTTCTAGTCTTAGGTTCCTTAATGTCTTAAACTGCACTTTGGGTTCTTATATCTTAGGATTATATGAGTCAGATAAAATGAGAAAATACCAGGTGATAATTTGTTGTTAGTCACTGAACCGATCGGACGACATCCCGTGAGTCTGACGGCATTTGTTGTCGTGACGTCAGCGCTGGACCATACGAAACAAAATAAGGGGTGCAAATTTTATTTTCGTGAAAATTATTTGACAAATTTGCAAATTATCAAAATAAACTGATGATGTTACCTTTGTTAAACTTTTTTTACAATTATAAAAATATACTTTTAGTGGTAAAATAGTATTTTCCGTAAAACATTATTTCCGGTAAAACAGTATTTTCACCCGCACATACTCGACTTGTAGAATATTCCAATGAACCATAATGGAGGTCAACTTTGTCAGTGGATGAGTGTTTGCTGCGGTTTTTCAATGTATCGACTCTTCCCGCCGCCTCAAAAGCCGAAATCCACGCTTTACCGGCCTGCCTGCATCTATGACAAGCTAGGAAATTCAACAGGACAGGTCTTACTTCGGTAAATGCGTCCATATGGTTGTTTTTGTCATGTAGAACTTGAAGGAATAATTGATGTTAGAGCTAGAGTATGATCAAAATAATCCGATTCTCAATATTTTGTTCTGATTATGAACTGCTACACATTTTCTAGCACAATGCCTATTATCTTCTTTACCAGATGATAAGGATTGCCTAAAGCAGATCGTGGTTATCTGAAAATTAGACCGGATACAAGTGAAAAGTACTGTGTAGATCCTTGATAATAAGGCATGTGATCTTGAGTCATGTGACTTGTGATTGACAGTTCACTACCTGGTTCAAGCTTTTGGTATTTCTTTTTTTTAATACCCACGATCATGATAATGACCATTCCAATAGAACATTAGCCACGAAGCGTAAAGTCGTAATCAGCTCTGAGACTTCAACGTAATTCATAATTGGCGGCGAAAAATTTTGCGTAACACCCTTTTACACCTGCACTAACAATAAAACCTTATTCAGGGTTTTCTTCTTTCCACTATAGGAGAAGCCACCATGCCATCATCAGCCACATTCCTGGGGAACTGGCGGGGTTGGATCCGTCCGCTGGTGTTCTCTGTGTACTTTGTGCTGCTGTGTGCTGTGTCCTGAAGAATAATTTGTGCCAACTCTTCTCCTTCCAGAGTTATTTCTGTGCCGGTGAAGCCACCATTCCGTCATCAGCCACATTCCTGGGGAACTGGCGTGGTTGGATCCGCCCTCTGGTGTTCTCGGTGTACTTTGTGCTGCTGTGTGTGGCCCTGAAGAATAATTTGTGTCAACTCTTTTACTTCCAGAGTTTTTCCTGTACAGGTGAAGCCACCATGCCGTCATCAGTTACGTTCCTGGGGAACTGGCGGGGTTGGATCCGTCCTCTGGTGTTCTCAGTGTACTTTGTGCTGCTGTGCATCACGTTGAAGAATAATTTGTGTCAACTCTTCTCCTTCCAGACTCTTTCCTGTAGAGGTGAAGCCAATATGCCGTCATCAGCGACGTTCCTGGGTAACTGGCGGGGTTGGATCCGACCGCTGGTGTTCTCGGTGTACTTCGTGCTGCTGTGTGTGGCCCTGCCCTTCTGTGTGTGGGAGCTGAGGGGAGAGAGTAAGGCTGTGCAGGCGTGGTTTGTGGGAGGCATGTTTGTGTTCATGGCCATTCCCATCGCACTGCTGGGGATCCTGCAACACCTCATCCACTACACGCAACCTCACCTGCAGAGACACATCATCAGGTATGTGCATGTGTCTATAGAACTCTTGATGTAACATTAGCATATAGTTCTAGTGTCACTTATTCTGGGTACCATCCTGGTTAGTTATTATCAGCCAATGGTTCAAGTTAACAGATCTAGAGGGGTACTGACTTGCAAAATGCTCAGTATCAATAGGCTAGATTTTATCATTCTTTTTTAAGGCAAGTTTTATTATATTTAATCCCAATTTATGTCTATTTCTCTTTCTCTTTCTAGGATTCTATGGATGGTGCCAATATATGCTATTGATGCCGTAAGTACTACACAGATTGTAACAATTTACCCTGTAATATCGTCTCAAAGAAGTTACTAGTACTGTCTGTACTGTAAGTAGCATCAGAGAACTTAAAAGTTAAAGATTTTAATCTCCTTGCATATTTGCATTTCATGTTTTTATTTTGTATCTCAAAGGTGGGCGGGGCTATGGTGATTTAATTTAGATGAAAAGGGTCACTTAACAGCTTGTCTATGCTCTCCCTCTTTCCCTGCCAGTGGTTTGCGCTGAAGTTTGCTGCCTCCACCATCTACCTGGACACGATCCGGGAGTGCTACGAGGCTTACGTCATCTACAACTTCATGATCTTCGTGCTGAACTACCTTCAGTCTGAGATGGACCTGGAGGCCGTGTGTGCCAGGAAGAAACAAGTCAAACATCTCTTCCCCTTCTGCTTCCTACCGCCATGGAGGATGGGCAAGTAGGTGGTGGTTTTAATGTAATTTGTGAAATTTGTAATTGAATATTTTCAAGTTTTCATTTTGACCCCTTCCAATCGCCCCACAAAAATTATCACACTGTGAACATGTACATTGTATATGTTGTCTTTGTGCTCCCCTGCCCCATGCTTTACTTCTTGAATAGTTTCGTCAGGCTGGTACTAGTACTAAGTTACTGAGTAAAGAGACTCTTTTTTCACAACCAAGACTATTCACAGCTGACATTTCGGTGACCATCTGTCACCTTCCTCAGGGCAATGGTTGACTTAAAAATGCGAATGCCTCCTAACACTCTACAGCAGTAATACAGTTCACTTTTTTAGAATTTCTGTGTCAAAATTTGTGTCACTTTTATTGAATGTCACTTGTTTTTTTCTCTCCCTACAGAAATTTTATAGCGTGGTGCAAACACGGTGCAATATCCTACTCAGTGGTGAGACCGATCACCACTATTATTGCCTTGTAAGTACACATGTACACTTAACATTTTACATGTAGGCAGACACTATACATGTTGCAATGTAATGGCACTATATGATTCTGTCGGTAAATCTGTTAGATAGTAAAGTGTAAACAGGACTATGATGCTCTCGCTGTGGTTTGATATACTTGTGTGCAAAGTTGCAGAAGTATGTATCCTGTCACTGCTCACCAAATAACACGTCCTACATGTATCTGCATTAACCAGTAACTTACAACAGGTAAATTGACTCATTTTTTAATGAAAAAAGACTGCTGCAGTACAGTGAAAGAGACAGCTAGAGTAAAAGTCCAGCTTACAGCAGATGATAATTTGTACTGTATAAATTTATGAATGTACCAATGAAGATGAAGACCATTATTTGATATTTTTTTTTATTCCTGATCTCTTCCAGAATCTGTGAGCTATCTGGAGTGTACCATGAGGGAGATTTTGGCTGGGATTCTGCCTGGACATACGTAGTCATTATCAATAACATCTCACAAGTGGTGAGTGAAAAAAACAGTGATGATTTGATTACATGTTATGCTTGCTTTTGTGACATAATTTTTTATTTAATAGTATACAAAGAAACATGTTTTAGATGCAGCAATTCACATACATTTGTATTCTGTAATTTTAACAAGCCTTTTTTTGGCATCTTAAATTAATGACTGTAACGAATTGACTTCGGAACACTATTGCAATCCTAGCACATCTTTGCCAAAATGCAGAATAAAACACAAAAATGCAAATACATTTTTGTACACACATGTATTTAGAAAGACATGCAGCCACTTTGTCATTGATCTGACTGTGATGGACAGTGTGGGTCTTTTCTCCAAACCCTTCTGCATGTAGCTATAGGCTCCTGCAATGTTTTGTGTTACAACAATGGTGACATGAAAGCTGGTGTGTTACGCCGAAGGGCGGTTATACCTGCTATACAGATACAGATACATGTGTTACTGTGGTTGTTCCAGTGGGCTCTGTACTGCCTGGTGCTGTTCTACCATGCCATGAAGGAGGAACTGGCCCCCATCAGCCCCTTTGGAAAGTTCCTGTGTGTGAAGATGGTCGTCTTTTTCTCCTTTTGGTAAGTTTTTATGTTTAACAAAGGAAAACATATTGTTTTTGCTCAGTTTCTTCTTCTTCTTCTCCAAACAGTGACCTCTGACCTGAGAGAACCAGACTGTCTCCCACCATGGTAACTGGTGTTGGGTTATGTAATGTTGCAATTTTATAGTAGGAGGGATTTAGACTCCTGTCACCATGTGTGTGAATGTGTTTGAGGAAGAATTAGCAGAGTAGACTATAAGCGAAGGTAAACATTATGCATTTTGCTTTGCAAATGTTACCTATCTAGTTTTAAAACTTTTTTCGGACATCACTGCGCTCTCAGTCAAAATAAAGATGCATATTAGACAAGTTTGTGTGTGTTTTTTTTTTCAGGCAAGCTGTGGCCATCGCTTTACTGGTGAAGGTTGGGGTCATCAATGAGAAGAATACATGGGACTTCAGGGATGGGGTGGACAGTGTTGCCAACGGACTTCAGGTAATCTGCAATTCTGTGTTGGCATCCAAAATTTTGAAGAGGAATCAATTTTGGCCTTTGCGTCACTACCTCACCCAAGTGGAGTGAAATACAAATGTACCAGTATTGTTTTTGGCTTGTCTGTCTCTGTGTACGTCTGTGATTCCAAATATACACCGTACAGCACTGCCATCCTCAGTGACAGTGCTGCATTTTTTGGCTGTGGAACAGCAAGGTTTGCAAAGCAGTGTGGATAAGGCAGTGAAGTCTGCCATCTCTGATTACCTAACAGTGTTGGCTCTTGCTGTTCACTATTTTTGTAGACCATGTAGTATTATCATGATCACAAACACTCCTGTTGACTGATGTCTAAACCTTGTTTTCCCCTTGAGTAAAGAGACTCTTTTTACACCGAAAGGTTGGCTGAATGAAAGACTTGGTCGTGTAAAAAGAGTCTCTTTACTCAGTGTCTTACCAACCTAATGAAACTATTCACGGTTATTTTCCCCATGTTTTTAGGATTTCTTGATCTGCATCGAGATGTTTATTGCAGCAGTTGCCCACTACTACACCTTCTCCCACAAGCCTTACATCGACCCTAACGCCCCGTCTGTACCCTGCTTTGCCTCCTTCATGGCCATGTGGGACGTGTCTGATGTCAGACATGATGTCAGGGAGCACATCAGAGTCGTGGGTAAGTCTGTGATGTTGTATCATCACTGTCTAGAAGTTAAACTGTTACAGGAAAGCTGCAAAGGCTTTGTGGACGTTTGGCAAGAGCTTACTCTGCTAACATGTACATTTGTGTAGCTGTAGAAATACAGAAATAATGTAGGTCTTAGAAAGTCCTTCCCACATGTGTATGGTGTATAGAGTGATGCCCAACTCTTTTCCATAGCCTAGCCAGGCCAGTCAGTTGCACTACTGCAGGGGCTAGTCTACTGGTAGAGTTGTGTGTTCATACTCTTTGTCATAAGTGTCTAATGCTAAGCAGAGAAAGCAGTATCATGTAGTTACTGTATTACCCAACCTAACCCTGGAAGATTAGCCTTTTGGCTAAAGGGTATCAGAATAAAGAGAATTATAGCTGCATAGTCTCTTCTATCCTGTCCACAACTATAATAGGTTTGAATACCATGCTACTCTTATGTATCATTTTTAGTCTTCGGTATCAGAGTAACTATCTGCTGGAAGTGTTTCTAATTTTTCATCATAATTATGGCCTTATGCTAGCACTTTTCAGAGAATCTATCTATTCTCTGTGAAATAAGTAGTAAAAAGTAATGACTTTGACTCTCTGTATTTCAGGAGGCACGGTACAGAACAGAGTTAAGACTACATCATCCCAGGACATTAGGAATGGGGACTTTCGGAGAGGACCAGTTTACTGCACCCATCATGGAGAACCAAAAGCCAGAACCATCCTACCTGTCCAACCTACAGAGGGCAGGCAACACTGAGATGACCACCTTCAGTAGTGTGGAGGTGGCCCCAGATCACATGAGATACACAGAGGGGAGTGTAGCAGAGAGAGACAGAAGTTTTCCCAAACCAGGAAGGGTAGAAAGAGACTCAGAAGCTGCAGATAGTACAACTTCTTACCAAGGAGCAGGACTTAAAAAAGACAGTCACCATGAGGATGTGTAAACATTATTACCAGATATGTGTCATCAAATACTGTACTTACATGTATGTACTTACAAGCCTCCTGTAGTGAATCCTTTAAACAACAAGTGCCAGGCTTACATGTACTATGAATGAGGGAAAAAAGGGGATTTTTAATGGAAAATATTAAGTGAATAACATTTTAACATAGCTTGAGGCAGTAGGGTCTTTCTTTACATTCTTTAGATTTTTGTATCTTGAATGTTGTCTTTGAGTAATTGTTTCATTTTTTTAATTGTTGCATGTTTCATGCAATGCAGACTTGGTGGTACTGTGAAAATGTTTGTGCAATATTCATGAAAATTTCAATTTTGTCTTGTGTAGAGAGACAATAACATTCAGTTACTGACGATACTCTCTGGCTTAATGATTATCAAGTTTTCTATTTTTTCACAAAATCCATAGATGTTAGGGCATGAGTCTTAAAAGAGAGTTACATGTTCCTAGATCAAAAACATCAGCTGCTATAGACAAAAAATGTATTGAAACTTGACTATAAATAATTGCATTCATATCTGTAAACTATTTATTGTCTGAAACGTTTTGAACACACTACAAACACACACTACAACCGCCAGTTAAAATGTCTCAGAGACAGTCTAATCTTAAGAACTACTAGTGTTGACTGGGGTTGATTATCCTGGGTGACTTACAAAAGCTGTTTTTAATATAGATTTGATGTAAAAATGTAAAAATCTGGATGATAGAATACAGATACAGTACTATGTACAATAAAAAGGTGTGTAACATTTTGCATTGTCAGTGTTTTCTCTACCCAGCAAAATGTTCTGTCACTAGGTTCTTTCTCAAGTAGAAATGTCTTTTATGCAATTAGCTTTTAAGAACAGTTATCTACATTTTGTATTACTGGAAAACACGTTTCTTCTTCCTCTTCTTCTCCAAAACAGTGACCTCAACGGCCTTAACCAATGTTGTGTATGTTACCATGGTAACTAGTGTTGGGTTACATCATGTTGCAATTTTAGAGCAGGAGGGATTAGACTCCTGTCTGACCATATACAAAATGCTTCCTTGTTACTTAACAGTGATTGAGATGGTACTATTCTGACAACTGGCCTCCAGACATATCTGTTTGTCCCTTTTCTCCACTGACACTGGCTTGTCCAGCACAATAGCAGCCTGTTTCCAGTGACTGCTGTCATCTCTTGTACTCAGCTTATTGTTTGAGTCCACCCAGATCTCGAACCAGAATGGTACGGCCGATATTGTCCCAGAGTCAGACGCTGTGACCACCCACGTTCTGGACTGTTCCAAGTACGAGGGGAGGGTGTCGTGGGGGGTTTCCTCGTCCAGTTTGAAGTTGAAGATGTGGAAAGGCTCTGTAAGGGGTTTGTGGGGAAGTGTGGACAGGGTGATGTCCTGGTGGGTTGTTGCCTGTGTGGTGGGGAACATTTGTACTATTTTTATAGAAACACAGGTGCAAAAGTTAGATATAAATCATTGAAGGGGAAATTCGGGAAATTATGTAGTTGCTAAAACATTGCGTAAATGTCAGAAATGTGAGATAACTGCACAGATATGAAAAAGTGGATTCAAAGTAAATCAGAATCACAAGATTTTTTTTAATAGTTCAATTTTTGGTACAAAAATGTTACATAAGGCCACACCAATTTAATTTCTTGGTTAACGGATTCGCCTCTTCATTTTTTTCTGATTTGCAAATAAAAATAAAAATTCAGAATCAACTGCAAAATGCTCATATTTTGTCCTGAACAGTTGTAAACAGTCCTTTTCTTACTACTTGTTACAGTCCTTCCATCTTTTAATGCAGTGCTACCATTAAAAGTTCAAAATTTATTGTTTAAATTTTGAACCAGCCTGGTGTGTTGACTTCATGGCTCCTATCGTACCATTTTGGGCCATAATAGGATGCCTAGGCCTGTTTTTATTTTAATTTTTTTTTTCGCCCGCCCGCTCCATTATTTTTCTACAAAAATCCGTTAACCAAGAAATTAAATTGGTGTGGCCTAATGCCTCATTGAAACACCCTTGCACATAAACAATATGAACAGAAATTTATAAAATGGAACAATCTGTTTGACAGTCTAAAATCTTACCTGGAAGATGTTCATGAAGTCTGCAACGTTCAGCTGTAAGGTGGGTTCTGAGCCTAGCACCCTGTTTTCCCTCAGTAGGACATCTGACTCTATACACACACCGTACACTGCTGCAGCACAGGGTAGGATGGCTCCCCCTGGTTTTACAGCATAGGCCCTAGATGTCAGAGAAATGTTACTAAGTACAGAAGATAATACATTGTACATCCATCCCCTAAATGCTGACAAAAATTATGAAATTCAAAGTTAGCTTACAGAAACATTCTGTAGATGGTTGTTGTCTATACAGTATTTCATTTCATCTGCGCATGTTTATGTGTGTGTATCTGTGCCTGTGTAGATAGAGTAAATAGAATAGTACAAACAGAAGATTCATACACCATTCAAATAAACACCATTACACCATTAAGTTCATCACTCAGATGTCAGATCATGGAGCTAGAAAAGCTCAATCAGCTCAAAAATTTGATGTCCCTTGCAGGGAGTCCACCCCAAAAAGGCTAGGGTGAGGCAGTTTTTTCTAGGGTCAGTCAGGAAACACAACTTTTTTTTTCCCAGGCCTGACCTTGCCAAAGCGACGTCCTCCAGCACCTGTTGTCTCAGCACTCCTGACGGCTCCACCAGCTCTGTCGCTACCACGTCCCACAATGCACCACTGCTTCCTGTCGGCTCCAGGGAACTCGGCCCAAACTCTACAACCCCTTCCAGTACACCGTTCCTTCTCGCCAACATGTCAAGAAGTTCCTGAGAGCTGGAATTCTGGCCAGAATACCTGACTTTCGTGGCACCAAGCCTTGCAGCACAGAGCCCTATCATAGACGTTCCTTGGCTGAGATCTAACACTGATATTCCTGAATACCCTGTTGAAATCTGAGCCCCTTCTGTTTCCATACTGTCTCCTGCACAGAAGCCTGTCAAGTCTACAACATTGCTGCTGCTCACAACGGTTCTAGAAAAGTATTTGTGTAGAGCAGCGTAAAATGCTTCATTAAATCTGCTATCATTCAAGACACACATGTCACTTTGAGAAAGGCGTACAATTTCTACTTGTCCTGACGTATTGGAGAGAGGTATATCTTGACTTGAGTGGTATGGGTCCATTGGTTCAGTACTAGTGGAGGTCTCCATCTCAGCTTCTCCGTGGTCTTTGGATCCTTCCAACTGCTCCCCCTGTGTGTTTGGGGTGGAAGTGCAGTGCAACTGTCCGTCATCTTTGTGATGCTGTACTTCAGACACCCACATCCTGACACAGTCCCCACGGCATGTGGCTGACACAACCACACTGTCCCCCTCTGTGACTTGGAGACCCTCTGCCAAGTGGTCTGAACCTGATTAAAAAAAAACATAGCATAACATCATTTTTGTTCCTTGAACTCATTATTCCAACTCAATCATTAATAGAAAACAAATTTGAGCCACAGACTGATTTAATAACACATGTATTCATCAAAATATTTACTTACTAAACTAAGTATCAATCTAAAACAAATTAATGACATGTGAGATAACAAGCATTTTGAAGCCAGCAGAAGTGTACGTGTGTATAACATTCCTTAGGGTTGTCTTCACTTTTACTCTTATGACTTATTTGACTTATTAATGATATATCTGGAGATACATTATATCCAGAGAATGGAGCTGGCCGGACACAGCATCTGACATCCTGAGCTAGCTACTAGCCAGCCACTGCTGCGTATCCTGTGGGAGCCAGCAGAAGGAAGGAAGAAAAGGGGTAGAACTAGAAGAAGCACAACCTTCATTGACACCCTGAAGCGGGATGCTGGGCTCAGAAACATCACCACAGCAGAGCTCCCCTCACTGATGGAGGACAGGGATAAGTGGAGAAGAAGAACCCATTGTCTCCCATGTTGATATCTTTGATGTCCCTGTTCAAGGTTCAATATATCTGGACTTCTAGTGACCAATTAAAATGAATTACTACTAGGTAAATTACATATTTTTAGTTACCTGTCAGGTGATGCCTGTGCACTGGAAAGATAGCCTGTTCCCAGCAGGTGTCCTGTTCAGGTGAAGTGGACAGGTGTGTCTCTTCATCCAGGTGCAAGTCAAACCACAGCACAACGGCATCCACCACACCTGGGCGCTTCACAGGCAGGTGGAAGACTCGCAGGTGCTCCAGAGATTCAGGTGAAAATGTCTGAAGCGCCATGACAACAACATACTGTTTGTAAACAGCTGTGCAACTAGTTCTTTTTACATTTTCTATGACTTGTACATGTGCAAACTTACAGGAACATTACCTGTTTACCTTTACTAACCTTTCCATTGGATTTTTAAAAGGAGTAAGGTACACAGGGCTGTTCTTTTACTTTTTTTTTCTACTTGATACTTGATCTAACTTTCTTTAATAGGCACCCAGGCTAATATTGCCTGGGTGCCAGCCCCTTTTGCGAGTGAGTGATAATATCCTTTGCCCAAAGAAGCCATACGCCCTGCCAGGCCCAAGTCGGCACCCTGGCTCTAATTATCTCCTTGCTACCTGCTTTCATATCACATTGTTATCTGTCAAATATTGCCAATCTACAAATTCTAAAATCATATGTGAGAACCAGTAGTTTACCTGAGGATCATTAAAGTCTATCTGGAACACCTGACAGGGTTTTGTCAGACAGGAGAACCCGCCTCGGACTCGGCTTAACACCTCAGAGGAGTACGGCTCTGCATCAGGGGGCATCTGGTCAGCCTTGTCTGGAAACAAAACATAAAAATCTCTTAGAACAGCAGAAAAAAATAGAGAGCTGTCCTTGGTGCTGGATGACATTCACACTGACACAACTGTCCCTGTCCTTGGTGCTGAATGACATTCAGACTGACACAACTGTCCCTGTCCTTGGTACAGAATGATATTCACATTGACACAGCTGTCCCTGTCCTTGGTGCTGAATGACATTGACACTGACACAGCTGTCCCCAGTGAATGTCATTCAGCACAAAGGACAGGGACAGCTGTGCCAGTGTGAATGTCATTCAGCACCAAGGACAGGGACAGCTTTGTCAGTGTGACTGTCATAATAACATTGGCACCTGTCTGCATCACAGCTATAGAAAGTGTGTGAAGTACTCTATTGCATGTACATGTACCTGTGTGGCTTGCTGTTTGACTGGTGATGACCAGTCCAGACAGGTCCACTCCACAGCAGCTGGACTGTAGAACCGCGTGGTTACGCCTGATGTCTGGACACTCCACTATACAGGCATGGACAGTCGCACCGCCTGGTATCACCCTGCCATACCGTACACACTCCTGCAAGTGATTCATACAAAATGTCAAACTTTCTGCAGGGTAGTGGTATAGCAGGTATAGTGGCCTTGTGGTGAGGGTTGTTGCCTCAGAATCTAGACATTCTGAATTCAAATCCTACCAGATTTCAATCACATGCCCTTTGGAAAGGACAAGCAATTCAAACAGATATTTACAAAAATGTGCAATATGTTCTTGTAAGGTAAGAAATCCTGCGAGCTAGTGGAAAACTATTTAAGAATGTCACTATGAAAGCACAATAATCCAGCTACCTGTAGTTGTACTTAAATGACGTTGTACTTATTACAATTAAAGACAAAGCAAGAAGGTTAAAAAATCCTGGACAAAGGAACTACATCATTTACTGGTTGGTTGAGTGCAGATTTGGGAGGCAGCATCAGATGTTCCCATGCATGTCTCAGGGTGGCCAGGATGTGTTCACCCAGCAAACCTGCATCCACAGTCTCAGTAACCACCAGGGATACTCTGGAGAATATAAAGTACAGGGAAAGATACTTGTTGTAGTTTAATGTCTAATATGTGAATGTACATGTTGTAAATCTACCTACAGAGAGACTCAACAAATTAAAATAAACATGTATGTACACTTGAAGGCATCCCAAATCCAAGGTAAATAAATTTTTTTCATTTCAAAAGGGTCATACATATAAATGACAATTTTAAATTTTACACGATAACCCTATTAGTACTAGTAATTACTTTGAAAAAAAAAGACACAGTGAAAACACTTATACTGTCTGTGATTGACCCACCAGCTAAATGAAGCAAACAATTAAAGATAATGTGCAAACAAAGCATGAGCTGGATGCCATAATTATCTAAAGAAACTTACCTTTCAGGTAGGTTATCAGGAACAGTCATGTCTGTTGACTTGATGTGGTGCAGGTGGATGTTGTTCTGCATGTCGTTGGCTGCCAGTACTTTGTTAGCCAGCTGGTACATGGTGTGGGACATCTCACAGGCATGGACTGTCCTGGCACCACACTGCACAGCAAACATACTGGGAACACAGCCACACAAGTTGGAACTTACCCTGGATGTGGTATCCAAATACTGGGATGCTGGTGTAACTGGGATCAAATATGTGGATGTCTGTTTGAAACTAATGATCAGAGTGGTCTGTGTAACTCAAAGGCAATCAGAGTTCTCACATATATTTTACAGAAATCTTAATGAATATGAGCTGTGCTAATTGTTCCTCTATTGACAGGTGCCAAAATATTTGCAGAGAAACAATCACAAGAGCAAACTGGAGCTAGAATACAATCGCATTCCAAAAGTTTTGTACTGGCAACTTTTCACTTTCTTACAACACATTTTATAACTGATTTACCTCAAAATCCCAGTGCCTGTCCCAATGTCCAGCACAGTGTCATGTCCCCCTAGTACGGCTCGTTTGATTGCCTGATGAAAGGCTGTGTTCCTGGGCTGGTCGTTCAGCATGCGGAAGTGCCACCTCTCCACCAGCGCAGTGCACACAGCCTGGAGGTTCTCTCGGGCTGACCTGTAACCTGGGGCCACCTGTAAGGCCTGGATGAAGTAGGAAGCTGCCTCATCGGTGTAGCCGTGCCTGTCAATAATGGAAAAGACATAGTTAAAAATTAAACTGTTCTCAAACTAAAAAAAAGTTTTAAACGAATTGCTCAGTCCTGAGAGTAGACATGTGAAAAATGGAGAAGACACTTGTTACCTTTTTTTGTCATGCAATGACCAGAGTAGGGTACAAGCTGTTTTATGCACTTTACAAGTTGTTATACTGTCAGTTACATTAAAACATGATTGTGGTCTATCTTACTGTATCTATTAGTATTACCATATGGTTTGAACTTCAAACTTAGAAATGTGAATGCCTCCTTTCACCACCTACCACAAGATTAAGTTTTTAAGTCAAAGTTAAAATGATGGCCAGGGAAATGTCATGTAATTGTCAGTACCCACGGACAAGGCCAAAACCAACAGATTTTCCTATTTGCTAACCTGTAACAACGAACTTACAGCATATACAGCACATGGCTTACCTGAAGAGGTGAGCTCCCATATTGTTGAGCACAACCTCACAGTCAGGGTACACCTGTAGTGCCTGCTGGTAGCTGTGCAGTGCCTCCTCCCACCTCCCTGCACACTCCAACTCATCACCCCACAGCTTCACTGCCAGGCTGAAGTCTTCCTTCACATAAGGCTTCAGGTCCGGGGCTAACGTTGAACAGATACACAACAAAGTTATCTAGAGTTCATACTTTGTTCCAACACAAGAAAGAAACTCACCATAATTTTCTGTAGATCTCGTCAACCTTCGTCAGATGTGTGATGCACTCGCTGACTCTCCGGATGTTTGGAAACGTGATGATGTCAGGAGTGCATCAAAAGTGGCGGGAATCGAAGGTTGACGAGATCGACTGAAAATTTTTGGTGAGTTTCTTTCTTGTGTTGGAACAAAGCTTGAACTCTATATAACTATGGATTCTACCAACACAGATGAGCTTTCATTCGAAGCCACAACATATGTACTATAGTGTATAGTAGTAGTGTGGATTCATTGTCCAAGCTAAGCGACATCTAGCACATGAACCTGTGTCATTCAGCCTCTGTACACTTAAAGAAGCCCACAGGGCAAAACTGATTGTGTGACAGGCTGAATGACAGTTCTAAATGGGAACTATGCTGCTCCAGATGTCTGTGTTAGTAGTTAACGTTACATGTTTACAGTTATAACTTCAGATCAAACACAAAGAAGTTCTCTCACTTGCATGTAGAGCTTTTGACCTGAGTCACGTAAGTGTTAACATCACACTTCAGAGAAGCCATGTGACAAGCCTCACTGGGTCAATCTACTGAGGAAGACCAGAGTGACTGATCAAAATCTCTAGGTGAGAGAACTTCTTTGTGTTGGAACAAAAGTTATAACTGTATATTACATATATCATAAACTTCTCACCTGTACTGACCACCATGAGATAATGTGAGAAGGCAGTGCTGTAGTCCTGATGCTGTAGGGACAGCCTGGCAGTGTCCATGGTCTGCTGTAACAGGTGCAGCTGTGACTGTCTGTCCCCATCCTCACTACTGGAGGAGGAACCTGTCTCCTCAGCATCTTCATCTATGTATGAGGGGCAACAGAAAAATGAGGATTTATTCAAACATACGAGTGTCTTATATACTATCATGAAAGTTCATCTGTGTTGGTAGTTAAACTTTTGGTCCAACACAAAAAGCTCTAGGTGAGAGAACTTTTTGTGTTGGACCAAAAGTTTTAACTTTAAACATATGAGTGTCTTGACATGGACTTTCTACCTAGCTAATATGTATGCACATAGTGAAGGAACTTGAACAAATGTATAATTCTAGGGAAAATTTCAAAACCCACTCTTACCTTTCATATAGCGTTAACATTATGTATCATTCAACTTCATCCTTGTATGCACTAAAGTTGCTGAAAAAAGTTTTTAATGCATATGCAACTGACCAGATTCATCAGGACTAGAATCACGTCCGTTCTCCATCCTCCAGTCAGTGGATATGTCGCTGTCCGTTTGGTTTTTGTCCAAATCCATCGATTTTCATAATAGCTGAGTTGCACCCTCCCCCTTACAACTTAAATACAGGTTGAATCTCGAGCTCGCGCCGTCTCTGAAGACTGCGACAGTCTTCCAAATCTTTGTTTGTACAAAACACTGAATCAAACCTTCAAACTGTCACACAGTGTTTCCGTACTGCAAAACTATATCCATTAATGATTTTATAGTGATATAAAAAGGCCGCTACAAACTCTGGCGCTTTTGGTTTGACCTTTCAACTCTGTCGGTCTGGGTCACAAAAGGTCATCCCGGTGCAAAGTTCAAGTATCACATGACGGATCCAAGATGGAAGAAGTGGACAACATTATCATCCACACCCTCCGAGAAATCGGCTGGTAGGTGTTCTTCTCTGTCACTCTGTGGATCGCAAATGTTTGAGAAAATGTCCATATCGATATACAACCCTGCGTGAGGTTATTTGTGGTGTTAGGATCAGAGGGAAGGACATTTTTGGGGGGAGGGGAGGGGGGCGGATGTCTGAGCTAGCTGTCAGCGGAAGTGGGCGGAACTACAAAGTTTCTTTCGTTTTTTGTCGGGAATTTCGTCTTCTGTTGTTGCCACTGTCATGCACACGAAGATTTTTAGGAACAATAATGTACAATGAAGAGCTCCAGTCCATGCCATGCTTCTATGAACTCTTGTAACACAGCTACAGTGTACACAATATTCTGCACAAAATTGCAGCAGTAGTGTGTTCCACACTAGTACATGATCGATGATGCTTTAGCCAAGGACATAGAATAGAATGTATTGTGCTTGCTTTAGACAAAATATTGGCACAACTCTTCAACTAATAGCATGTTTGCTGGACTATACAGCCTGCTGCAGTACTGTAGGAAATTGCCAGGTGGACCATTTTTGAACTAGACATTCATTTGCACAACCACTACTCGCCTACCAAATATCATGCACCACTCTACTATGGCTTAATTTGAAAACATAACCTTCTTGTGGAAGGTAATAAGTTTAAGATTTAATCTCTGGGATTTGTTACAGTGGGTAACAATGGGGGGTTTATAGGCGCTACCAACTGACCTGGCCAATGGGTCTAGACCTTTTCGGCCGAGTGGTTAGAGCGTCGGAGTCTGAATCTGGTGCTCGGGAGGTCGTGGGTTCGAACCCCGGCCTGGGACCAGGAGGGTTTTTATCTGTTTCTACTCGCTCCTCCTGTTTCTTACAGTGGGTTGGATGATGACGTACAGAGCCTGAAACAGTTCACCACAGAGAACATAGTCGAGGCGACAGTGAGGTGTCTGCGTGTGATCGGTGATGGCCCCAACATCTCCCCAGCCCTCCCACCCGGCATGTCAGCCAGGTACAGGGTCGGCACACAGCTCGCCACATCCTGTCAGGTGAGAAGACCGGGTTCTAAACCCGCTTGGGCATGGTGCGTGGGAGGGGTTGCAGTTGTCATTTCAGATGGTGACATAAAATTGGCAGTGCTACTCTGTGTACAGGGGTTGAGGAGCTTTACACATTATATATGTTAAACCTCACAATGTAAAAGAAACAGACGCACCTCTCCAGAAGAGTGGGGTTACTTGGCTGAATAATGTCTATAGCAAAGCTGCATTGTACTAGATAGAAGAGAAGGCACCTAGCTTCACCTCAGTTAAGCATGACTGCTTTAACTTACTTTGTATTTATCTAGGATTAAGATCTAGAAACAGGGTTATGTTAATCACAAGGTACATGTAATGATTTGCTGGTGTGTTATGCCAAAGAGTGGTTATACCGGGCGGCTATACAGATACAGCAATAGACACAGATGTTGATTTCATCATCATCTATCATCCTCTGAAGAGGTGAAGCATACAAAGTGTCATCTCCAGAACTGTTTGTCATTCATTGCAGAGATAAGTTCCAGGCCCTCTAAGCCTGTTTCAGTTTCTATAAGTTTCTTAAGTGTTAGGTTTGGACGTCCAACTCTTCTCTTTGTATCAGGGTTCCGAAGTAGAAGCTTACTGTTGATTTAGAATTGAATATTAATATATATGTACAATGATAATTTTTGTCCTCCCCAGGAGCTTGGGTTCCGAGGGGACATCGGGTACCAAACGTTCCTGTACTCCAACGAGGCAGACATCAGGAGAGTTCTCATGTTCCTGATGGAGAAGATGCCGAAAGAGGCTGCTGAAGTCGCATCAGAACCCATGGGTAAACTGTCATGTGTACTAGTAGTACATTGTATACTGTGACGTTCCAATACGTAAATCTTGTATCTAATATAGAGTATATTAAGAAAGTTGATATTGGTTGGTAGTTACACGTTTTTAGACTATTAGAGTTAAAACTTTTGTTCCAAATCAAAAGAATCATACTCACCCATAGCTTTTGACCAGCAACTCTGATCTTCCTCAATCACTAAACTGCGACGGGGGACAACATCGTTTACCAGATACCTTTGACCCAGTAATGACGTCACACTTCAGAGAAGCCACGTGACAAGTCTCACTGGGTCAGTCTATTGAAGAAGACCAGAGTGACCAGTCAAAAGCTCTTAAATTTCAACAGTTCTCTTATGGACAAAATTTTTACTCTAAACAAATCTTCTGTCTGTTGGCCATGTGAACAGGAAAACTTCCTCTGTGTTGATATATGGTAGAGGGGATTCATTCCTCAAGCTAACCGACATCTTGCACACTCAGTCGCTGTACACTTGAAGAAGCTACACAGGTGAAACCTGTCATGTGACAGGCTGAATAAAACTTCTAAACGGGAACTATGCGTCTCCAGATGTCTTACTGAGGGACGACTGCGTGTGCAAGATGTCGGTTAGCTTGAGGAATGAATCCCCTCTACTATTTACTTCATCTGTGATGAGTCTGCTATTTTTACCCCACAGGTAAGTCAGCCATGCTGAAACGCAGCATAGCATCAGAGTTAGACAGACAGATGAAGTCAGCGTGGACCCCGGCCTACTGTAAACAGGACGGGCTGTGTTGGAGGGGGACCAAACCACGACACTGGCACAGGGAGGTACGGCCTGTTTTTACTTTAGCTCCAGAACTTTTGACTGCTACAGCTGTAAAAATAAACTTCAGTTATCAGAATTTCTGCTCGAATGGTAATAATTATTATGGCTTCACCACACCACAACACCTGCACAGAGCATTTTCATACTGACACTGACAGTATGTCTGTATTCAAGTGTCTTGGTAGGTATTTCAAGCTTTCCTGCTCCAGCATTGGAATGCGGGGCATGAACGTTTTTTTTTTTATTTTGAAAATCAACAGTTTGCATTATGCAATTAAAAATCCTAACTAATAAAGTAGGGAATAGCTATCCAACTGTTGTTTTAGTTGTATGTTACTTCATATTATAGTTATATCAATGTAAATCATTGTTTTCCCTTGTGTTTCTCATTCTTTCCCTACCATGTCGTAAAATGTGGTGAAGCCATCGCTGTATTTGCTCCTAAGCAAATATTGGCCTTTCTAGTTATTCATAATATTCTCAAAAATGAATGCAACAGTTACTGGTGAAGTCTGCCAAAGAGGCATCCCAGATGAAAAATATTGAGGGAGGTTTAAGGTAATATCATAATGATAGTTTGCTATTAGGGGCTGGAATTATATAATGTTACAGCAGAGAGGTATAAGTATTGAAAACATGTATTACTAGTTAGGTGTTTGATGATGCATACTCATACTTTTAGCAACTTGGAATATACACAAAATATTTGACACTACGTAAGGTGTTTAAGCTTTTTCAGGTGCTACTACATGTAGTTGTGCCACTGTATGTACATGTAATGAGCTTTCAAATGTTTCACACTCAGGGTCTGAGCGGAGTCAAGAGGTTCCACTCCTGTCCTGTACGCACACCAGAAGGAGTAGGAGATATCACAAAAAAGACTCCAAAAGGTAATCTGACCAGGCTAGGGTGCAAAATTTATTTTTAGCAAAAGGTGCACTGGTGTTTGTGGGTACACCATGTAAGATGAGATAAGTAGAATGTCAGCAAAAACTAATTTTGTTTCATTTCTAAAGAAAAGTAACAATGATTTTATTATTTTTCTGACACTTGGATGTTAAGAATATGCTGTATACTACTATACATTTACATCTTTACGTATGTAAATCTACGAAACTACTTGGGTGCACTGGTGCGCCCACAGAAAAAGATTGGGCACACAGCTCCCAGTATTTTGAGCCCTGCTGATTGTAAAATGTTGTGTTTATTGCAGAGCTGAAGAGATATTATGACAAACACCTGCAGCCCCTGACATCCCAGCCCCCCCGCGGATCACAGGTGGTACCTTCCATCCTGGAGGTGAACGACCTGTCGGTCACTGCCCAGCAGGAGTGGGAAACTGAGTGGAACCAGCACGGCCTGCCCTCGCGCCTGTCACAGGAGGTAAGTACACTACCGTAAACTCATTTAAATTTGCACTCAAATGTCAAGGCATGGTCATATACCAATTGCAAGAGTTTGCAACAGCATGGGGCTGAAGCCAGTAGTGGTGAGCCTTTGTATTATAAAGACATTGCATAAAAGGAATAAAGGTTTGTAACTACCAAGAGACATTGTCACAAGCCAGATGGCGTCAACCAACCAGGAGCCTCTTATGAGGCTGTGATTTCATTGGTCAGCCAAAAGGTGTTTGAGTATTAGAATGATACAGGGATGATTATCACACTTAATATTATTCAAGTGCTTCACGGCTGTCATAGGAGGTAAGGATACTGACATCCAGGAGTTTGCAGTAACATAGGGTTGAATAGATTTAGGAGGAGAGTATACTACTAAAATTTATGAGTTTGCAGTTAAAACGACACTATGTACAGAATTTACAGGTGCATTGTACATTGTACCAGGGAAATTCCCCTAGCTCTTTTCGACAAGCACAATGAAGAGTGGACCGCAGCTTAACATCCTGTCCTAAGGACTGCGACCCTTTCCAGTAGCGTGCATGTCAGGTGATTGATAACAGCTGGGATTCAAACTCCCAACCTCCTGGTCCAGAGGCAGGATATACATGTACCACTAGACCACGCACGCTATTGTTATGGTTATTAGATACAGGACTGATGTCACAATACTGTACATGTATGCGGAACACTAAACAACGTTTAGAGTTAGATGTTCAAGGGTTAGGTGTAACAAGTCTTTCAGAGTAGTATAGCCAGCTGCCGCCGCACCGCGTGCCTGCGAAGCTGGTTTGTTACACAGAAAGGCAGTTATACCTGCTATGCAGATACTTAATTTTACTGGATTTCTCCCTCTGCAGGAGTATAAAGCGAGGAAGAGACAGAGGTTAGAGAAGAGAATATCAGACCAGCTGAGACAGGCTATCCAACAGGAGACCAGCAAAGCTGCGGCTGGTAGGGATCTCATTCAGGTGTGTAGGGTGTTTGTTTGTTTGTTTGTTTTGCATAACCGGTAAACTGCTTTTTTTAGGCGTAATATACCAGTTCTGTACATGTAAGTAAAAGCTGTGTAAGACTGGACTGTTAGGTTTGAACCACTCACAGGTCTCTGTAGGGGAGACAGTGTTGCTGGATTTGCTTTGCAGCTTTGGTGTATTTTGTACATCTGCACTGTTTTCATACCTTTGAAATACCTTTGTCTCTCTTGTTCTTGTTTCAAGTTGATATTTTACAAGAGGAGAGAGCTTTGATCAATATTTTAAAAAGGTTTATTGTATTCAGATGGTAGTTCAGTAGCAAATGAGACATGGAAAGGCCAGAGAGAGAGCTAGCAGATTCTATGTTTTGTGAATTTCAAAAGAATTACTTTTGTTTTTCATTGTAGAAATTTTCAATATAACAAACATAAAAATCTATAAAAGGTATATCATTAGATGATTCATTTATTATGTCACTTAAGGGAAGTGCATACATGTACATGCTTTCCAAATGGAACATTGTATCTGACATCATCTTTTCCTCCCACACAAAGATACTGAACTCCTTCACTGACAGAGGTGCAGGAAAGGGTGTGACCAAAGGGTCAAGGTTCACCCACACTGAGAAGCTCCAGTTTGCTCAGGTAAGATATGATGTAGTCACTAACATTAATCTCAGGGATCCCCCCTTGCAACATAATGCTGAAGTATATGTACTTCCTGGGGGTCTCCAAATGCTGCCTGTTGGTAGAAATTGTTAATTTTGTCTATAATTTTTTTCTGTTCCGATTGATTGATAATATTGATGTGGTTTTTATTACTTTTATTGCAAATGCCAATTGGGTAAGATTGAAGACAAGCTTGAAACCATGTCTCCATCCAGTATACATCTTATAAAGATAGATAAGATTTTAAAACAACAATCATGGGTCAACCTTAAGGGGAAGGGAAATAATGTGCATGAAAACACCTGCAGTTCAAGGTAACTTGTTAATTGCATGTTTTGATCAATATTGTATTCTTCATGTGGACCTGTAGGATGAAGAAACAGCGGCACAAATGATGGGAGAGGGACCAAGAGTGGACACAGAAGAGGTACGTTTTCTTATCCCCAGTTACGGTGTTTGCTTGTTTCAGTTTTGTTCCATTCTGCCAGGTGGCATGACTGCATTGCTACATATTTATGGGAAAAGACAAGTAATTGTCTTTCCCATGTTAATATATGGAGATTACATGTATGTCAGGACAAGGAGGCAAAAGTCATCTACCTGAGTTTTAGACCTTAACAAACACACATTGGCCGGGTAGTCCAACCTCTAGAGTTTCCATTTAGACTGGAATAAAAAAGATCCTATACACTGGAAGCATGCGTGAATTCTGCCCGGACACTGAGAAGTGACCCCTGGCCCCTCTGGACAGCTGATGACCGCATGAAAACCTAATAGTATATCTTCTTTAGCGAGCCAACAACACAAGCATGGCGGAAAGTCTGTTTTTTTTTCAACAAAATAAAAATACTACAGCCCTTACAATAACATCCAGCTCCAAAACAACAACTTACATTTCCTAAGAAAAAGACTTCTTAACGTTTGGTTTCACACTGCCATCTGTATATACTAAAACGGGGCCCTCTGCACCTGTGCCTAATACTAACCTGTGTCCTTATGCCCCCCCCCCCCCCCCACTCCCTCCCTACAGGAGCTGCAGAGGAGGAGAGAGGAGGAGGTAGATCAGCTGCGGGGACAGCTGGAGCAGGTCACAGGTCAGCTGCAGAACCTGGATGTGGAGATGAAGAAGTTTACAGCTGGGATACAGCAGGTGATTAGCCAGCACTTACAGATTTTAGTTCAACATAGAAAGAATGTCGGGCAAATACATGCCCGAGGGCCACTGGTAATTGCAAATTCAATGATTATGGTACCAACAAATATGGTAGCTGTTTAGAAATATTCTGATTATTTTAAACACCTTATATTATAATTACAGGTACATGTAACATGTACATGTATCAAATGAATGATATACATTGATGAAGGTTAGATGTTCATGTAAAACATTAAGTACACGTAATACATCATAAATTAAGCTTCTAGATAAATTTAATGCAGTTGCTCCATTTATTTTGTACACATGTACATCAGTAATATGATAACTTGATGTATAACTTGAGTCTGTAAAAGTCTGTAATACTAAACATAAGTCGTATAGTCGTATACATATGCTAATAATGATGTTTTGCTACTTGTACATATAGATGGAGGAAAAGGTGAATACAGAGGTTCGGGGGAGGAGCGACAAGGAAGAGGCTTACAAGGTCAAGAAGAGGACGTTGGACCTTCTGCCTGACGCTGAGAACAACATCACTAAACTACAGGTAATCTTCAGCTTGTGTACGTAGTGTATTGATGTCAATCATCACCAAAGACGTCCAAAGGTTCTAGATTCTCTTGTTGCAGTTTTGCTCCATTCTGCATGGTGGCATGACTGTCCTGTGAATACTGACCTTTCTTTAACTTTCGGTGTAAAAATATGCACATTTCTGTGTTGATTCCTATCCTGGTATTTTTTTTTCAAATGACATATTTTAGTAGTAGTATTAGTAGTAGTATTAGTAGTAGTATTAGTAGTAGTAGTTACTGTAGTAGTAGTAGTTACTGTAGTAGTAGTAGTAGTAGTAGTAGTAATTCTTAGTAGCAGTAGTAATTCTTAGTAGTAGTAGTAGTAGTAGTAGTAGTAGTAGTGATTCAGTTTATTGTTAAAACACAGTAGATTGGCCTTGCAGCCACAGCTGAATTTCGCCCAGCTTTACATAAGCAAGTTGACATTCAGGACCTTGAATCAGTATAGCCTGAAATAATAGGTGTTGTTTTACAGGGATTTTCTTTTACGTAACCAGCATTGTCTGGTTGTATAAAAGAAAATCCCTATATATTATGTTTTACTAACCTGATGAACCTATTTTCAGAGATGATCTGTGTTGTTTTCCAGGGAGTGGTTGATGGGAGTTCCCAGAGACTAGTGAACCTTGCCCAGCAGTGGGAGAAACACAGGGTTCCCCTCATACAGCAGTACAGGGAACTCAAGGAACTCAACGCTAACAGAGAGGTACACTTCTCTATGGCTTGTGGTAAAATTCACTATAATCTGTGCACATATACAATGTGCATGTAAGGTTAACGATTTGTACCCTACTAGACTTGTACCCTCCACCCTTTCAAGGTCTAAATTCAATCTGTACTAAGTCTTACTACTACGTTTTTGTAAATTTTAGCCCTTTTTGATACAGGTTCAATACAAATGTTTTCATCAGTGTTTTTTATTCTTTTTGTGCAGGCAAAGTCCCATATATCTAAAAATATGTCAGTCAACTAGAGGTTTAGTGCAGTTATAGTCCTTCCTACACCTTTTGATGTATTGGGCGGTGCCCATCCAATTTTCTATTGCCCTTGGGCCACACAGTTGTTCAAGCACTATGCCTTAACATTCAGTTTTATTCTTGTAAAGTGACGTTCTTGTTTTTTCCTTAAATCCAGTCTCAGTCGGAGAAGAAACTAGAGGAGATCAAGAGCCTGAGAGAGAAGATGAAGGAAGTAGCAGACGAGGCCAGGGGGAAGGATGATGTCTACAAACAACTGGTTAGTATTCTCCTGCATAGCTTCCATGTATGTCAGTGAGAAACAGTTCAAATCCTTCCCACACCCTTTGGTGTATAGTGTGGTGTCTATCTCCAATTCCACAGCACATCAGCAGAACGTACTATGCCTGCGTAAAACCTGAAAGATATTGTGCATAGTACTTTGGCAGAACGTCTTGTTTAAGGTTATTGTATTCGCATATTTAAGGATAACACTCAAATGTTGTATCAGAAAAGATGTTGTCTGCAATGAGTGAAAGCACTACAGCAGGGGCTACTGTACTCATTCACAGTACTTGTTTACTTGTATATTACTCATAGCTTTTTCCACAGAGGTACCATGCATTGATAAGTAAGTCTTGACATCTATATAATTGGTCTCCATTTTCCTGTAGGCGTCTGAGTATGAGAGAATGACTAAGGACGTGAACCGAGGTGCTTACACTAAGAGGATCATGGAGATAGTGGGCAACATTAAGAAACAGAAGGAAGAGATTGACAAGGTGGGAGGGACAGACTTTTTTTACCCATCTATTCCTCCATTTACATTGGTGAAGGTTAGACATCCAGGTAATAAGATATGCCAAAAAAGCAGGTACTCAAGCAACTGGATATGATTTTGGAAACGGTCAGACGTTTCAAGTAGCATCCACTACCTTTCGTAAGTAGCATCCACTACCTTTCGTTGGTGACATTAGAGAACTTGTGCAGAAAAGCAAGAACTATAATATAATTGATTGATTTGCTTCAGTAACTATAACTGTTTGGCATATTCCTCCATTTGTTTCTGCAATATTACCATATTTACAGATCCCTGTAGTGTAAGTGGTAACACAATTCTCCCAGTATGTATTTGTAGTTGGGTACATTTGTGCTTACTGTTCTGAGGTGAAAGTGATTGTGTTTTCAATAATTGTTGATTGACAGATTCTGATAGACACCAGGGATGTTCAGAAGGAGATTAACCAACTCACAGGCAAGCTGGACAGGACTTTTGCTGTCACCGATGAGCTCATTTTTAGGGTGAGTAAACTGATTTGATGAACGTGTCTGTAGTACCAGCTCTAAGAGACTAACTTTTCTCATAAGCCCTCCTTCAGGCTGTTCTTATGGACAGGAAGTAGTGAAACATAATCTTCTATTTATTTAGAATAATCTTCTGCAATGTTGTTTAACCTGTATGTCTCTTCTATGACACTGATTGATTCCTTGTACGTATTTCTTTTCATAATTGATGTTATTTGTTTGAAAAAATCACAGGATGCCAAGAAAGATGAGGCTGTGAGGAAAGCCTACAAGTCTTTAGCTGCTCTACATGAGGTACAGTGGCTCTTTTTAAAAACTTTATAATATTTTATCTTACTTCAATTCCTGATTCATTCCTGAAAAGACCAAGACCATATTGTATTGTCACATAATATAATGCATTGTGCATTGTCTCAATCAGGAAATAAAAAGTGGTCACCTACCATTAGCCGGTAAACCGGTGCAATGGCCAAGTAGAGTGTTTGCCTTGCAATTCAGTAGGTCGTGAGTTCAATCCCCAACCGAGTCATATCAAAGACTTTAGAAATACTGCCCTCTCTAATCAGCACTCAGCATTTGGGGAGAGTATGAGGGTTAAACACACACCACTACCAGTGAACTAGCCCCCTTCTGTAGTGATGGCACTACTGTGTGGCCCAAGAGCTACTGAACCAGAGATGGGTGCCGCCCTATATGCCACGTAATGTAGGAAGGAACTTTTTAACTACCTTAATCTGACTGAATGTTTTGGTGTTTTTTTGTCTCCCTCAGAACTGTGAGCAGCTGATCAAGACAGTTGAGGAGACAGGAGGGATCATGAGAGAGATCAGGGATCTAGAGGATCAGGTACGGGGATTAGATAACAGACAAGATGAGATTAACTCTGAGAATGGATTATGTAACCTTATGTACTAATACATGTATTCCAGGACCTACTAATATGTTGCTTGAAAGGATACCAACATTCAGTATAAGACTTACTATGCAGTGAATGCTTTTTACTATACAGCAAATACATACATTAAATTTGCATACAATGTGATAAACAATCCTCCCTGATTTTTTATTGGCCTTGGAAGAAAATGCTCACAGTATATACAGGTGACAGCCGTCTTGACGCTTGGGCTAGTTTGAATAATAGGCTAAAAGACCACAATGGCCAGGTGGTTCTTTTGTACCTACATGTATTTGGTGAGCACTAAGTGCTGATATGATATTATTACCATGTATTTTGATAGATTAATGTAGAACTGATACTGATAGATTAACATTGACTGGAAGGTTACAGATCACAAACATTTGTTATTGTTTTTATTTTTATTTTGTCAGATTGAAACTGAAGGGGCCAAGAAGACCACCCAGAACCTGGACAGGATCATGGGAGACTTCAAACAGATGAAACAAGAAAACTCCAGCATCGTGGCTAAACTAAAGGGAAAATAACCATCCTCTCTACATCATGTCAGCTAACTATGACGACATACATGTAGTATATAAAAATAGACAGATAACATGCCAGGGGAGTTGGTCTGCACTACGAAAACAGTTTGAGCGTTAAACTCTTCTCTTAGTGTGGACCAACTCCCCTGGCATGTTACTAGTATCTGGCTATGGCTAATATCTACTCTTTCCAGCCACTTCCTGAAGCCAGGTAGAAGCTAACATACAACCGTATATCACTCTGTGATGATGGTTAAGATACGTGGACAGTCAATGTTTTTTAGCTGCCAAGTCTAACTATCAAATCTAGTGTTCAAATCAGGAATTTTGTGCGTATCATCACCATAATTTTTCTCTACGTGATCTCAGTTTAGATAGCTAGTTTACAAGTACAGTGAGTGCCAATTTTTTTTGTGTTTCAAAATATTAACAGTCGCTGAGTCCTTGGTAATTTTGATGATATATGATGATATCTAGGGAAAATATTGTGGAGATTTAGAATTGCTACAAGACACAAAAGTTCATCTTTATGAAAATTTGATACTTGTCATATTATACACGTCTACAAGTTGGAGGCAACAAGGATTATGCAATCAAGAAATAATAGTAATTTTCAGTCTTACTATATCGGGAAACTATTAAGTGCCAATTTACTGTATCGTCTGCTTACAAATGTAACCAATGCCAGTTGACTACTACAGGTATTGTATTACAAACTTTAATTTGGACAAAACATCGTCAAAGTTCATTCTCAAAAATATATTATGAAGTGTTAATAAGGAACTTAGTTCATTTTACATGTAATGCCAAGAAGTTGCCAGGATGTCCTGAACATGATCTTGCTACAGATTAATGATTTCACCATGTATACATGTACTGTATTTGGAAAGAGGCGTGCAGTGGCCACGACTGTGACAGTAATGAAAGGGAGAATTTACACGTATTATTATATAATACACCCATAAGATTGCATAAGACATGCATTACGATTTCACAGCGTCGTTATTCTGTACTTTATGACTACGTGGGTTCTGATGGCAAAACGCCAGCCTTCTTCACACACAGTGTTAGATAATAGATGTGGTACTCGTAAGTGTGTACCTGAGGGTCTCCATTAGAAAGTTGCTGAATCGTTTGAAGGTGAAGGAGGTATAAAAATAGCCCAGCCTCCTGTGTTTTTTGGCCGTTATGCGGTTTTAAGTTGGCATTTGAAAAATGGCATATGTAGAGGCGTAGTGATAAATCTATACAAGTGTGTTACATGTACATATATTAGATATCCGTAGCTCTCTGACCACCAACTCATCCAATATCAGAAAAAAACATATAGCTACCTTAATAGCTCAATTATTGACATAAGGACAATCACAAAACATGTTTTGACAAACTCAAAGATAAAGGTGGTTAGAGAAAAACCCAGTACTTATACTTTCCATTGTAATGTTAACTCCAAATGGTAGGACCTTAACTGTAAGATGCTGTGAAGTTTCCTTTTAAATTAGCTTTGTTATCTTCGGCCAGAGTGTAGTGCACTTGATATGTATTGCTGATCTGGCAACATTCTGGACAAAAATACTGTTAAAGTTTCCTTATAAGTTAGCTTTGTAGGTCTTCAGCCAGACTGTGGTGTACTTAATATTGCTGATCTGGCGACATTCCGGATTCTGGACAAAAAGGCTGTAAAGTTTCGTTTTAAATTAGCTTTGTTATCTGCTGCCAGGCTGTGGCGTAGTTGGTATCGCTGTGATCCGGCGACATTATTTTGGATTCTGGACAAAACCTCTGACGAACCGCAACCCGACAGAGTCGATATCCCCCAAGACACGATCTGTCACAGGTCGTGATCGGCACAGGAGGTGATCCTGAAAAATATCTCCCAGCGATCTGACGTTATGTGTCGCGAATGTCATGATTTTGTCCATTTGATGGGGAAACGAGTTTTGTAGACTACTTGACGTTCGTATTATGGTAAAATTTCTGCCGGCTATCTGACTTACTTGTTGCAAATTCCGTAGTTTGTCAGCTTGATGGTAAAATGAATGTCAATTCATGCAGACTTGGCGTTCGTATGATGGTAAACGTTAACATATCTCCCAGGGATCTGACGTTATATGTCGCGAATTCCATGATTTTGTCCATTTGATGGGGAAACTGTCATTTTTGTAGACTTGACGCTCATATTATGGTAAAATTTCTGCCGGCACACTGACGTTACTTGTTGCAAATTCCGTGTTTTTTTGTCAGCTTGATGGTAAAATGAATGTCAGTACATGCAGACTTGACGTTCGTGTGATGGTAAACGTTAAAATATCTCCCGGGGATCTGACATTACTTCGTGTTTTTGTCAGCTTCAAAGAGAAATGAGTGCCATACGTGTAGACTTGACGTTCCTATGATATATATTCCTATGTAAAATTTCTGCCAGCAATCTGACGCTAGAATTATAATGACAAGTTTCATGTTTTTGTCAATTTGGCGGGGAAGCGGTGTCATATTTGTAGACTAGACGTTCGTATGATGGTAAACGTTAAAATATCTCCCAGCGATCTGGCGTTATGTGTCGCGAGCGTCATGATTTTGTCCAATTGATGGGGAAACGAGAGTCATTTTTGTAGACTTGACGCTCGTATTATGGAGAACGTTAAAATATCTCCCGGGGATCTGACATTACTTGTTGCAAGTTTCATGTTTTTGTCAGTTTCATGGGGAAATGAGTGTCATACGCGTGTAGACTTGACGTTCGTGTGATTTCTGGTAAAATCTCTGTCGGCAACCTGACGTTATAATAATATTATGTATGGAAAATTTCATGTTTTTGACAGTTTGGTGGGGAAGCGAGTGTCATACTTGTAGACTTGACGTTCGTATGACGGTAGAATTTCTGCCGGCTATCTGAAGTTATAATTATATATTGCAAACTCCATGTTTTTGTCAGATTTGATGGTGAAAAGGGTGTCGTATTCGTAGACTTGACGTTCGTATAATGGTGAAATTTCTGCCGTGGGTATCTGACGCTAGAATTATGCATTGCAAACGTTATATTTTTGTCAGTTTGAAGGTAAATTGAGTGTCGAATTCGTTCTACTTGACGTTCGTGTGATACATTTGTTGAATTTTTGTATATCTTCACAGTCGAAGCGCTTTTCTGCTATGACAAGTACAGATTGCATGGCTGTGTAGAAAGTATTGCATGTATGTCGAGGTAATGTTGTTGTAAGGAAAGATATGCTGTAATATCAGCATTGTTCTCGCACGTTGGAATGGGCCGGTTTGTCACGACATGCTGTAAAATGCTTCACCACCGCCTGTATTACACACGTGTGTATTAGGCCATACCTCACAAGACTGGGAAACTAATAGAGCTGCCATGGATACCCTAACACAATTCTGGGAGTGTTGGAAACTTTCCAGCGTTGTTTAATTTCCGATATGTTTTATTAAATCCGGTCGGCTCTTTCATGACAGAATGTTGGCACCTTACCCTGATTCACGATTTTCCACGGCAGGTTTTATGTTAGCTATTGTTTGGTACTGTAACTCCTTGTAAAATAACGCGCTAAATTTGAATGAGGATTATCTAGGAGTTGGAATATGAAATAAATTGCTACTACTATAGACAGGGTTTTTACCTTATATCATCATCATCATCATCATCGGTCGACCGTATTGGTCGGGGTTATACCGCCCCTTACGAGGTGGCATACCCTTTCGTTCGGGGGTTTCGACGGGGTTTGCCACGCCTCCGTCCTTACCTTATACACAATGTATAGTGATACGTTTTACACGTACGTGCCAGAACGGCGTTGTTTTAAAAGTTTGTCGTCGGATGTCAACTTAAATCACAATCCAAGATTACGTAACCGGGGCTGACATGATAAAACAATTCTTTCTTTCAGAGCTATGTGACATAGAAGGGTGATACAGGACTTCTTGACTGTCTTGAAAATAACAGTTCGGTTATTACTTCGGCTGTAATATTTTGAAGATAAGTACCGTGTTGTAACATGATAATTTATGCAAATTTTTGTGACGTCAGGATGACGTCATCACCATTTTTGTGACGTCAGGAAGACGTCATCACTAGTTATTAGGCCACGATCTGGTGATGTACGTATAGAGATAACATATGTGTTTAATATGCGCCTTTGTCATAAGGCTACTAGCAACAAGTCTTGTCAAACAGTTATACTTCAAACATAGAAAAGAAAGTGTGTCTTGAAGATGAGTTTTGGATATTTTATCTCTTCAGTCTGAGACGGTGGCGTTATCTTGGCGGGACCGGATAAGTCATATATTCCGCGCCAGTCTTATTGAAGAAAACATCTTCAAACAGTAATACTTAAAATATAGAAAAGAAAGTGTGTCTTGAGGATGAGTTTTGGATGTTTTATCTTTACAGTCTGAGACGGTGGCGTTATCTTGGCGGGACCGGATAAGTCATATATTCCCGTGCCAGTCTTATTGAAGAAAACATCGGAAGAAGTGACGCCGACTATAGATTTTGTCATCAGGCCGGTCCCAGAGGGCTGGCGAGGGAATGAAACTCTGCTCCTCAGGATTGAAGCGAATAGAAACTGATGGTTTCTCGGGGACTCTCAGGGGTTGAGCCCGGGTCAACCAATCAAATAACGCGCGAGGTGATCCGTTCTGGTCTATACATAAAAGTTGGCAAGTCAGAAGAACTTGGGCACACGGGAGACGTCCTGACTGGGAGATAGGAAATGGAAATGAGCTCGGGACAGACTCAGGGGACGTAAAACAAGTAGCCTTCCTGAAATTATAGCGGGGACAAAGAACTAAGATAACATTGTCTGGAAAAGTGGGCGGCTAGTAGTGAGTTGTTTGGCGGTGCGTGCCGGGGACAGATAACTATAAAAATACTACCCACGGTCTTATGAGAACACCAGGATGGTAATGTTGACTAGGCACTCTCTTGGGAGATGTCACCACGACCGAACCTAAAACGTCTTATGAAGTTTTAGCATTAACAAAAACTTTGTAGCATCAGCAATATAGATTTAGAGTATACCGCTCTGCTTAAGAATAGTACT